CCGTCTTATTTTATTTGAAAGTAGTACGATTATCAAAAAAATGGTGATAAGGATTGTTATGATGGTAATAATAATGATAATGATGATAATAATATCATAATAATGATAGTGATGATGACAATAATGATGATGACCGATAATGATGATAATAATGGTTCGTTGTCCTATTAAACTACCAATTATTTGATATATTATCATTCCAAAATTGCAAATTAATGGGTTTTTTTTTTTTGTCATTGTCGAATAAAAATAACAGAAGTAGGGCATTTTAATAGGTTGACAAAAGGAAAAGAAAACTTATTTTAATCAATTAATGATTACATGATGTGAACCATTTTTTTTTTTTTGTAAATTTTGGGTTAAAAGAATTTTTTATTAATAATGGAGCAGTGATAATGGTTATAATTACAACAATGAGTTATTTCATATTTTTGATTTCAGATTTAATCAACAGCGAAATTTTTTTTTTGAATTTTTGGAAATAAATTACTAATCGTTAAATAGGTTTCATGGTTAAAAAAATGAATAAATTTTGTGGTTATTGGCTTGGCTTGGAGGTGAAAGAAAAATTTCTTGGCCATTATATAGGCTTCATGATGAAAAAAACTTGATTTCTTGGCTATAGATTTGATGACGAGAAAAAAATGGATTTCTTGGCTATTACATAGGCTTGGTGACGAGAAAAAATAGATTTCTTGGCTATTATATAGGCCTGATGACGAGAAAAATGTATTTCTTGGCTTTACATAGGCCTGGTGACGAGAAAAGAAATAGATTTCCAATTATTGGACAAGATTTATAGTAAAAAAAAAAGAAAGAAAAATAGATTTTTCGGCTATGATTGCTGGTAAAAAGTGATCTACAAGGATTATTGCATCGAAAAACTATCAGTTGAATAAAATAATGGAATGGATGGATGTAATAATGAGAATTAGTAATTTTATATACAAATAATTCGAGAAAGGGCGGAGAAAGTAATGGAAGGTCTTTCTCAGGCAAAATAACAAAAGAAAAAAGTTGTTAATATATTATTGGTTTCCGAAATAAAATTTGATTTATTTCAAATTATAATTTTCAAAATATTGGGATTAAATTTCATCAAATGAAAATGGTTCAATTTATCGATTTGAAATAATGTTGAATGGTATGATGTACCATTCAACATTATTCCATTCAACATTAATGGATACAATAAGCTGATGAAAGGATCTATTATTATTTATGCTTTGGAATGTTTGCTATTATTTAAATGTTAAAAATGTATGATGTAATTTTTTAGAAATAATTATTTGAATTATTTTACACTAATAAAATAATAATAAAAGAATTTCCGGAAGATGAGTTTTTCAATTTAGTGCTCATTTACTAAATATTAAGTTAGAAAGATTAATACCATAAAAGAAGTTCAAAATGATACTCAAAAAAGAAAAGAACTAAAAAGTAATGTAGAAAGAAGAAAAGAAAATACTTTATTAATTCCAATCTTTAACTTTTGTTAATCAAATTAAATTAAAATTTCGTGCCAATGTTTTATACTCTTTTCCTTCAAAATAACATTGTAATGACAATCATCCTTTAATTTCAATGTAATTTTGTATTTTTAACTGTAATACAATGAAAAAAAAATTCATTTTTTAAAAAAAAAGTGAACAGATAAAAATTTTATTAAAATGAATAATGAAACATTGATGCAAATATTGTGGTAATTAATAATTTTGCACAAGTGGAAATGAAATAACTGAAAATATTGCTTTAATTTAATTATTAAATCAAAAAAATTAAGCAATAATAAACAAAAAAAGAAAATGGGGGAAAATATAAAATAAATTGAAAATATAAATGAATAATTTTGAGAAATCTTACAGTGAAAAAAATCGAAGTTTGCAACATTTTATTAAAATTTTTTTTTTTTCCTTTTCATTTTTTTTCCACTCAGCTAAATTTGAAATGTATACAAAAGTACAAATTATTATGGTATTTGTTGGTTTTTATACAAATCATAATAAACCTTTTTTGAACATTATTTTACTGAGAAAAATAAGCAAAGGAAAAAAATTTTTAAATAAATAAACAATTAGAAAAGAAAAAAATCAATGAATGAAATTTTCATAATTTTTTTCACTCATTTTTTTGTTTTTTTTTTTATATTGAAACTTGTAAATAGCTGAACTTTTTTTCCTTTTTTTACTCGCGTTATTAGAAAAAAATTGCACAAATTCTTTTTTTATTTTTCATTCAGATTAAAAAAACAGGTTTTCTTTTCTTTTTTTATTTTTTTTTTTTTTTTTTGAATTTTTAAATACTAATAAAGATTAGAATAGGTTATTATAACTGTTGTGTTTTAATTGCATGCAATCACTATTGTACCTTAGTATTTTATAATTTAAAATATTAAGCATAAAAAGGAATAAATCTTTCGTTTTTTCAAATAATCATAAGAGAACTAAATTTGTTCTTTCAAAAATTTTATTTTTATTCTAAATTTTATTTTTTTTGCAAAGATATTGTCATTAAATTGTTTTTTATCAAAAAAAAAAAACAAACAAACAAAAATAAAAAGAAGAAAATAATAAGAATTGAAATGAAGAAATTGGAAGAGCGAAATAGCGGACGAGAAAAGAGAAGAAAGGAAAAAAGATAAATAAAATAAATTGAATAATTATGAATGGAAGGGAAATGGGTAAAATTATTTAAAAATTTAGGCTAATTCGTATATGTAATTTACTATTCATTATTTTATAATTTTAGAAAAAATAATTTAATAATTCTAAAATGGATTAAATGATTACAGTAATTAGCTGACGAATAATTCAATAGTCTTTGCTCATTCATCTCGCATTTTTTACAATATTTAGTGATAATTCCTAAATAAATTTTGTTATCTGAAGCAAATATGATGTAATAAAATTAGTATTAAAAAAGGTATTTGCAATTAAATTTTTCAAATATTTTAGAACCTTAAAAAAAATTTTTTCGATATAAATAATTATTGAGTATGAGACTATAAAATGTAATTTTCATTCTTTTATTACAATATACATTTTAGAAAATAATTGGGCAATTTGATTAGTATATTTACTAATAAAGCGGCGTTCTATATATTTTGTTTTTTTTTTTCTTTTTTGTCTTCTTTTTAACGCTAATTAAAAGTAAATTAAAACAAGGTTTACATTTTAACAAGAATTTTAACCATTTACTTAGCCGAAAAGTAACATTGATAGTAGCAATGAATTAATTTGTATAATTGTGATATGCTAATGATTTGCATTTATTATGTAGAATATTAATCAATTTTAGCTTATTTTTATTTCAAGAAAGTAGGAAAAAAACTTTTTGAATATTTCTCTTTCTATTTTTTAATAACTTTTAGCTGAAATTTTTTAAAGAAAAAAATTTTAATCAAAAAAGACGAATGATCACGGAATAAAATTAATGCTTCAACAATGTGTGTGTTTGTGTGTGTGTTCGCAACTTAATATCTAATAAGAAAAAAGTGGAGGAAACGTATTTTATAATTTGCTAAATTAGTCACAATATTGAAAAATAGATACGTTATCTTAAATTAAATATAAATATCAAAAATATGCGATTAAATGATTAAAATTAGTAATCCAATAGACAAAAGCCTAATTATATTAATAATTTAATTATTTGTTAATTTTAAAATTAGATAACTCCAATAAAAAAAGATGAATTTTTTATTTTCATATAATAAATTATGTCACAGAAAAGGTCACACATACATATATATATATACATAAGTTCTAGCTATCACTCCTCTTATTCTCCAGCAATTGTTAATCATTCTTTTACTAAATATATGAGTAAAAGAAATTGCTAAGATTATTATTTCGTTAAAATTCATTTTATAGAATAAATTTGCATTTTGTAAACCAAAAAGAAATGAATGGATGAATGCAAATTTTGCAACGTTTTTTAAGTATTATTTTTTTCCTTTTTTAAGATTTTCGAAATTCAAACAATAGCATACAAACATGCACTTTTAATAGAATTATAACTTACAATATGCTAATTAACAGCTGCATCTTTGTTAATTAGCATATATACTCATCAATACATACACACATTCATACATACACACACACACACACACACATGCACATACACACATACAGACACAAGGTTACAGCCCATGTGATGTTTTCGTGTGATTTTTAATTGAAAATAAAAAAAGAAAAAGAAGAAAAAATGATGATAAAACATAGAAATATTACAACTGCAGTGAAATTTCAAAATTTTTAAATTAAAATGTAAATTTCAGGGAATTAAGAAAATTCAAGGAAAAGAAAGTATCTTAAATATTTTAAATTCTATGACATATAATATGTGTAATTTAAATGTATGCATATATGTATACAATTTATAATGTTAAAGTATGCTATACAATAAAGAACTTTCCATAAAGATTCATTATTAATTCTTATTTTAATTAAACAAAAGCAAATCAATGGAATTAATAAATTGAAAGCTTATATTGATTGAGAATCACTTTTTAATTTGAAAAATATTTGAAAAAAAGTTTAAATAACTTTTTCAATTTGTAATTTAGATATTGGTAAAACTTAAATAGAATATCAACCAATTATTAGTCAAATTGATCAATATATTGAATTTTATATCTGAATTTTGAATTTTATCAAGATATTAAGATATTGATCAGTTACGAATCATCAATAATTTTAGAAAATGTAATCTTGAATACATGCATATATCATTTTGTATTCTATATTTCCACGTTGCATTTATCACTGCTGCAAGTAATTTGAATGATAATTCCGCATTCCGTTTCCTCCGTATTCCGCTTATCACTGCCAGATGTAATCTAATACTCAGCACGTATTATAATGAACACTGAAAATTTCATAGTGACACTCAGCATTGTAATATTCAAGCATGTGTCAGTTGCTGCATAAAGTTGGTTTGATGACTTTACTATGATCGTACCATTTAATTTTGCTTCGTACGAGAGTGCCCGTTAAATGGACGAGAGATCAAGTAGTAGTGGTGCCAAGGAGACCGTCGTCAAATCGGTCTCCGGCATAACGGCAGCTTCGGTCGAGGTATAAAAGTTCCGAAAAAGTTGCGGTGGTTAATTGGGATTTTCTGCCGAAATTTTAGTAATTTAGTAACAGCAATGGAATTCCTTCTCTTCATTTTTCTTTTTTTTTCTTTTCTTTTTCTTTACTTTTTTTTGTTTTTATTTCTTATTTTTGTATTTGGTAATTAAACTATCGCGTTAAAAAAGGAAAGGAATATATATATTTGTTTTCTCATTTCTTTAAACCTTGAATTTAATTTTTTCGGATTTTGTTCAGAATTTCACTTACTTACTGTGAACGTTTCTTCAGGATGGCAGTAACAGCGCTGAGCAGGCAGAAATTGTGCGGAAACGTTTACAAGCATGCGAAATTGTTTCAGCGGATGTTAATGACATAGCATGGGAAGCAAATAATGAAGAAAAAACGTTTCATGAATTACAACCAGTCAGTAAAATAGAATATGAATTCTTAATTCCGAGCACTTCTAAGAGGGGTAAGATTTGAAATACTTTCTGAAAACAAGAAAAAGAAAGTACCCACATTGCTGTTTGTATGATACAGATTCGTACTGCTATAAACGTATGGATGGAAATAACGGAAATAATAGGAAATTGCTTATTCTGGTAATGCAGTGTGACATATTTCTATTGATGAAGAATACGACGGTTTGTTAAACTGGGAAATGATACATTTCTATCAACACATAATTTACTGATTGACAACCAAGCAATAAATAGAGAGATCATGCATCAAAGTTAGTGAAAGGCATAATAATCCTTTCCTCAGAAAAAGGAAAATATGACTGTTCTTTTCTTCTAAGATGAAATGATACGGTTTATTGATGTATCATTTTTAGTGTTAAAGCGAGCTCAGGATATCACAAAAGAACGAAAAAATGAGCACAAACGGTGGCGTGCAGCAATCGATGGATATGCACAATATTCAGAATGGATTTATAAAGTTAATGAAAAAGTGGAAGATATGCCAGATTTGGATGGTGCCGAAAGTGTTGCTGCTACCACCGAAGCTACAGATGACCCAGAAGCAGAATATTTCATTGCTGTAGATTCAATGAGGGATGTTATTGACCAGGTAGATAGAGATCTTTTTAGCAATGTTACTGGTATTTTCTAGTAATAATCTATTAACTAGTAGTTGTGAATTATTTGGGAAAAGCTGCAGTTTTATCTTGATTATGATATGTCGTGTCAATGTAGAAAAGAAGTTCCTTTCAAATTAGCTTTCCTGAATAGCTTTTTTGTTTTGTCTAATGTAAATAGAATGGTTTTATGATTATTATTCCGAGAGCTCGATTTTTAGATTCAGAAAGCTAGAGCAGCGCAGTCAGAAGAAACAGCAGAATGTGATGCAAAACTGGATGAAATCTTGAAGTACTGCGAAGAACATGCAAAAAAAAGTTTATTTGAGGACAAAAATACCCAGGTTGGAATATTATCCCATGATAGTTAGTTTTCAGGATTATATTCTGTGTTAGAAGGATGTTCATATTCTCAGCAGTAAGTCAATGTTCAGTTAATATTTAGTTTTCAGGATTATCAAATGTTTGTATGCTTTGCTTGCGGTCGGGTTTTCGATGATGAGATAACAATGCGAAATCATGTGAACGAAATTCATCTTTCTAACAAGGTTGCATTTCTTTTCGTATATTTGACCTTTCTAAACTTTTTAAAGGATAGGGAAATTACGGAGGGTAGTTTTTTATTAATGAGTTAAGGGCATACAGTGAGTGGTGCTGAAAAAAATAGCTATATCTTTTCTATTGAAGAGATTTTTTTTTAGGACTACATTTTCAAATGTAGTTACTGCTACAGACGTTTCAAAATGAAACATCATTTGCAACGCCATGAACGCACACATGATTTATCACTTGTGCATATTTGTAATCGGTGCTCTTCATCATTTCGGTTAGCTTTTTAGGAATCTACTACCTTTGATACTCGAAGGTTCAGAAAGTAGAAAGAAATTTATAGCTCAGAAACTTCTATATATTGTTTCAGAAATTTATTCAATTACAAAAGTGAATATTTTGTAGAAACATGTTTTCCATCAGCAGAACTGTCGTTCTATTCCATATGATCGGTTTATATTGTACGACACTGCTATGGCAGTGTATTAGATACTGCAATAAAATGTGTCTTCCGCTTCTGTTATCATTATATATCAGAGTGTTTCGATGGAAGCTTCTTTATGAACGTTGAGAAGTGTAGAACTAAAGTGAATGAATTTAGGAGCTTCGAATCATTAGTTGCTCATAGAAGCAGAGCTCATGGAATCGATGAGAACGGTGAAAAAATTTTAAATTTGAAATACAATTGTAATAAATGCAAACATAAGTTTGGAACTTTTATCGAATTAAATGTAAGTCCTTTGCTAACAGTTATTTTGATCCTTTCAGTAAATTAATTTTGGTATAATGGATAGCTGAAATATGTTAAAGGTTTCTTTTTTGTAATGATGGAGTGATTTTTTCAACTATAAATTCAGAAGTAGGAAAAATGCAGCCGAGTTATGGCTTCAATTTTCTTCGAGTCTTTTTACTTTAAATATATGCTATTTGTAGTGCTTAAATCATTTTAGAGGCATAAATATTTTTGCTTGAACGAATCTCGCGTTAAACAGCCAAAAAAAGTCAGTGGTGCTTCCCCTTCTTCATCCACTAGTTCAATATTTTCTATGTCCTCACGACCGAAAGTTGGTAGGTAATTTGTTTTATATTTGAATGGTTTTTTTTTTTTTCTCATTGAACATGCACTTCTGTTTTGTTTCTACTTTATTATAAACAATTTTAGATAAAACATGCAGAATATGCAGTAAGAAGTTCGCATCGCGACAGTCATTGATACGACATATGGGTCGAATTCATCCAGAAGAAAGAATTGATGAAATTAAACAATATGAAGTAGTGCAATCGGTAAGTTTATTTTATTTATTCAACTTGAAGTTATTGATAGATTAATCCACTCCTGTCCATTATTTGTTTTTTGACTGATTAATTGCTAATTAAGCTTCATTCTGACCAGAATAGGCTGATGTTATATATGTTCTATTACTTTTTTTTTTCAGCCAGATCTTCCATTTGCTTGTAATATTTGTTCGAAACGTTTTACGACCAGAACACTAATGTTAGTTCATCGTAAGCGACATGGGGGAAGGAATTTTGCCTGTGAATTATGTGAGAAGGCATATCCATTAGCAAGTGAATTACGAAAGCATATCAAGCGTGTACATGGAGATTCTTCGGAGAGTTACAGTAAGTTTCAGATATCTAATAACTTGTGTAACATTGTGTTTCTGAAATACTTCCATATAATAATGTTTGTGAACTATGTTATTATTCTTAATTCAAATTGTATTTCTTTATTCATTTACCGGAAACTTAGCCATCAAATCTCGAACCACTAGTTCACTTTCTTTTCTACTTCTTTCGTTTATTTAATTTAGGAACACTTTAAAACATTAAGTTTTAGCGGCATCAAAAGTTTCGCGTGCAGAATTTAACGATGCATATGTCGTCGATATGCAAAATCCAGGTGTTGAACAACCAGTGCCGGTAGAGCAGAGCAGTAAGTGTGATTATGAAGATCTTACCGATTTCAGTGTTATGTAATTTTCTACCGATTACATCTATCCACTTGATCATTCTATAAATTGTCCATTAAAATCTATAAATTGCCTAAAATGGCATTTTATCACACGGAAGCATATTTCCAGAAAACAATACTTATTTACGCTCTTAATTTTTCTGTTTACTTAGGAAATTTGTTCTTACAATTATTATTGTAGTATACATGGTGGGAACCATGCTGGTAATTCTTCTAACATATTTAATATCAAATATTATATATATTATTTTTCATTTTGTTTATGTATGTATTATTAACAAGCAATTTTCATCACTGTAAAGTCTTAAAAATTCAAATAGATGCATGTCAAAATCGATTTTTTGTAGTAATCGATGCAATTAATTAGACTTTGAATTCCACTGTACTTATTTTATTATTAATCCATTCATTAATAAAATGTTTTATCTATAAGAGATTTCATATAAACACATTCTTTTATCAAAATTAACAAATACTTAGTAGTATCACGTTAATAGTAGTATCACAATTTTTAAGTTTCATCAAAATATCGTTTGTATTTCAAACTGCCACATTTCATGTCCGGTTTTTCGATATAGTTTTGTTTTTTTTTTTTTTTTTTTTTCAAATTTACGATGATCCTAGAAAATTTTTGAAGTCAAGTTTCTGCAGAATTTCTAAATTCTTTGTGAAAATTTGCATAAAGTGCTTTCTGTTGGTGCTTAGTGTCAAGTAATAGTTCAGAAAAACTTTAAATTTACACAATGAGAAGCTCAGTCATATTTTGTTTTTTCGACTTATTTTTGGATTTGACAGGTCAGGTGTCACAAATGTCCCTACTTGCAGATTATCTCAGTTTTCTATGGAGTATTTAGAGATAGATTCTTTTAACTTTCTATGATGAATGCATCTTCTATCTAGTGATTTAGCGCACTTTAGAATAATTATTTAATCTGAAATTGATCAAAAGGCAACGATTTTAACGGTCATTTTAAAGAAAAGGAATGAAGGGGCAGATGAACTTATTGAGCTGCAACATATAAGATATACAGATACAGTGTGTACTATTTTTAATGAGGCTGTATGACAATTTTTGAATCTTTTTTAAAATTCGAAATTGTTTATTTCTCCGTTATATGTCGATCCGATTGATCGATCGCTTATTGACTTTTCACTCAAATTTCTGCAGATCTCTTCACTTTAATACCCTGTTTTGGTCGTTCTTATTAGTCGTTGCAGTTTTTTGAAATCCTAAGTTTTGTTTACAGTTTCTGCTTAACTTAATTTAATTATTGCAAGTCGTACAGAAAAGTGATAAAAGGAATTAACAAGAACAAAAGGTTTGATTTGGGTTGACCTAGCACAGCAGTGATAATCTAGGTCGCCGTACTGTTAACACCAAATGTCACTATCTGCTGACGGTGCAAGGCAACCAGTGTCATCAACAGTAGCAGAGCCGATAACGATAGCAACATCAGAATATATCGATAAATCAAGATCTAATACTGCCGAAGATATTATCACCACAATAATATTATAACCTACCGCATCATTTCCAGGTAGCTTCATATTCACCACAACTGCGAAATTCACCGGATATAACTTTACAGAAAGATCGGACTGTATTTTAGAAAAGGTATTTTTTTTAATGCTTTATTTAAGCTCATTCTTTTAATTCAATCTTTAAAATTTTCTAAAAATGTTATTGATTTCTATTTCGCCGCCTCAAAACTGTTTGTTGTTCAAATGAAGAAGTACTAATGCATGATCGAATAGATTGAATAAGTTTAGAATACGGATAATATAATTGGATTATCTCTTATCAACTTTATTACCCTAAACTTATCACGGACAGATTACTGTGTAGCGAATTTAGGCAGGTTTTATGTTTTAAGTAAAAATTAAATTACAGCATCAATTTTATTCAGTGAAGCTGAATACAAGGATATTATAACCATAAGTTTCAATAATTTATAAAGTTATAAAAATAATTTACGACAGGAAAAATTAAATTCTAAAAGCGGTGTAAAGGTCAACTTATCACAACTTGAAGAAAGGACGAGGTCTGCTCATCTAAGAAAGCCGTAAAGCAAGTGAAACTCGAAAAAATACTTCAACCGTTACTAAAGAATTCGTAATATTTTAATTAATATTTTAACTTATCTTTAAAAATTTTGACTTAAATTATTTTTATTGTTCTTTCATTTTTTGAAAAAGGAAAATTTTAATTTGAAAAAACAATTTAAAAAAATCAAAAGACGACGAATTAATATATAATAAACTTAAAAATAACAAAATAAAAGGCAACATAGAACTCAAGTGGAATAAAGAAGCAGAGAATTAATTGAAAAATTCGAAAAAGTCTGTACGCGACAAGATCAGCACCTTTAATAACAGGTTCATTTCTTGCTTCAGTATATTCGTTTCGTACTTATTAATTGTCGATCATCTTGACTCAAGGTTGACTTACATGAATTGCTTAAAGTGTTGTTGGGCTAAATATTTAGGTCCCTTATTAATATCATTCTAATAGTATTCTGCATTATGTGCTTATCATTTAAAGAAGAGTGGTATAGTTTCCTCATTTATTTTTCAGGCCAAAAAATAGTTCGTTTTTATTTATAGCATGATATTTGTTTTCTGAAAATTTTCTATCTTAATATGATTAATTAAAATTTTTTTGGACATAATCTAACTTTTTTAGACATCATTCACTGTATAAACTATTTTATAACTCTGTACTAATACGAGGTGAGACGACTGACCCGCTGGTTGAACTTGTTCAAGCGATATGAAACAGAACGAAGGAAGAGAAAAGTTGCTTATTTGATGAATCAATGTTATTTAACATAATCTTTTAGTTTTAATTGAAAATATCTTTTATTCGTTCAATTGCGAAAACAAGATTAAAGATTAGCAAAGTAAAAAAGTACTTTCCATAAATGAAAAGGAATTACAGCATGGGACAATCCTTCCAATTAGCATTGACTATGCGACAACGCCTCTATCACTTCGTTACCGGTCTACAAATTGTCTGTAGTTTTATATCATTATTGATATTATGCATTGCACTACCTGTTTTGTATAATAATGTTCAAACAACAATTGATTATGTCGATAGTGGAATGCAATTCTGTGAAGTAAATTATCCAACTTCACCTTTTAAACTTAAAAAATTAAAGAATTAATTGCAAATTTTAAAAAATTTTAGGTAATTGAAGTGTTAAAGTTTTTCTATATTTGGTTTCAAAAATTTTCTATTTGTTCTAAATTACAGCATTCAAACGAAGAAGCACTGTTGGAAGTAGAACGAGGGAAATCTTATATTGCTTCAAATAGGACAAAACGTCAAATTTATGACCAGAGCGATGATTTTCAGGTTATTTTTATGATCCATACGGATTCAATAATTCTTAAACGTACTGATAACTCTCTTCTTTTTGGTTAACTATTAGAATATTAATTCTGTTTTCTTTTTTTACAGACCTTCAATCCGTTCCACAGAAATTCTATGTTGGATGCAGTGACCGGCATACCAATCGAAACGGAATGTCCAGGTTGCTGCATTCCTGGTCCTCCAGGACCACGTGGTCCAGGGGGCACACCCGGCAAACCTGGATCTCCAGGACCAGCAGGAAAACCTGGAATTCCTGGTACAACTCCGAACCAAACATGCCCGATGCAAATAAATCGACCACCTCCACCATGTCGTCCGTGTCCTAAAGGTCCTCCGGGCATTAAGGGGTGGCCTGGATTTCCAGGCGATCCGGGTCCAGTTGGAGAACCTGGAGCAAGAGGTAATTTGTTATTCTGAGTTCTGATTTATGCTTTCTCTTAATTGTTTGCTTGCTTCATTTTTAAATAGTTCAGGTAAAGATGGCAAAGACGGTGAGCCAGGTGAGCCGGGACCACAAGGTCCGCCAGGTTTTCAAGGTGGCCCTGGCGTACCAGGTGAAAAAGGTCCAACACCAGAAAGTGAACTTAAGGAAGGCCCGCCTGGAGACCCAGGGCCAGTTGGACCCGTTGGTGCTCCTGGTCTTCCAGGACTACCTGGTCGAAATGGAATGACAGGCTAGTTTATTTTTCTTTCATAAAAAGATCTCTCATTATCTAAATTGTGTCTAAAACAAATTTTAAAATGTTAATTCTAGGGCCACAAGGGGAACGTGGATGGCCAGGTTTACCAGGCGAGCCAGGTGAACCCGGATATCCAGGTCCGGAAGGTCCGGCAGGTGAACAAGGACCTCCAGGTAAATTTGTCTAAATTGCAAACAAATTAAAAAATAAGTAGATTGTAAGTAAATAGGTCGTAAACAAATGTTTCAGTATTACTCAAATAATAATCATCACAGTGGAAACAGCTTTTTCTGTTAATTTCTAATCTATTTATTACGACATATTAATTCACTCATCCCTCTTGTAAATCTAATTTCAGGAGAACCGGGAATATGCGTTTGTCAGAATGTTGATTCAATTGTTCTCGTGAATCCATCTGCATCTCAACCTCGGATAGCAGAACGTGTGCAAGCAAATTAATTAGATAATTGAAGTTAAGTGAACCTGGATGTAATAAATGTTTTAATATTACTCAAACAATAATCATCACATTACCAATGCTTAGTGGAACTACAGAACATAATGACCAATAGACGCAGACCTGGTATTCTTACCTGGGATTTTTTCATTTATCGTAGAATATTAACTTTTTTGCAGGTAAAAGTGATAAAACGAGAAGATAAACAAGACAAAATAAAATAATGGGTCATTCACTAATCACCATATAGTAAGCGAAATGATGTCACATTTCCCATCGTTAAACTTTATAGCATAAGATTAGAAATGTTTTCAAAAAAAGGATAATGAAGTTAACATTTACTGTTTGGTTATTTTAATTTTGATTTTAAAAGGCCATTTTTCTGTTTTTTGTAACAATTAATTTCAGTGATTTAAAGTTATTTGAGAGCGCCTTTAAAATCTCAATGAGATTTTGATTGGAATTTACATTTCTGTTCATTCCTTAACAGGTATGCATCACAAAATACAGTATAATTAATTGTCTGTTCGCAGCAACTTTTCGTTTTTTAACAATTTCAAGTTCATTTTTGAGTTTTTTGAATGAGTGATTGTAATAGGTCATTTAGAGAGACAAATGTCATCATTTGTACAATTGTGGTAGAAGTTTGAGAGTAGTGCTCAATTATGGAATGAATATAAATTGTATAGTTTTGAAAATGTTCCACAAATTTCCCAAATTTTATTTAGGTCTATTTAATGCAATGGCTTGATATTTAATTACTAAATTTTAGAAAATTTATTTTAAAATAATTTCCTGGTTCTAATGATGACTGATCAATGCAGACAAATCAACGATATAAAAATGCAGCCATTCTATGAATGCATAAATATCAGTGATTAATCTTTCTCTCACTTTTCCATTGTATTATGAAATTTAATGCAATAGCTTGATTTTAATTTATTTACTTTTTCTTAGTTTATTTTTTTCAAAATTAAGAAAATCAATGCAACAGTTATTTTTTAATTAAGCATTGTTGGCTTGCTTAAAGTTTTGATGACGTAATTGAATCATTAATAGTAAACGTGAACGTTACGTGTCTCAATATTTAACGTTGCAGTTTTGCAGTATTACTAACGAACCGCATAAATTTTTGAACTTTATATTGAAATGTGGGTACAAAAGGTAAATATTGTATTATCAAGCATAAATGATAATTGTTAAGTGATACCTGAAAGTTCCTTTTTATGAATTAGACAGCGTACAGAAGCTGATATAGTATTTTTTGCGGTTAAATCAAAATAAATTACAATCGTTCTCCATTCCATCATAACAACTTTTTCGATTGAAGCAAAAAATTCGATTTTATGATTGAAGTGGATTTCACTTCCGCACTTGAATCAATGATTCTTTCACTCACTTGTAATGTTAGTATCAGTCCTGTAAAAAGAGTTACTGCTTGATTACTCATTACCTTTGGATAGTTGCATTTAAGTGAATGTAATTACAATTTAATTTAAACTTTATAACCTGTAAAGAAGATAAGGAAATATGCGTAAAAACCCTCGTGTATAGCCGAATAGAGGCGCTGCTTCATTTGTAAGCAACGCGAAATAGCAGTAAGCACTCCGATTATGACTGAAAGACGCAGAAGTTGCCAGATCGTCCGATTCTCATTCCAAAAGCCAGAAATGCTGAAAAGGATTTCACTAATTTTTTATTTTTCAATGAAGAAAAATTTAAAAAAAAAAAAAAAAAAAAACTCACAGAAAGAATATCCATATAATGAAGACAAGAACAGTGGAGTAAATAAGACGCTCTGAATAGCTGCAAACTGATAATTGGTGCTTGAAGATGTCACCAGCTGATTTGGTGCTTAGTTCAAGGTCAACTTTTTGATTCAGTGACCTGAAATTCTTCTACTTTCGTAAATAGAAGCATAACGATAACGGATAAATTGATTGAGCTACTGGCAATAGAGTTCATCTTGCTCTTAATTGGCAAAACAAAAAAAAAGCATTTTAAGATGTTTACTTCACTCAAATTTGTGGCTCAATTTCGACCTAAATTTAAATGATTCCAATATCCTTTGTATTTTCTGTTTAAGTACAATTCAATAACCTCACATAGTATGGACGTGACTTCATTCCAACAATTAATTTGCTGTTCATTATTCACAAATGCAGGATACAAGAAATGTAAAACTTACAATGAAATTAGACGAAATTTAAAGGAAACAAAAATTGAAGAAACCTGAAACTTTCAAACTTCATTAATGGAATATTATACCAAATGTATCCGTGGATCCAAACTGGGCTGAACAAGAAGTCAAATATCTGACAACTGGAAAATGAAGCAATTAAGAGCCGGAAGGAAAAATTAATACGACGTCGAATAATTGCTTCAGTCGGTGATACTTCCTCAGGTACCAAGAAATATGCCATTAATAGCCAATCTCCTAAAATGATTTTAAAATAATTACTTGATCCGTTTAAACTAATTACTTGACCTTTTGCATAAAAATTTTTCCGTTGTCACAAGGATGTGACTCGTTTAGAGAATTTTCTTAGTGTGATCATTCGTTGCAATATTATCAGAGAAATGTTTTTTTGTGGAAAGATATAGCATAGTTTAACAGTTTTCTTACAAGAAAATTTTTCAAAATTTTATTCAACTGTCCTTGAAATATTTCCAAATCATTTATTTAAATTCATCTTCAATAATGATAAAATTTTTAAGTAAAAATATGATGGAGAATTTGAATGAACTATTAATACTAATCACCTTATTGATGATTGAGTCCTATCTGATACCTAAGTTACCTTTCCTCACTTCATTTTAAATTTCTGAGACAGTAACTAATATATTATTGTAATTCTGTGATAGAAAGAAGAAGGAAATGGCAGTTGACAGTTCCTCTGTCACACAAATTTCCAAGGACGCCCCAGATTTTGAAGCGTTTCATTCAACATCGAATAATGATTGGTAGGTCAGAATAATTTATGTTAAAATAGTTTGAGGAAGGAAAACTCAATTTCATAATTAACCCATCTATTATTGAATTGAGCTTGAAATTTTCTGTTAGAATTTTTGTGACATTGTGTTATAATATAAACTTTTCTTTCAAAAAGATTAGTTCTGCAATGTAGTAGACAATCAAAAAACTTTTTTTGCACCTATTGTTTTCTAACCTTGAACTGTTTGTTTGAACTATTTGTTATGTATCAGACATTTTTCAATTTTACACTTTAATAGGAATCAAAACTTCATTTACTTGTTAAAGGGACAAAAAGATTTCACGGAACTGAACTGAATTAGAACAAACATGAACATTATAAATTGAATAGATTTTAACTGATAAAAAGTAGTAGAAAAGTGAGAAAATTGAAATTTATCAAGTGTTTCATGCTATTAGTAAAATTTCATCCAAAATTATTTATTTCATAGTATTTATAATGCCATTTTTATTTGATTGCATCTTACCTATTTTCACAATTTGGCATATTTGTCATAAGCATTTTTTTATGCATTTGCTTATTTTAAACTTTAATAAATTAATAAGATTAATCTAATTTTTGCATTGTCCTCAATTATGCTCAATAACCAGGTAGAAGCAAAAGGTTAATTGTTAAGCCAGTGAGTAGTAAGAATATTCATTAACTTGAAAGATATTAAAAATAATTCTTCATATTAATAAACCAATCATAAAGCCATTCCTTATCAAAACCATTCCTGTTGGTAAGTTATTCTTCAAGTTTCTAAAACAATAATGTAATAAATTAATGATGTAAATTACCACATATTCATAGAAGACTAATTATTTTCTGCTTTTCATCTTTGCTCCGCCAAAGTTCAATTTCACTTTCACATTACACTTTTGATGTATTGTGGAAGAGATGTAGTTCATTTATTCGCCCTTTTCGAAAATATTTAATCTATTTCTATTGATATTGTAAAAAGTTTTTTCAGTAATATGCAGGAATCAAAAGTAAAAAAAAATAACTTTTAGAAAGGATAAATCCGCTTGATACAGTAATATGTTCTTTATTTATAATAACGAAACATTAAGGAATGATAAAGTATGAAATGACGCTAATATGAGAGAGGAAAAGAAAGTATGCTCTACCTGATTTCTCGCATTCTTTTTTAATTGATTAATACTTTTAAAATGTTTATTTGCCTTTTCTATTGGCTTTATGGTCATTAATTGTTCATTTCATTTCTAATCTATAACTTGACTAAAACTTAAACGCAAGTAAAACAAATTTATAACAAATGATTGCTAAAATTTTTGTTTATAAAATCTGGACATTATGATCTAAAGTTACAAAATGTTTTGGCAATTTCAGAACGCCTGGAATACATTTTCGTTGGAGAAATAGAACAGCTGCTTCTTCACCCGTCTTCACAGTCTTTTCCACTCAAATCCATTTCAGACTTAGAATTTAAACAAATCTCAAGCTTTCCAATATTTTTCAACCTTTCGTTTGCTCTATACATGTATCTTTTCTCCTTTCTAACCATAAAATCTTCCTTCTCCATTACAAATTCTAGGCAAGCAGCTTCCATTGTAAAAGCAACCACTTTTTATTTGCTTGTCGTCGATCATCGACATTCCACTCAATGATATCTGATCGCGTTCGCTTTCCTTTTCTCCTCCCAAAAAAAAAACAAATTCTTGTAAGAAATCGCAAATAAATATTATATTTTAACTCGAATATACTCGAAATTCAATCTAATCGATATATCGTCATTGTGTCTTATGTATCGCTGCCCTTAAACTAACACAGATTCTCATAACTTTTTTTTTTTTTTTTTGCTCATATTTGTGGGATTTATTAGACAGTCACGGAATAAAAACTGTTGGAAGCGGAAATATTTTTCAGTTTGTCGTCTAAAGAGTTTGATAATGTTAATCGAGAATGCTTTAATAATTTTGAAATTTTTTGATAGCAGTGATTTCATATAGGTCTAACTCCTCATATATCAAAATTTGAAACAGCATAAGGACATGTGAAACTGCTGGAAACATTATCAAATAAATCTTACTCTTGCACAGCTGCTTCCATCCAGTAAATAGCATTGAAAGAGTTTGTTTATCGCCTAAATATACAAACTTCTTTATCTCATCGCTTCTTCACTTCCAACACTAAATTATACATTAATTTATGTATTTCGTTTTTCCAATTCTCATTTGTCTTCCATCATTTGTTAATTGAATTTCTATTATTTTCATCCCAATAATAAATTTTGTTGAAAATTACGAAAATCTTTGCACTTTACACCTTGTTTATATTTACTAACAAATTCGTTAAAATATAAATGTTACTAATTAAACTATTATAATAAATGAATAGAAATGATAGCAATCATGAAAAATACTCAAGTCGCCAAGGTATACAAACTGTATTCTGAAAAAGACTTTAAAAATTAAGAATATAAAAATTCGACCAATTAAATTTATTTATTTCTGTACATAAATCTGCGAAAATTGATCCATAATAATCTGTGAGAAACAAAATTTAAATAAATTTAGTTGATATTTAATCTAAATTTAATTGTTAATTTGAACTATCAAGTGTTTTGTCCACTATAATTAATTCTTAAATAACTATGGCTGTAACATTCTGTCAGGTGAATCGTGTAAAAATGGCGTTAGTGGTTACTTTTTCTAAATTTCTTTTTAATTCGATTGAAATAAAAAAGAAAAATTCCGAAGTGGAAAGCAAATTTAAAGTATAGGTGCAATGTAATGTGAATAGCTTAAGAGAAGTTAGTTCTGACTAGTCATCAAATGCAATTATTCATCACTAATCCTCATGATCAGTTATCAATAATTTGTCCTTGTCATAGTTCGAATCATAGTTTCTGAAGAAGAGAAAAAATACTACTAGTAAACTGCACACACTGCTTCCTGCAGACCTACTTTTGCGCAGACCTCGGGCCTTTGTCTGAACCTGTCGCAGGCCCACTCTTAGTCCTTGCACGCCTTCTTTTATGTCCTTGCCCACTTTCGAGTCCTCGCAGGCCTATCGAAAGCCTACTTATGAGTCTTACAGAGTTTCGTTTGAATCCCTCAGAGGCTCGCTTGCCCGTATTATGGCATATCTTTCTTATAAAAATGAATTTACTCAAATTGGCAATTTTTTTTTTTTTCGCATCTAACAGTGCATGTAAGCTTGATTAATTATTTTGAGTGTCACTTAAGGGACAAGGACAACTCTTGGCCGAAAATCACAATTTCAATTATGAAACTGCTCCGTTCAAGGCACTTGCTGGTAAGTCAATTAATGGATGAATTCATGCAGTGAAATGATTGTGATTGGTTTATGTGATCTCTTTTGAATGATTCATCTGAATGTATCAGAACGATGCTTAAATCCATCCAAAGATGACAAAGTTAAAACAGACAGAAAGTGACAAAAGATGAAGAAAAAAACGCATAATTGCAATTAATAAATTTTACCTTCTATGAGGATACCGGACGTTCAGGATACGGATTTTAGAGTTTTATGTGATTCCAACCTGAGGCAAAACATAAAAGTTGGTAAACTCATGTCTCTCCCTCTCTCACTCTCCCTTTCTCTCTGCTTCTGTTTCTTACTATTTTTCGTTCTCATCTACTCCTTCTACTCAACAGCACATCGACACCATTTGTAATTCTAAAAAATGACTGCGTTTATCTAATTTTCCAGCTATTTTCTTACTCCTTTATCTCTTTCAAATTTACTAAGCTTTGGTACTTCTAAATTAACAGTAAAATCATCTATTTACTGAAAAAAAAAAAGAAAAAAAAACTCTGTTCCATTTTTAATTTGTCAACTTACAAATCTGCGACATTCCTGAAATCAGTTTAAGTCATAAAGAATGGTAGATCTTTTCATCTTAATTGATCATCTTTATTCCATGTGTTTTACTTTACTTCAAATGCACATGCATGTAAAGGCGCATACACAAATACTATTTGGAAAAGGGAATATGAATAAAAACTCTGGCTTAAAAATATAGAAGTTTCGCTTCACTAGTACTCATCATTTCATTTCTTCTCCACTTGATATCTGATTTCTGATAGATACTTCATTATTTGTCACATTCATCAAAAGGACCGACGAAATTGTTAGCTGAGAAATTCTCGGTTAGTCTTATTGACATTGAAAACGGTAAGGAATCGAATGACCCTAAATACTAAGATTCCAATGCACATCTAATATCATTAATATTTCTTGGTCGAAATGATCGTTGAACTGTAACTGATTCAATTTTTAATGAAATTTAAAACGATGACATCTTATTAATAAATCGTTAATTATCATTTTTCCTCTAATACTTGATAAAGTTAATTTGAACTAATATCACTAATGAGTAGCAATAAAATACTATTTGTCACAAAATTATAATATTTGAATTAAAATAATTGAGTGTTAATAAAGCAAAAAGTGCAAAAATTATGATACAATTTATCAGTTCTGCAAATTGTCCATGAATCTTAATCAGAGGAAATACTGTTACATGGTCACTTTTTCAAGTAAAAATCAAACTTTCATTTTATTTTTTATAAATTCAACTTAATTTCTCAGCTCTTTCAAACTTCTCTTGTTTCTATTTTTGCAGGATAGAAAGTTTTAACGAAGTGCTTAATTTTTAAAATATTCTCCTGGTGTTTCTATCGATAACTAGCATGTGTGATGTTAGACTCCTGTCTCAAGCACTAATAAATTGATCTCTTTTATCTGTTATCCAATTCTTGACTTCCTCCACTAAAAATGTAATCATCTCAACAGTTAATAATATTGAATATGTACTTTCTTCTTGAGATTTTTATGTATAAAAAGTCTATAATAGTCTATCAGAAATTCTCGAAAATCACTCTTTAATGATTTAAGTTTTATTATTATCAAAATCGATTTTCATTTTATCAGCAATGAAATGATTACGTATGCATACATATTATCTTTAAAGCGCTCTAAAGTTTTGTTAAATTTCGAAATAAATTTCAAAACTTCAGTAGTTCCACTAAATTTTACTAACTTTATTATATTTAACTTTTCATTTGTTTGAAACTTGTTTCAATGCTTGTCTTGCACTAAAAACCAGTCCAAAATTTTTGAAAAATTAGCAGCAAGTTTTTGTCAATGTTTTAAAGCATATCATTTAACAAAAATCTTGAGCAAAAAAGATTTTAATACCATTTTTTTTTATTTCTCTACTTATACTTATTTAAATTCATAGGTGATAGATTTTAATTTTGTTTAAGTTTATCAGATCTAATTTAGTAGACAGTTAAAATTTTATATTTATATTTAGGAGTTCTTTTATTCGAAATTGTTGCAGCTGAGAAATTAGGAAAAAATGTTTTGCTTTTTCCAGCAATAGCATTTTTTTTGATAAAGCGCACTTCGTAATATGTGTTGTGTTTTCATTTTTATTTTAATGGAGTGGCTGTCCAAATAAGCAGCCACTGTGATTAGCATTAGTTATGATGATTTACTCAGCAAAATAATCTTTTTCTTTTTTAAAAAAACCAAACTAACATCATTTAATATTCTGTTTAAGCCATCATTTTGAATATTTCATTCAATGAACCTCACAACATTCTAATGATAATTGCTATTTCCTTATCAGAATACTTGTCAGTTTGTTCGTCGACTTACTTTTCATATCTTAATTAACCAAAAATTTCCATTTGTTCAGAATAAGTCTGTGCTTAAATTTCTAAAAAACACTGAAAGACAATTTAAATATCACTTATCTTACTTACATATGACAAGTTATAATTTTCAAATCAACCCTCAATTAGCATTAAAGCTTAAAACTTAGTGCGACTGCTATTTTATTCCTTAGCTCTAAAACCAGAAACAGTTTTAAAAAAAAAAAAAAACAATTTCAAAGAATATGTAATTAAGTCTTGCAGAAAAATATGAAAATATGAAATTAGGTCCCTTTGCTGAATTTAGATCGATTCTCATGTGAATAAATTTTAATTTATAGCCACAAATATTTGAACAAATCCCATTATCGTCCATTTTCAAAACAAATTTAAGAATGTTTTTTTTTTTTTTTTTAGTATTCTAAAAACTAAAGTTTTATTCGTGTTAACTATATGCTGAAAAAGACTTAAATAGTTGTTTGTAAATGCTTAGCATGAATTATTTTACGTCTGCAAAATCTTGATATCGTGGTCAAAATATCGAGAAGTAAAAGGAACAAACAAATAAATTTAGATTACGACTGAAAAATTAAATTTCATCCGGATATCGAGATTTTCCTCCTTTCTTGTAAAGACAAATTACAAATAATAACTCATATTGATCAAAAAGTTTTTGAATCTTTTTATTCTAAACTTTTTAGCTAATACCCATTAAGTTTTCATATCCAAATATTATCAGACTTAATCTTCAAACAGTTTGTCGAAATTGTTTTCCTACTATCATTACTACTCACTAGCACTTCGAAAGCCATCTGCAATCAAAGAAAGCAGTTGACAGAGTGTAAAAGTGAAATGGTTTCTTCGAAAAGCTTCAATTTGAGATATATTGCCTTTTTTTAAAAAGTTTCCAGTTCAGATGTTTTGAATTATTGCGTTCAGTGCTAGCTTCTAAGTTTCTTTCATGCATTTCCAAGCATTTTTTTAATAGTTCGACACTGGCATTTTATCAGCTTCGCTGTGTTTTGCTTAATTTCTGAAATCAAACGATCTATCTGACAACTGGTAAGAATTGCATTTACAATGCAAACAGTCTGAGATTGCAACTTGCAAGCAAACAGTGTTGCAATCAAATGCATTATTCATATGCTAATGCTATTTGCAATTGCATCTTATAAATTTGTATTTGTCGAATAATGCGAACAATACTTTACGATGATTTGCTTTCGACACATTCGAGAATATCTAATTTTTATGCAAGGTTTATTTTTATTTCAAGTCCGTTAAACATATTTTAATTAAAATTTCTTATAAATCCAACCAAAGATCAAGTATTTTATTCAAAAGTTTTGGTTAATTATTAAAAAGAGAAAGATTTATAAGAACAATAGTTTTTCAACGTAACATACACTTTGTTATTTTATTGGACACTTCTTGAATGTCACTGCTTAGCAAATTTGTGATTTAATGTAAAAAACATTTGCATAACTATTGAAAAAAAATTGCAGAGTAGTAAAATTTTATAGATCATTCTCTTTTAGAAGCAAATTTGAAAAACTGAACTTTGTTTCGGCTTTTCGGAGAAAATATTATTCCGTAATATCAGCGCAACACAGCTCCAAAACCCATCATTTTCTTTTCGAAGAAATCAATATTTTCTAAAAAGTCTTCGTAATAACTTCCTTCAACTTTACATTAACTATTTTTATTTTCTAATTTTTTTTATGAAAAATAATAAATTGTTCAAATTTTTAAACATTTACCGTAGCAGCTGAGAATGGTTTTTTTTCCTTAAATTATTTTAAAAATTAGATATTGTCAGAGTCAGTGAAAATACCAAATAAAGCTAATTAGTTATAATCGCAACATAATTAAATTTCAAGCTCATTTATTTGGATAACTAAATGTGTGATTATTAAAAGACTGGTGGCTTTGTTATTGCTGATTAATTTAAGAATGACTTGGCTTGTAAGAGGGAAAGCAAGAACAAGCTGGACCAGCAAAAGCAAAATTTAACAGTTTAAAATCTTTAGATATTTTCTTAAAGTTGAAGGGCACAAGCAATGTTTAGCACTTCTGAAATTAGGATAGGAGCAAAATGAGTTAAACAAAAAGCAAAATAACCTTCCAAATTCGCTAAATTAAAATGAATAGTTCGTACTTGCATGAATCACTTTTAGACATCTAATTCGTACTGCATCGAACATAAATTGTCGTGAACCAAACATTTTAAGACTTTTATTAGTTGTTAAATACATGAAAGCAACAAAATATCGTAAAATATCTTGAAAAGTTTGTTTATAAAAGTACTCTATAACTAAGAAAGAATAATTCTTTCAAAGTGTCCAAAGGTTTACTCCGAGATAATCTGATAAGTTCCGAGATAGTCTGATAAGCCCCATCGTGCACAGTTGGTACAAATGGATGGTTTTGTGAGAACGCTGGCTAACTATGAAAGAGAATTTCACTCTTTCGGTCTTTCTTCACTAGGACTCCAAACTTTCTGCATTATTTCTCTTCTCTTCGTTAATTACTCAATTAATCACGTTATATCGAAAAGCAACTGTTCTCGAATTGTACTGTTTCTGCTAGAACAATCATATGTCTATCATTCAATGAGTTAGTAGCTGTAATGGATTAATCCATTAATTTAATTAATCATTAGTCCATTAATTTAATTAATCATCAGTCTATTAATTTAATTCATCATCCTACTAATTAGTTGAATTATTATTGCCACATTATATTTCCAAAAAGATATTTTCTCTGCTAATCCAGAAAAGTAGTAGTAATCTCTTCGTGACAAGACGATATTGAAAGTTATCATTTGGAAAGTGATAAGAAAATGAATAGGATATAGGATCCACATTGAATCTTTTTAAAAAGCGAATTGTATATCACAGAACTGCTGGAAGTGGAATGTGTTGATATTCTCTCATAGCAGAAGAAATAGCTTTTACATGACTTCCATGTAAAACTTTAAATGGTAGCGTTTAAGTTAATTTAATTCACTTTAATTTGAGAGCAATAAAAGACTCTAAAATTTAGAATGCATCTGGAAATAATGTTTACCAGTGTGAAGTGAAAAATGAAGTGAAAATCTACTTCTGAGTAACTTATTGTTTTTTCGTTTTTCAGACAAAAAGAATGAATAATTGTTCGTTACTTCAGAAGGTGCGTCAACGTTTCTAATGGGTATTAGAATCCAGGACAATTGCACATCGATGGGTCAACGTATCGCCAAGCACCACATGCAATCCGGCGTTAAACTTTATCATCAACGGCGTCATCAGCAAGCAATTGCTCGTTGGCGAGCTGCTCTTCGACGACTTACGTAAGCCGTGTCTCTATTGTATTTTCCTAATCATTAATCATGTTCAATTTCATTTAATGCTGGAAATAATTTAAAAGACCATGGATAATCCAAATCACTAATGGAACATTTCTGGAAGAAATTTTGGATGTTAAATGTAAATGATTCAGAATCCTGAAATATTCACTGACTGATTTATGAGTATTATTCATCACAAACTATCAATCCGGAAATTGCGATTTTATTTGCAGAAATGCAGAGGACCGTTTTATAACGATTGGATATATGGTGCAAGCATATTGTGATGCAAGCAATTACCAGCAGATGTTGCGATACGCTTTGCAACAAATGGAATTAGCCAATGTCCAGCAAGACGAATTCATGAAAAGTGAAGCATTCCTGAATTTGGCTAAAGCATATGAACGATTGGCCGATTTCGGCAAGGCAATTGGTTACGGTCGTGCTAGTCTACAACACCCAAACATAGATCCAAGAACTCTCGGGCATGCTCACCTCGGTTCCATTCCTTTTCTTCTTCATCGAAAATTTCTGATTAAGAAAAACTTAAAATTTTGTGATAAATTTTTAAAATATTTGAGAAATTTTCCAATCATGCATTGCATACAATTAATAGTTAGTGGAATGGATCCATAGAGCTTTGCTATTAATATATTTTATAATCTGAAAGAATCATATTTATTCATTTTATTAAGCTGTCAATTCAATTTACATGTAAAGCATGAAACTATATTTTAAAAAGTATTTAAATTAACAAAATTTTACTTGCATTTATGTTATGCGTTATAGTCGTGGCTTTATCACAGCTTGGATTCAGTCAATTCCAAGCAAGTCTAGAAGCATTTGAAAAAGCGATGTGTGTCGCAAACCAGTATTCTGATAGGTTATTGGAATTACAAGTTTGTGTTGGACTTGGTGTTCTCTTTACCTTACTCAGGTTTGACATTTTATTATGACCTTAATCACTTATACTTTATGCGCTCGAAATGAATGTCTTTAGTAAGCTTTGCTTGCACTTGGCATATCACCGACTGTTTATTGGTATAGCCAAACATAGCTAAGCTTCCTCAAAAGAAGATTGAGAATGATAACGATAAATTGATTAATACCTCTTTCATTCACTTTTTTGCTACTTCCGTTAGTTTAAAACTTATTTTAAGACATATCGAAATAAATTTAGCATATATTTTCAAAAAAGCAATATTTAACAATTGCATTCATCAAAATTAAAACCATCAGGGACTTTTCGAAAGCAATTTTATTTTTGCGAAATGCATTGGCAATTCTGGATGGTGTTACGGTCGATGATGTGCATGCAAAATATCGCAGCGTCGTGCTTTATCATTTATCAGTTGTCCTGCGGAGAAAGGGTTCATTGGTAGATGCGAGAGCAACATGTGATGTATGTTTTCCTTTCTGTTTTAAATGTCAGATTCAAAATGTCATAATTTCAATTATCTTACATAATGCTTTTTCTGCTATAAAAAAATCGAAAGTTTGGAAGTTCTTTCCGTCTTTTATATCAGTTGGATGTGATGAGAAGCATTCTGCACCTTCTAATTCAATTCAAGACTCACTTGAGTTACTACAGTTTACACAGAGCAAAGAGCAAGCAAATTCGAAGCATCGATCGTGATCTGCAATATTTCTACAGGAAGCAATGAAATTGGCTCAAGAAACTAACAACCGCTCCGTGTATGCTCGTTGCTTATGTTCCATGGCTAATATATGTCGTGACCTGGGTGAATCTGAAGCCAAAGAAACTCTCACCGTATGATTTTGGGTCAAAAATAACGTTTAGTAATAGGAATATTGTAATTAAAACACTATGAATGTGTGTGTGTGTGAAGAAATAATTATGTAATAAATAATGATAAGAAGAATGATTAAACATGCAAATATCACTAATTTGCAAATAATTCGACATTTTTTTTTTGGTTTTACTTGAATATTTCATTAAAAGAAAAAATTTTGAAAACTATTAAACAACAATTGTTGAACGATATTCCAGAAAAGCTGGTCACGTTATGAAGAAGCATATCGAATGATGCGTCAAACAAATGATCGTATGGGTGAAGTATTAGTTCTTGATAGTATGGCCAAGTCAGCCTCTGAATGCCGCACTTTTTACACTGGTAAATGCGAGTGCCAGGTTAATTACATTCTTTGATCAATCAAAAGCGATCGGTATCATTTTAGGAATAAAAACTTTGCATATATGTCGCGCACTATCTGCATTCATCCCTTTTTCTTACTTAAATCAAATCCGACCTTGCGGTACTTTTAAAAACTGAAAAAAGAATGAAAAGATGAATTTTGATTCAAATATAACAGTTAGTAAATGTTTCTTCTTTTCTTTTCTTTAAGTTTTTAAAATTCGAACCAATACCACTATTTCAATATTACTTTTCTTAATTATTACTTCACTGTTTCAATATTACTTGGTGACTGTGTAAACTTATATTTGGATCAATATTTGCAGGCGATTCAGCTCAATAAAAAATGCTTAGAAGTAGCTAAGGCGATCGGATGTAGAGTTAGTATTTTTCTTTCTAGAAATTTTCATTCAGTACTTTGACTAGTAATTAATTTTGGATGATTTTTTTTTAAATTTAGACTGAGATCTATAATAGTTTTTTTCTTTTTTATATGAAATGTTCATCAGTGCTCTTTAAATCTAAATAATCACACTTTTAGCATGCAATGATGAAATGTCATCTGAGGCTGCAGGATCTTTACAATCAGCTAAATGATGAGGACAGTGAAGAGTTGGCCAGAAAAGCGGTGACGTCGTTAACACAGGAGATGGAGTTGTTTTGTAATTTCTGTGGACAACGATATGGACTATACGATGATTCTTTGCAGGCACTTCGATGTTCTCATATTTTTCATGAAAGGTCAATATATTTTTAACATTTTTATTTTACGGAAAATGATAAATACGAATAACAATTTAAAAATTCGCGATTTTGTCGGATACAGTATTTTTTTAATTAATTCTTTAAATATTTCCTGAAGTTCTTGACATTTGTAGAAATTCTGTCTATTAGTTCATTCGTGAAAATCCCATTTGTTAATGTTTTTAATGAATACTTCATAAATATGTAGTATGCAAATTATTCATTTTGTGGTAATCCTTTCAGATGTTTACAAGCATATTTAGCAGAGTGTTTAAATCCAAACTGTCCTAAATGCCAATGCAAAGCAGTACTTATGGACAGCGTATCAGTAAGCACGCTATCCGTTTCATCGTTTGTCGCTACTTCACGTTTGTCGCAACCAATTCCTTCTTCCGGCAAGTTTGTATGGCACTTGTGTGGCTATCGTAAATTAAATGATAATCGCTTCCTATGAAAATAAAAAATCTAAATTACTATGAAAGAATTTCACTAATTACTAGCAAGGCAGTGTTCCTTTTTTTTTTTTGACTTCTATTCAAAAGACTTGTATAATTTTTCCAGTGAAAAAATGATTAACGCAATTAGTCTTGTCTTTTACTATTTTATTCGTTTATGTGTTTCATTCGCTAATATGTTAACTCTATAGAAGATATACCATTTCGGTCCACAACAGAAGAAATTGATACTGTCAAATCATCTGTGATCGAAGGACAAACTTCAAGTGAACGACATCCAAAGGTTTCATTATCACATCCAACATTTCGAGAATTAAAAACAGTTCAGAATAATATCGACTCACCACACATTTGCACCACTGCAGTAGTTCCAGCAGTCGGATCTCTTTCAAGTAATCTTCCCTATTCATTTCAATTTTACATTTAAGAATCTCAATTGTGTAGCATGCTTCGACCCTTCTTAAACTCATTTTGAAGAGAATTATATTTCATTCGTAGTAGTAGTAATGTAACTCATTTTCAAATATAATTGACACAGCTTTCCTTTACTTTGTTATACTTTTAACTTTACCTTTGCAGTGAACACATTACCGAAACTACCCGTTTGCAAGATGGATGGCACATTGCTAGTCTCTTCAGTGCTAAACTACTCGGAAGAAGAACTACGAACAGGTGGCCCATTAGTATTACCACGTGGGCTTACCATTACTGATGTGTAGATTTCTCTTCCTGTCACTTTGTTTCTGTTTTTTCCTAATTTTAATCAGTTGATATTAATTTCGATAACTTATCATTCCTTTAGTTTACTGTTCAAAAGTGATAATAAAGAATCTTAGGAACATTCTTCCTTTCTCTTCTAAATAATCAATTTATGAAATTCCAAAAATTGCTGAAATCAATAGGATTTGCAAAGCTTTATATAGCTATCTGATATGTCTAATTTTTCTTTTGCTTATGAAACTGATGATTTTGATTAAACTGAATTTGAATATGAAACAAAATCTTTTTATCAATTCCAAACCTATCCCAAAATTTTTTCATTCAAATTATCTGATCTTAAAATGCATGTTTTTTCTTTCTCATTTAGCAGACCACTTGCCAAAAATTTCTCCATTTCCTTTATATTTGTTGTGAATTTCTTTCTTATACTTTTAAAAGTTGAACATTTTTATTCTTAATAATAATAAATAAACGTATCAGTGTACGACAGAATTTTTTGTAGAATTTGGAAATTTTGACTGAACTTTAAGCTATTTGAACAGAAAATTGAAATTTCTGCTTTTTCAAAGTTTTTATACAAATTTTACAGACATTATTAGCACTAGCTTTATTCTAAGCCATATATGCAGAAATGTAAAGTGGTTGACAATGAATTTAAGACTTTCTGTTTGAAAAAATACTCGGTTATTTCAGTAATGATCTATTTGAAGAGTGCCGAAGGAGCGCTTTTAGTTTTCTACAACTCACTAAATCATTAAATCTAAACTGTCCAATTTATTAGCCACTAATAGTAACAGTCAGCTCATTTCTGTTATTTTAACTAAGTTAGCCAAAGTCACCGTTGTGTATAATTGAAACTATGACATCTGTTTTCGGTAATATTCTCCTCTGCTTCACCTCAACAAATCACTGAAATATTAAAAAACATAAGATATTTCGTCACAATTTTTAAAATGAATAATAGGAATATCCAAAATATGTTTAATTCTTCATTCAATGAAAGTTTGCTGATTGTGAACCAGATTTATCGATTACTTTAACACCAATTAAAAAGTTTGTTGTATTTGGAATGCCAGTATAGAACGAATTTGTTACCGAATTTGCCATTCTATGACTGCCTTTTTCCCGAAATTTCCTTTATAATATATTTTCCGACGAGTGCAGAGAAACCTGTTGGCTTTTACCTCAATGAAAACTATTCGAGGATCTGCTTTAAATCGTTTTATAACAAGCAAAAACTAAAGGATACTTAAGAAAGTTATGAAAACATTTTCGTCCTTATATTTAATCTAAAAAGCTTCAAATATTTCATTGAGAGTTTTAGAATAAAAGAAAATTCAACCAAATGAAAAGGACAAAAAAGGGATTTTTTTACTTTTTCTGTTTCAGAATATCAGAATGTTTAAATTTAGAAGATTAGTTTCCTTTATTGAAATTTAAAACTAAGTAATACATATCAAAAATCTTCAAAACAAAGTATTTAATCCTTATCAACAGTAATAAATTTTGATGTCTGCTTTGACACGAAGAACACTCAATAATTTGTCATTCCTACAGCGTCATAAATTGAAAATCTAAGGATTTTAGTGTCTGGTACTACCACTGCTTGGTTCAGTTTCTGGAAAAAGCTTATATTGTTAGCAGTCCAAATTGTTCATCAATACCAGAAATTTGAGTACCGGATAATAACTTTGAGCAGTAAAAAGAAATCAACCGAAACCAGTTGCTGAAATCCAAAGTCTTGTAAAAGTTTTTTGTCTAAGCTTATCTAGAGATCAAAAATTTGATTGCTAAGTGAGTATTTGGAAAGTAAATATCAAACTTTTCAATTTTAATATTTCATTTTCTATTTAACTTTAGGTTTACATTCGCGTTTTATATTTTGTCACTTTTACAAAAACAGTTGTATAATAAATTAAACAATGTCAAAAATCTTTTGAAATTAGTCATAAGAACATTGCAAATGGATTTTCTTGGATTAGCTCTAAGAGAGATAAAAAATTGCTGGAAAACAAAAAGGATAGTTCAAAAAAAAAAGTTTCATATTTATAAATACTATGCAAAATAATTTATCATAAAACAGTTTTATTCATTAAGTGAAATTTTAAGTAGTTCTGATAAAATCTGTTAATTGTTTAATACTCTTTCATAAACTAATGGCCAATTCGTGTTTTGCTTCAAGAAATTCTTTCTATTCAATCGGGTCTTCTTATATCCGAAAATCTCATTGTGTCAACTAGCGCCACCTTTAGACAACAATCTCAGTTTTTTCTCATCAACCCCTTACTATAAAAGTGTTTTTATCAAAAAATGTAACAAAATAAATATGAATGAAGAAGTGTACTGTCACCACTATGCGTAGACACTTTACAACACTAAGATTTTGTTTGCTTTGAGAGTTGTAGTATGACTAATACTGAAATATTGCTTTACTTAGTAGCACAGTTACTCTGAGCATCCATACACTACTGCCTTAATTCCTTAATTGTACTTTGATTCTTTCAAATTCTTTAAAACAAATTTAAAAAAACTATTCAGCTGTATAATGATCAAGGAAAAACTGACATACATATGAAAAATGAGAAATATTTAGGGTTGAGAGTGTTCAGTCCTCATTCGATTCGATAAACTATTCAAATCTCAGAGAGAAAAAAAGAAATTCTTAGCGAAGAGAAAATAAAATGGATTACAGGAAGAATCATTGAATTATTCATACTGCACAATATAGTTAGAGAAATAAATTTAAAAAGGAAGAAATTTTGATCAAACAGAATAAATTTTTTCCTTTCACGTTAAAAAATGACAATAAAACTCAAGAAATTCCTTTGTTTTCAGCCAAGTTGAAGAAATAATGTTTATCGTGAAACTACAACAAATATCTATTTCAGTGATTTTGCTTATCAAGAAATGGAATCAAATTTCTCAACTGTTAGATTAAGCCACCAACCTGTTAGACTTTGAATGTTCAGATTTCTCAAGGCAATAATACTAAACATCAAGCTAATCATGCTAAGTCTCAGAAATTGAAATTTCAATGTGCTCAATTGTTTTAACATTTACTGCAATCACTCAAAATGAGGAACACTGCACTGTTTGTGTTCTAAAAGTATATGAGATGTTAATTGAAGTAATCCACTTCAGCAAAAGAAAAATTTAGATATAGGAACGGTAATAGGTAATTAGTTGAAGTCTAATTGTAGCAAATTATTCTAACAGTATTGCATCGGGCCAAAGTGGATCTATGTGCCACTTAAAATGCAATTTACAATGTCATTAAAGGTGACAAACAATACTAATACTTGTTTTACATCTCTTACAACAGCAAAAGTTATGCTATGAAGATAAATAACAACACCAAGCACTAATTTTCTGTCTTCGAAATTCAAGTTAAATTCAGAGCTAAAATCCTGAATTTTAACTCGAATTCAAAAGATACCGAATAAGCATGCATTAATAATTTTAAAAATTAGTGGTACGTCCTCATTTGGTATTGCTTGCTTTTTAAATTCATAACTGAGTAATTTGAATATCATTATTATCACTAATTACTGCAATAATTTGCAAGTTATCAGAACGCAAGCTCACTAAATAATTTACCAAACCAAAAATGTATGATAATATCAGGAAGCATATATCTCCGCGGGCTTCTAACCCGGAATATTCACAGACTCCTGCAAATTCTGTTTGCCCGACACTCTTCCCATGCATTATTTCACAAATGGAATCGATAGTGATTTCATTGGTTGCCTTCGTTTTCATTGGTTTAAGTAATCGTTTGTTAATGCAGTTGGTGTGATTGCATCTAGTTCAATAATTCATTGTTTGACAAATTCCTTATAAAATTCTTTCAAATTATAATTTATCAGAATTATTGTCCCAAAATTAGGCGAGCGAAATATTGAGCACAACTGCGCCGTTATCTGCAATTGCACTGCAAATTGCAACTCTATGTGCGCTCAACAATTCCAACTTAGGCTTACAATCAATACTTGTGATTCATCATACCAAGTGCAATGTGCTAATGTTTGTTAATAATTTAAAACGCAGTGTACTGTCCATTTTTACATACTAATGATTGGCATTCTTCATTTATCACTCTTTGACATAGTACTTCACTGATTATCACTGTTGCTATCACTTGTGTTATTTTCATTCCTATTATTTAGGCTCAGTTATGACGTTTTTTTAATACTGTTTTACTATTCATTCCGTACATATGTTCTGACAAAAAGGTGAGATCCAAAAAAGAAACATTCCCTTTCCGAATTATTTGTACCAAAATGTTTTTATTACATTTGAGATGAATCAGTTTTCAAATCCAAATATAAGTGAAAAGAATATTTTCATTAGTATGCATCAATTTGAACGTGTCAAAATGGCATCTTATCATTGTAAAAAGATGTTAAATTTCTTCATTGAAAGTTATTACATTCATTAAAGAGAACAAATAACAAAAAGTTTAGATTATTTGTTTAAAAATTCCAAATCTTTTTCAAGAGTTTCGGTTATTTTTGTCTTTCAACACAAATTGTTAACTCATTCCTGGCAAAAGGAAGAAAAATGTGGCTTTTGATCACGAGGTATTATTGCTGCTATTTCTCTTGCTAGTTGATGGTAATAGGAGCTTGAAAAGTGAAATGAACTTAAGCAATGAATTATGAAAGCTCAAGAGAGCACAGTGACAGTATAGCTCGAACTCAACACTTCCTCCTTTTGTTTCTACTTCAAGTCTGTTTGATAAAAGATTCTCCACTATCCTTTAAGCCTTAATTCCTTCCATATCATAAGCCAAAGCAATTCTCATCTGTTTCAATTAAATTTTCTTAGCATTTATCAAAAGAAAAACCAGTATTGATTCATCATTTATTGAGGATAAAAGATAAAGAAGTCCTCCTTCTCATTTCAATCCTCATTTTCTTGAAATAAATTCATGCTGTGAGGCCGACCTGAATTGATAAAAAGAGGAAAGAAGCCTTTCTTAGATTTTCTTTCTTATCCCTCTGTCCCTTTTCTTTTAAAACTATCTCCCATTCTAACAAAAACTTTGGACTAATTAGCTAGAATTAATTCCTATAATACTAAGTAATTTTCAGTTAAGCAATAGTGGCTCTGTTGTTATTTACTGACAAGAGAATGACTTCAAACTGATCATATATAATTTCTTTGACCATCATCTCATTATATATTACCAAAATTAGCAGTAATAAAAGGACGACAGGCTGCATCTTTCTTGTGGAACAACTTATCAGTTTCATTTCCATTCAGTTATGGTTAAACATTTTTTAAAATACATTAGCTTCTTTGAGAGAAATCGTCATGATACAATGTTTGTTAATTATTATAATTCTTGGAAGGCATAAATTGAAATGTTTGGAGAAAGTAAACTACAGATAACAGATGGTTTCCAGCTGTTATCTTAAATGTTCGAAAACATTACTTTGTTGATTGATGTTAAAAAAAGAGGAAAAAGCCATTTCACGAATTCTTTTCCCAACATTCATTTTGTTTTGTTTAAACATCTTGACTTTTGACCTTTCACTTATTATTACCTTGTTCATTTCCAAAGAAGATGACTCTAGGTATTCAGATCTTTTGAAACATTTGCGCATGTTGGAATTCAATTAATTTAAAAAGCACTGGTGCAGGGATCTAATTGCAATTAGATAGAAGTTACTAAAGGTTATTTTGGTTTCGAAATCAAAAATAAAATAAATGGATAAAGCTATGCTTGACAATACTTCGGCCCTTTATTCGAATTTTAAACCATTTATCAGTTCGAATATTTTTTTCAAATAATGTAAGTTTTCGAATTTTTTCATCTTAGCGACTGTTTTTCAAGCCGTAATATCATATTTTTTATTGATGAAAGTTTTGGAATTGTTATGAAGCAAAGTTATACTTTCTTCTTTACGTCAGAATGGAAGCTTAGAAAGTGCAATTGTGTTTTGCTTAACAAAATTCTAGAATTACGTCAACACTTCTCTCATAGTTATTCGAAACATTTTTCTATGGCTATGGTTGCTTTCGTTATCGTCATCACAATGATCAGAAAACGTTGTTATAAAATATTGAAAAAAAAAAAAAAGAAAAAAATATATGCCGAAATCGATTAACTTAATACTTCCACGCATCTTTCAGTCATCTATTCATATGCCATAAGCTTCACTATCTTATTGTCGGTATAATTGATCAAATTTTCTATTCATCTTTGTCATTTAAAAATTAAGTTCACATTGCATAATCGACAGTGTATAACTGTGCCTTATAAAGTAATTTGAGTAAATCTAAAAATACAGTCTTGTTAAAGAAGAATACGTTCAATTTATGAATTCATTGTTAGGAAAGAAAGTTACAAATGAACTTAGAGTTGAGTTCATGCATTCTTCTACTTATGCAGTGCAGTAATGATTGCGTATTGCAATGTTTAATTAATTTATTTTTGGATCACTTATTGTTTTTCAGTTTGGACAGACAATTTTTTGTCTACAAAGAAGTGAAATTCAACTAATTTCTCATCAAGTAGTCAAAACATGATGTATTAATCCATCCATGCAACGATTGCTACAAGATTTCTGATCAACGAAAAAAAAAGTTTTTTTTTTAAAGTCTACAGCTATAGAATAGACAGAAATGGCATACGAAACGATTACGGTACGGATGAATCGAAGCAACAATACGATCCCTTGGGGATTTTCTGTAATTGGCGGAGACCCTGCACCTATCAGAATTTCCACAGTATGTTAGAAGTTTCTATTTTTTTTTTTTTCTTCAAACTACCCGATTTAAGTTTAAAAGTGTTTAGTCATGCTTGTAATGAAGAATTTATAGATGCAAAAAAATGCGATTTATTAAATTTAAAAAATTTTTGTGATAATAAGAAACACAACTACACATTCGGCAATTAGATAACAGTGCTCAACCTTAAACTTAAATTTTTTCAATTTGTCTGAAATTTGATTGTTTCATTTCATGTAAAGCAGTCAGCAAAGTCTGGAGAATAATTCCAATCTTATTGGGTAAGATTTACGGATAAAGCAGGCAATGAGGTTATTGCTGCACTTGTAAATTGTCCCATCCTTCTATTGAACCTTCCTATCTTCCTCTTATCACCATCACTAAGACATTAACTAATGGTGCAGGGATATTGCTAGTAGCGGTAAGATCGTTGCAAATACTTATTCGCTTTTTCCAGATCAAAATTTAAATTAGAAAGGAAGAATGGTTGCTCAAAAGAAAATTCAAATTGAAATGCAAATAACAAAATTGTTGAAAGGAAATGATTCTATTGGCTAGCACTAGTATATCACATCAAAGACTTTCATAATTCTGGGAAGTGTCCCTGTTTCAGTGCTATGTTTTGGTAGTTTTTCATGGATTTATATGTACACATAGAGAGAGAGAGAGAGAGAGAGAGAGAGATAGAATAAAAAAAGGAAAAAAAACGAGAGAAAGAGAATGGATTCTTTTGCTAAACAATTAACAAATATTGTCAATTATATGAGTTTCTTTCTTGATTTTTCCTGAGTTATCACTCCCCATAAATATGCTTCAGGTACAAAAAGAAAGCCTAGCAGATAAAGCTGGATTACAAATAGGTGATACGATCACTGAATTTTCCGGTCGAACCACGAAAGGAATGTCACTTCAGGAGGCTAGAAATATTATTGAGAAAGTTTCGCTGGAAATTTCCATGCTTCTACAAAGGTTTGTCTTTTTTCCAATCAATCTTTTGTTTTCGAAAAGTGTAAATTTCGTTCCAAATTCGATGGCTAAAGTAAACAAACATTTAGCTATTTCTACTGATTTATTATTTATCAGTCACCCTTCACTTCAAAACTTTTTGGAATTTTCATTAGTGACCAAAATAGGTAGTATTACCTGCATTAGTACATGAGATGATCTTTAGATGATTTACTAAAAACTTGAGAGATTAAATCCAATTGGGAGATCTAAAATCGCTCACAGCTAAACACTTATATTTTCAGGCAGGTAACGGAGCACTCATGTTTGCCATGGCAACTAACAGAGAAAGATAATCAAATAATAGTGGATCATATCAAACCTCAGACCGTCAATTACAATTATTACAAGGTGGAAAGTTTAACCAAGAGTTTGAAATTTGAAGCATTGAGTTAAAGAAAAAGATGATTTTTAGAGTGAACGGAAAGATATATCGCATACAACATCGAATTATGAAGTACCGATCACAAATGAATCATCTAAATACCATACATCTTCATACAGCAAACAAGAGGTTACTACTTTTATAAATCTCAAGAGTACATAGGAAGATTTCTCCCCCAACATTATGTAAACAAAAGTGCTTTTCAAAATAAGCTGGATTTTCTGTGCCAATGGCTTTATCACCACTCCAGTTTAAAGAAATACGGAATCAACCGGTAGCTGTTATCGGTCTTTTCCTTCTTTAGTCTTATTCTACACACATTCTTTCGTCAGCATTTTTAAACACAAAATGTTTATTTCTAAGAAAAATGTTTTCCAAAAAAGAAAAATTCAGGGAAGTAACTTGAATCGTCCACTCCATCTTAATTATCAGCCAGCTGCACCATTTACAAACGTAACAAATACCGAATCTCCGTACGTTCAAGGTAAACGATTGCAGGACAGCCATTCCGCTGACAGTTACAGGTATCAATCACGTTTTACCGCAGCACTGCAGTTCACTTGTCAACAAGATGATAACATTATGAACCTTTCTTAATTTTTTAAAATATTCATTCAATGCCGTATTAATGTGCTGAAAAACAAAATTGCAGAGCAGAAGTAGGTAGTACGAGTGGATATGGTTCTGGCGGCAAGCCAATGTCAGCTGTGACACGTAACGTGCCCATAGCGCTCGGGACCTCGACCCCATCATCTGTTCCGCTAATGACAACCAGTAACGTGACTAGCGGTGAAAGCAAACTTTACGGTCCAGTTCATGTTGATACGAGCAACGCCTATAGTAACGTGCGATATCCTTCTTCCGGTTCTGGTGGTGGACATCGTCCAGCACGAGGCGTATCTGCAAAACCAATGTGGCAAGACGCTGGGAGTAAGTCTTAAATAATGTAGAAATAAACGTACGACAGAGATATTACTTTAGATAAGTAATTGGTAATTGATGCTATGTTGAAAAATGCAATAGCAAAAGAAAACATAAAGTAAACAATGTACATATACTGGTCTACTTGACAAAGTCAAAATATGTTAAAGTGTCGTCTATTTTCAGTGCCGTGTTTCGTAGTTTATTTAATACGCTCTTATGTTCATTATAAATTCTTAAGCTATCCTAAATTAAAACATTATCTTAGCAAATACTACCTATTTTACGCATTTTATAGCACGAGTATCATTTCAACATTCACCACGTACAGAGCGTCAACTGTCACCGCATGCAACAGTACGTCATCTGCAATACAATTCTCCAATGAATCTTTATTCGCCACATACTGCCGCTGAACAGTATATTCAACAAACTGGTGGACTGTTTGGCACTGAGTAAATTTTATTTATGAAGAAAAAATGCAACTTGAAAATCGTATATTCACTGCTTCCATGGAAGGGAAGAGAAAATTATTGGCTAAATTACTGGGTCTATTTCATTGGAAAATTTTTCGGTTTCTATTTTTTTAAAAGATATAAGCTTTTACCAAATATTTAGCCCATTACTACAACAACCGAAAGGTGATGAAGCTTATCTAAAGTCCGAAACACGTCGTCTGATAGCAGAAGAGGAGGGTCAAAGTGCACACGACAAATCCCCATCAATGCAAAGTGCCAGCTTCAAGCGAATATCCCGTGCATGTGGTACTCCCGTTGATTAAGATAAGTGCTTAGTAAGAAAATTGTTGCCTTAACTGGGATTCTCTTTGCGAGTATTAGAAAAGATTCTCTCTCATAGCTCTTTTCGATATGATTAAACAGAGTTTCCGGACGTCTTATGATGATAAGTCCATTAAATTATCAACGCTTGAAAAGTGAACGAGAACGTGTGACTTCTGAAGGAATGTAAAAGAAGTTACGAGTTAAATAAATGAAGTTAGCTAAATAATTTAAAAATTTGGTCTTCCTATGCTTTGCAAACAGAATGACTTGGCTTGAAATCAGTGGAAAAACGCGCAATTATCACGAAGGTAAAGCGCTACATTAATTAAAAATCAGCGAGTTTATGAATACTTGTCAATAACAAGTAATAAGTGATCTTATCTTCAATTTGCATCATTATGATAAATAAATGATAAAATTTCTAGAATTTTTTTTTTTGGAAATAAATGTTTCGTAGCTATTGATTTTTGCTTGCTGTTCTTGCTTGCTATACTGACAAATTATGCCTAAATTAAACTAATTTATTTTGATAAACTCGCCTCTTTCCTTCCAATTTCAAAATCATAAAGTCATTGGGATATTATTTGCTATTAAAGGGTCAATTTACTGTAATTCTGCAACAATTTAATTTATGGCCAAAGCACATATACATTTATTAATAGACTAATGAGTAGTACAATTTATTTAGGTTATTATTTCAAAGTCGAATGCAAAATTTTTGAAAAAAATTTTTTGTATAAATCTAGCCTTCAGATAATAGAAGTTCTTTTGATACCTATTATTCATTAGCAGGTATTAATTACAATATTTCACGATTTGATACTTTACATATATTAAGCATTATCGTGCAGATTCAAAGCACATTTTGTGATGTTGTACTTTATCTTATCATAAATGTAATCATATCCATCGTAATAAATAGCTCTTCATATCCTGTTTTTACATTTTCAACTTAAATGTGCTTGCATTTTATAATGCTTGAAGATGTCCCATTTTACATAATAAAATTTGTATTTCAGAATTTAAGATATGAAACAGTCTTCTATGTATCTTGGGCATTTGAAAAGACCATAATACAGGACTGATAAGAAGCTTCTAGTAGGCATTTTAAAATTTATCAGTGCATGAAGGCCTATAAGAATGATTCCTATCTCTCAAATTTGCTATTTACACCACACTTTTTATTGTCAAGCTATAGATTAATTAGCTACTTTAAATTTGTTATTTGTTGAGCAATTCTTTTAGAATTAACAAAGAACATCAAAATCTTTTATAATCTGCTGGTATGTGTTTAAACGACCACAGGAAAAAATTTCTTTCCCTTAAAATAGTTAATCATTGTCAGTTGATTAGCCTATTATTTCATCCTCATAAATATTCGAACATCGCAGAAATTAGTCAGGAATATTTCCGGAAACATTGAAGTAGTGATCGAATTTTTCCGTATACATTTCTAGTGCTACATATGCAACTTGTGCCACTTTAATAATAAGTTAGTAGATTGTATATAACAGTAATGATTATAAGGTATTTAAAAATGGAAATGCCCACAATTTACGGATGAGTGTTGAGTGTTTCTTGTTTCTTGAAAGCTAATACTGAAGGAAACGAAATTGGTTTTTTTGTTTGGTTTTCCTTAATTAACCATTTGCTATGCAACGAAAACTGCCTATTTTTCAAGAGTCGATTTTGAATATAAGATTTACCTGCAACATTATTTATAAAACATCCGTGAAACATTAATATTTGTATAAATGAATTAAGGCATTATATCTTATAACAAAACAAAATTCACTTTGCTAAAATTAGAACAATTTAGCCCAGTTATTTAAGCAATACTTGTCTTGAACCGTCAAAAATATGAAGGGATGCAGACTGGTCAAGTATGGTAATTACGAAAAAACGGACTAAGTTTGTCTTATAAAATTAAAATAAAACGCATTCAATTGTTAAATACCATTGATATACTGGATTAGTTAAAGCTGTCAATAAGTTACTAGCTATAAAATTGCTTTTTAAAAATATAAACTAGCAAGATTGTTGTGAATATATTATAAGTTTGATTTTAGTGAAATAACCTGCATATGATTTCATCTTTTTTCTGAAAGATTGAGGAATGAATTAAAAGAGCTACTTCGTTTTTTTACACGATGTTTGATAAAAGATGGAATGATTTCCTTATCAACAATTGTGCACACTTTCTTGCATATTATCAGATATCATCTTACAGTTATTCGCAAACAATAACAGTTATTGGGGCTGCGATCGTAATAGAACAACGACATTACTTATGTTGTTTGTTAATATAATCAGACTAACTACTGGTTCCATCATGTACCGCAAACTTTTTAGAATTTCGTTATCAGTGACTGCACAAGCATATAACTATGCTATTTAATTTAATGCTCGTTGAAACTTTCAGATTCAACATTCTACAGTAAAATTGAAAATTTCATTTTATCCGGATCTACTATTATCAGAACATTGGTTAAAATTATATAAGATAATAAGTCTACAAATTTCCGATGTGGAAATTAGTGCCACGACAACCTCTTTTTATTAATATTTATTGAAATACATTCTGATTTTTTATAGCACATTTTCCTTTCTAATTAATCCTATTTTCTTAAATTATTGTACCAAATGGAAATATATAGCAAGTTATTTTATCATGCTAATTTCCATTGTTAAATTTAAGATGCAATAGTGAGATTAAAGGGAGAAAGTTAATACATTACAACTTAAGTATTGATATATCATATAAATACTCCAATTTGTTTGAGAATAATTATAAATAACTGCAATGGATGTTTCACTAGCAGACTGATACTACAAATGGTATGATAGCATATTGGTGGAAGTTCAGCAAAATTTCACTTTCTGAAGTTCGAAATTCTTACCCAAGATTCTCAAATTAGTGAAGCCTAAATTACACAGTTATAATTGCTTAAATAGTTTGCATAAAAATATAAGCAAATGACAAGGTGAAGTGAGAAAAACCAAAAATGTACCTCTTCTTCTATTCTACAAGCTTTGTTTGTTCCAGTTGATGTTATCCTAAAATGAACGCTTGGCTATTTCAACAATATTTATTGGGAAGATGACGTCATTTGCTCAAATATCGATGTGGTAAGTTTGATAATAAAATCATTCATTTCTTTAATTCATTAAGTGACAGACTAGTTTGTATAAGTTGAAAAAAGAAGCAGCTAAATACATAATCCAATTACCGTACTGTAGAAAAGTACACAAATGCATAGCAGCAGTTTGTAGATAATCGTCACAGTTTTTGTATTTGTTTAATTGTTTCTATTTTTCAATCTGTTTTCGATTTAAAAGGTCAATGAAAAATAGCACCACCTGTGGACTTCGATATGGGAAGTGAATGAGCAATAATATGTTTTCGAAAATAGCTAAAATTGTAAAGTTTTTTTTTTCCATTCACATAAAAGTTAAATTGCTCAAACAACAATTTAACAAAAATTTCATCAGATTTTTTTAAAAGTTTTTGTTTCTACCTTTCTTTGAAAACAGTAATAGTTCCACTTATCATAAGAATACTTTTAAACAAATTGATTTTATAATTTGCTCATTCAATCATGAAATACGGAACTATGATCAAAATTACAGCAAGCTGGAGAGAAATTGAAGGAAGAAATGGGAGGGAAGGAGTGGTGAATTGTTTTCAGAAGTTCTGTTTGTTAGAAATACATTGAGAATTATGGAATATCACTGATTGTAACCTTTATCAGATCATAAATTATCAGCGTATGAACAAATAAACGTAATCATATTTGCTTAACTCTTGAAAATAGATGTTTGCACAAGCCTAATTTGAAAACAGTGGTTGCTATAGCTCGTGGTAAAATGTCAATTCTGGTGGTGAAAATTGTGATGCTTGCAACGATGGGCGCTTTTGCATTGCTGTTCGGTCTGTTACCAACAAAAGTTTGTCATTTATTAAATTTGCAAAATATTAAAGAAATGAACTTTGATAATTTAAGATTTATTAGTGAATCTATAAGTTTTGAAAATATATTGAATATAATAGAGAGTTATTTCAAATTTGTTGAAGTTTAAAAATTGTTTTATATATATTTTAGATATACAAATATGTTGAGACACAGCGGGCAACTAAACTTTCTGAAGAGAAGTTAGCAACTCGTTTTCTTTCAATATTGTCGTGCCTTTCTGGTGGTGTATTCTTAGGTGTTTGCTTATTAGACCTATTACCTACAGCCAGGTAAATACTGACACCTTTTTGTTAACAGATATGAATTTTACTTTTATTTTCCATCTCATTTCCCCAATTTTTTGACGATGAATTTCTATTTGTTTGAATCTATCTTATCATTACTTTTAAAAAGATTTATAATTATACAAATATGATAAAAAATTTTAGATACAAACATATCCATATGGAATTTAAAAGAATTATACTGTCCTATCAATAAGAGAATTAAAATATATGATGAAAAAGCCTTTTTCGAAGACAAAGTGAGCTATATTGGACAAGAAGCTATGTTCAGTCAGCTGGGCCATTTAACAGATAACAATGAAATGTTGCAAAATACAGCGCTATTTTCAGCGAGGCATTTAATAAAATAAAGCAAGAAAACGGATGGGAAACGGAATATCCATTTACGGAAGTTTTAATTGGCTGTGGTTTCTTTATTGTTTATTTGATGGAAGTATTGGCGGTTCATATCTGTGGTCAAGATCATATGGATTACGAGGCGAATCGAAACGAATGCAAGAATTGCAAAATTGAGAAAGATGTGATCGAGTAAAGTTTGAATGATATCTTTGAAATATTTTTTTTTTTTTTTTTTGTTTGTTCTACTTTATATTAGTTAAGTTTAAAAATGTTGTTCATTGACACCTTAGAAACCTCAGAAATTATTTCAAAAAGAAAAAAAAAGGTAAATAGTTGAATTAATTTTTCCTGTTTAAACCACTTGTTTAAAGATATTTCGAGCCTTTGACATAAGAGATTCGTAAACTTTCCAATCAAAAATTTAAATTCTAACTAAACTACTGCATTTAAATAATGTAAACCTTTTTTATATTTGTTTGCATACATGTTTTTTTTTCTTTTTTTTTGCAGATTTATTTGCAGGGAAAGTTTTAGCAATGGTGAGCAAGAAGTGAATGAAAATGAAGAGAACAAAAAACAAAAAGATGCTTCAATAGTGGAATCAAAAGTTTCTGGAAAAGATAAGTTTGTAAAATCAGTAACTTTAGTGACTGCTTTTGCCGTTCATTCTTGCCTTGAAGGATTCGCCTTCGGCGTTCAGGTGATTCTTCAATTCTTAAAGGAACTATTTTTTATTGATTGTAAATATATATATATATACTTTGGATTTTTTTAATTTGAAAAATTCGAATTTAAATATCATTTTCACGACTCGACTCTTCCTACCTGATTGAAGAAAATTTTCTACAAAATTTATAATACGTCTAGTTGCAGTACACAATGTTCAGTGTAACAACACTTTTCCTTGGAATAATAGTGCATAAATCAGTGGTTGCATTTAGCATCGGAATGAATCTAATTAAGACTCATCCCAACAAAATATATTTTGTCATATCGTTGATAATATTTGTTGCATTAACGTCGCCCATTGGTGGTTTTATTGGAATCGCCTTGGAGGTTACTTTGTAATTAAGTAAAGTATTTTGAAGTTGGTCCTAAAAGTTGTGCATAAAATTAAAGAAAATCAAGAAACTTTACTTGAAATTAAAGAAAATCAAGAAATTTTACTTGAAATTAACTGCATCGTGTTTAAGGAAGCTTTGAACAGCTTCAATTAAAGTAGTAAAAGTGGAAAATCCCATATCTTCCTTCATGAATACTTCATAGCTAAACATTTGGAAAACTCGGAGTACACCTTCATTTGTAGGGTTCGGAGCTCGGTGAACAATCACAAAATATTGTAACAGCAATTGCATCATCGCTTGCCAATGGTACATTCATTTACATCACTTTTTTTGAGGTTTGTTTGGATCTATCTTATTTTTAATTACTTTCTTCAACACTGAAATCCTAGAACAACTACAGTAAGAAAGGAAAATATTCCTATAACCAGTACTATCTCAATATTTCCTCTTTTCTTTCATCTTCTAACTATTGCTTTAGAAAAATTGTTCAGTGACGAATATTTTTGTTTTCGTGTTCTCTCCTTTCCTTTCTCTTCACGTACTGAAATTTAAATGTTAAGAAATTTTAGCTATAAGTAGCCGTGCAACTAAAGAGCTTGCTTTTTAGATATTATATGCTGAACATGGACATGGAGAGAGGAAAATGGAGCAATGGTTGAGTGTAGCTGTGGGTTTTGGTCTAATAGCTATTTTGATGTTATTTGCACATTGATTCCTTAACACCATTTTAGAATCAGTATTTGGTAAATTACTAAGTCTATTTGGTTTTCTGACTCATTTCTTGAATTACTATACAGTAAATATCGACTGCAGAACTTATCATTTGTATCAGACAAACAATCAATGTTCATAAAATTTACCACTGTTCAAATTCATTGAAAAAAAATTTTTTAGAATCAATGAAATTACTATGGAAACTTTAAAGTGATAACAATACGCTAAAAAGAACAGCAGTGATCGTACCAGAAACCAAAAAATTTTATCATTCACCTTTGCAATTTTAATTATTCCACTTTCCAATTTATTAAATTACACAATTAAACCACGGGATTGAACAGGGTTGTTAATTAAGACTTATCATTTTGATTATCGATTTATTTCTCACAGTTCTCTTTTATAAATCATTAAAGTAAATTAATAAATCATTAAAAAATTTAATTTCAACCACACGACTTCAATAAGAAATCAGTTGAATTCATATCTTTTTAAAGGGACCAAAGCCACTGAGAATTGTTTGTGGGATGAATAGTCTGATAATGAACAATTTCTGCAACAAAAAAATAATTAACATATGCAGTCAGCAAGAACTCAAATAAATCACAATCAATTATCAATTCGCAGAAGAGTTACAGGTGCCACCGGGTTGCAGAGCAGTGAGAGACAGGGGCTGTAATTAGTGGTTAGACAGTGGTATTGGTACTAAGTGGGATGCTAGGTAGAGTCGGTGGTCTCTGTGTGACCTCGTGGATACTGTATCTCTATCTCATCATTTCTCAATGGCTCATCGTTCGAATTTCTGCGTTTTGTTGAATTATTCACACTTCAGGACAAAGTGAAATGATGCCGGTAGATGGCGGTCGACAAGCTATAAACCGTACACCGAAACGCTTATCCGGTTATATCAACAGGGTGCCACATTTTGTTTTATTTTTTACTGAGAGAAGTAATTATGAAGATTGTTCCTGGAAAACCCAAGTTCATTTCCATCTTCTATACAGTTCTATCAGTGTTTTAGTATAAGAGTCATTCTTTTTCAAAATACTTCCAGTTACAAGAGATCAGTTGGAAATCGTGCTGGTATCAATGTAACCAAATTCCGTAGGTGCATATAAAGGGAACTTGACATTTCATTCATTAATTTTCGGTCTTGTCAAAGTTGCAAAACTTTTGTGAGAAAGAAAGTAAACTACTGTAATACATATATGAATAAAACGGATAAATAGATGTTCGAGTGAGGGAGTGAATTACAGATCGAACAGCGCACAATTGGTGGTCCATGTAAACGTCGTTACTGGTTTGTGTTATCAGATGATTCACCCTATTTGTACTGGTACAAAAATAAGGGCGATATTAGTTGTACAGGACGAGTGCCACTGTCCGGAGCTGCTTTTACTTTTGATCCTCGTGAAACTGGCCGATTTGAAATACAGTTTGTTTTGTTTTTTCTCTCCTCATTTGCACATGGTTTTTCTCTAATAATTGAAATATACTGAATTCTGAAGTACATTTGCTGATTGCAGCTATTGGATGAACGATCAATTAAAGTCCAAGTCTAGGTTATTAAAGCATTCAATTTTTGCTGAGCAAAACGATTCATATCTCGCTTCTAGGCAACATTTCCAATTGCTGAATTAATTCGTTATTTAGTGTGAATAATGAGATACATCTTCTCGAAGCAGCGGACAATAAGTCACGTGTTCAGTGGTTACAGCAGCTTCAGAGCAATCGTCGCCAACATTATGAGAAAGAAAATATTGACGACATATTGAAAATTGTGAGACTTTCTTACCACTTGTGTTCTTTGTTTCTTAATTTTAAATCATTCTCCACTGGCATAGTTTTTTCATGTTTCCTTATTATTTCGGGTCAAAACATAACGAATATTAAGCAGTGATACCAAATATTTTTAGGAGATCGTGTCTCTCTCGTCTCACTCACTTTCTGGAAATGATCACTGTATGAAGAGTTCTTCGAATACTGAAATTAAAAATTTAGAACAGGGTGAGGATATGGTAGTAATAGAAGGACCTCCAGATGAAAAATCACTTGAAGATGAAATTAATGATGCTGTGAGTGAACTTAATCTTTTCACAACAGTTTCGCTGTGATCACAAGGATACTACTTTTAATGATTTGCATTTTCAAAAGTTCTGACAAAACTCATAAAGGTACATTTGTTTGAAATTGGGATTATATGTCGGTAATTTTAAAAAATATTTGTGAAATTTCAGACCCAATCTACATTTTATCTTAATTCCGATGGAGAACTGAATGCAAAAAGTTTAGAGATGCCAATTTCAATCCCTCCCAATACAGACGTCTTGAGAAGCGCAGAGGAATTAATTGAAAAAATAGCAGAAGGAACTCAAGCAAAAGCGAAAATACTTGAACAACCAGCGAAAAAGGTGATAGGCAAAGCAAAAGCTTCGCTGCGGTTAGTACATTATCATTCTTAAATTGATGTTTTTTATGTCTGTACATATATCAAAAATATTTGGAACTGATTTCTACTTCTGCAACAGTGAACAGTAATAATATTTTGAATTTAACTGCTGTTGAGCAAGTAAACAAGGCATTTGTTTTATTTAGCTAAGAATTAAGTTTAACACATACATTGTTACTCTCAAAGTTTGGTATTTCTTTTTAGAAAGGAAGGTAAGCTTGAAACTACAAATTCAAAATGAATAGGATGGAACGTTTGCTAGTATATTTTCAATGTATTTGATAATATACGTATTTAATGTGTTTTTTTTTTAGGCTTTCTACATCACTACGACCGCCTTGTGAGCACTGCAAAATTGTAAGTTTATTTAAGAAATGTGATTTCATATATTATTTAGCTTCAGTTTACACTAAAAGCACAGGGTTTTCTTTTTTTTTTTTCTTTTTTTCTTTTTTTTGATGCAGCAATAACATGTTGAACATCACTAAACCATAACGAAAAAAAAAAGATTTTCTTAAATAAACAAAAAATAACAGATTACAGCAGATTTTCTAGAATAAACAGAAAAAAAATAGAAAAATATTTATTGCGCATTGCAGTTACTTGGTATTGTGAGTGAACTTAAAGATCGTTGTTATGAGCTTACGGACGAAGTAGGAGCTAATCAAGATTTGGTTACAATTCTACGGCAGAGTTTGGTCAAGTCAAATCGTCAAATAGAATTACTGTATGTGTTTGCTGCTATGTCTTTATCTTTCTTTGCCGTCAAAATATTTGTTTTATACCTTTATTTATTTAGTGCAGGAAGAGTCATTTCAGAAAACGGATGGAAGAACAGAAAAACCCTCAGGAAAGAATTAGTATGATTCTGGAGAAAGAAAGTGAACTTACAGCGTTGCAGCTTAATGCAGCATCTTACAGTCGTGAAATTCGGATTTTAAAGGAGCAAAATAAGTAAACTGTATTATTTTCGTTTATAATACATTTCAGTAATATACGACATGTTAATGTGTTATATTTCCTATTTGCAGACAGTTTGAACAAAAAATTGAAGAATTAACTACTGAAATTAGTGCGTTTCGTGAATCGGTGCGTTCAAAAGAAGAGCTTATAATGAAAATTTATAGTGAGCAGGAAGGAAATGATGTTTTGGGTCGCTCAAATATGTTGCTTGATGATGGTACATTTTTTTTTCTAAAAATTTTTCCTTTATTTTTTTGAACAAATGAATCGTTACGTACCTTATGAAGAAAATGCGTGATGTTCTGCTGTTATGCTTTTTTTATAGTTATAATATTTATGAAATAACACATGATGCTTCTAATATCATGCAAAGTTGTTTAAAATTGTGTGTTTAAAAATTCGAAACATGGCTAACTTTTACGTTAGCTTTGATTAAACAAAATAAGGATTGATTATTTTTTGAGATTGCCCTTCATATTGCTTTGTTTACTGGACGTTGTGTTTACTCATGCATTCACTTTATCGAATATGAATGATGTTTAAATCTGGGCCATCTAAGACCATTAAATAATTGTTTAGTTGAAGTGCCTGAAGGAATATTAGTCGATTTTGGTAGTAACTCATTTGATGAAAATGCGCAACGTGTATTTGACGAGGCAGCTGTTAATGATGTGACGGAAATGCGTGATCTTGTTATGGGATATCGAAATCAGAACATGTTTTTGAATCAGGAAGTTCTCGGTACGACTTTTTCTGAAGTAATTCCTTCGCTTTTTGGAAATTTTTTTTTTTTTTTTTTTTTTTTTAGAGCTTCAAAAAATTGTACACAATTTGGAAGATAGGGAGCGACGAATTACTCGGCAAAACTTTGACATTGAAGCTTGCTATTATCAACTTAAAAGTCGGTACATCATGGTGCTAAATCATTTTAGAGCATCGAAAACTGACAGTAGAGGTTTGATAATTTATATTTCTTGATTTTATCGATGGCTTATTTATCTTTTTATGAATTCTTAAATCGTTTTTCAAGTAGTGTTCAGACTTCGTTCGTTTCTTCTTTTTTGAAAACCCCTTTGCTGATTATCCTGAGCAGTGACTGCTGTAAAAGACTTTTCATATCCTAGAATGCAATATTTTTATATCAAATTCTAAAATTAAGCATTGTTTGACTTAACACTGTTTGACTCAATGAAACTTAGTCTTAAAGGAAATTTTCAGTTTTGCAACCAGGAGTAATTGAGGCTCTGATTGATGAAACAAACTGGACTACAAACAAAAGAATGTTAAACAACGACAAAATAGAAAGTAAGAATGAAGATTCATCTATTTTATAGGACACTATGGAAAAGATATCTATGAACTGTGTTGCATTCCAAAATTTTCTGTCTAGAACTTAGAATCAGAAATGTATTTTTTCTTTTTATTTTTAAAGATTTTCATTTAGTAAATGAATTTTAATGAAGCTTATAGCTTATCAAATAAATATTTGCAGCGAGACTTACTGATTCTCTCGGATTTTATCTGAATGACGATAGAAAGCGCCATCAGTTACAACCTACTGACATGTTTGAAGTTGCTGCTGAATTAAAAAGTATAAGTGACGAGATCATTGTTCAACAGGAAATGGTACGTTATGTAAATTCTTTTCGAAATATTACTATACATTTGGATGTCTTATAGTTCAAACTTTTCTGAACAGACTCATTTATTAAAATCTACTATCATTATTGTTTTCGGATATGTTCAGGAGCAGAATCCACAGTACATAGATTGGCTACAAAAATGGGATAGTTTTCTGGTGAATTCTGCAGTACGTCCTCTGAAACCCACAATCGAACTAAAGAATTTGGTGAGAACCGGTATACCAAAAACATATCGACCGAGAGTTTGGAAAAGGTTGCCTTTTATTTTCGCAGTTTTTGTTAATAATTTCTGCAGGGTCAAGGTTTTCAATATATACGTAAGGCTGCTGATTTTAACCAGCTATAATTTTTTCATAACAAGAGAGAAAGGTAATTATTCAATTGAACTTTGTAAAGATCACGTTGCATTAATTGTATTTGTCTCCTCTCCTTAGGTTTCTATTTTACTGTGATTTCGTGTTACAAACCATAACTTTGTTTTTAATTCATTCACCCAAGGATTTCCATTTTCGTAGCCTTCCATTTTTTTTTCTGCAGATTTTATCAAATGTTGTGTATTTAATGCTGTTCCTTTTTAACGAACCTCTTTACAGTCTTGTTAATTACGTAGTGAGTGATGAAAAAGCCGATCTCGGCAACGGCTATTATGAAACACTTCTTCGAAAGGTGAATGCTGCTACCATAAATACTCTTGAAAATGATAGTGCTTTGAAGCAGGTTTGCATTTTATAAATCTAGCTTTACTAAAAATTTTTCTACTACAATAAAAAATTTTTTCTGCTACGATATTAAATTGCCATTGTAGATAGATTTGGATTTGGCTCGAACTTTACCCACAAACAGATTTTTCGATGAGCCAACATCAGAAAAAATTGTTGTTTTGCGTCGCGTACTTTGTGCATATCGTTTTCATAATAAGTCTGTTGGGTACTGCCAGGTTACTTTAGTTCTATTATCGCGCTTTTAGTATTCATCTTCATTCCATTTTTTCTGATCTCAGCTTATCCATGCACTTATAACTTTTGTTTTTATCCCAAATAATATTGTATCACAAATATTTAGAAAAGATCATGGAGTTTTTTCTACAGTTGAAATTTCGAAAGTTTTATCGAGGAAAGTTGTGAAAACATTTCGTAGCTTAACTCTTCTTTTATTTTTGCTTACTATGTGTAATTGTGAATGTATGAATTTGAATGGATAGTTTTGAATTATCACTATTTCAAATTTCAGGGACTAAATCGTCTGGTTGCTATTGCTTTATTATTTCTTGAAGAATCGGATGCTTTTTGGTTTTTGGTAGCTTGCGTTGAGCATCTCCAGCCCTCTGCATATTATACTTCTACTTTACATTGTGCTGTTGCTGATCAAAAGATACTGTTTGACATATATTTTAAAAAATTTCCATTTTTGATAGGGCTAAAAATTTAAGCAAGTTTGTGCTTACTAAGCAAGTACTTATTATTGAAGGATGAAGAGTCTTTGAATTAGGGAGTAGTGTGATTGTAAGCACTTCAGCTGCTATGCTCTTTTTACAGTTATATTTATGATAATTAAGTAATTTATAGGTGAGGTCATTGATACAAATATGTGGGTTGTATTTCATGTCTAACGTTGAATTTTTAGGTCTTACGTGATCTAGTTACTGAAAAACTTCCAAAATTATCATCTCATTTGCGCAAATTTGAGGTGGACCTCTCAGCTTTTACTCTGAGTTGGTTTCTTACATGTTTTGTTGACGTCTTCCCGCATACTATTTATTTGAATTTGTTCGACGTTTTCCTCTATGAAGGGAATAAGGTAACTTTATACATTCTCATCCTAGAGAAATATTTGAGTCTTTTATATGTGTTTTTCAAAATGTTTAGCAAGTTGGGAAATCTACAATTTTTATCCATATACTAAGATTTTGATAATAGGTTATCCTTTCCGATGCTTTTTCTTGGATCACTTGTGAAGCAAATACAAAGCTTTTATTTAAACATCTGCTTAAATTTCTACAGGTTCTTTTTCGATTTGCTCTTGGAGTGTTGAAACTTGCTGAAACTTCAGTGTTGGAATGTAAATCCGTTGGAGCTGTGCATGCTTCATTAAGTAGAGTAGCTCAGCATGTTCCCAACTTCAAGACATTAGCGCAGGTTGGAAGTTTTCTTATTATATCCGTGTACACTGGACCATCCAAATAGAAAATTGATGGCTCCATTGGGAACTGAATTTATAGTATTGATCTCATTATATTTTTTTTTTTTCGAGAGGAAGAGAGCAGGTTGAAAATCAGTCTAATGAATCTTTTTGTTTTAAACATATATATATAAGAATCAAATAGTCCATCTTGTTCCTGCTGGCATAAATTTATTATAGGAAGCGGAGTAAGATATTACACAACATCACGTGATGTAATTTTTTTGATTTTAGATTGCTTTTAACGATTTAAATCCTTTTCCACAAAAAGGTATAGAAATGAAAAGGCAATTTTATCTTAGCCAGTTAACAGTAAGTCAATGTTTTTTTGAAACTTTGATATTTTTAGAAACAAGCAGATTAAGAAAAAAATTTTTTTTTGCTTCGAAACATGAGATATAGTTTATTAAAATCTGAAACGAAATTTACTGTTGAAGCTCAAATCTGTGCCATTGTTCACAAGGCTATACTTCATGATATTCATAAGGTATTGGATAAATTTGGAATGGTAGGTATCGAGTAGTGAAAGAATTTCAGGCGACGCAGTAAATGGTGCAACTGGTGATATATGAAAAGGTAATGTGGAAACTTCTTTGTCGTGCAATGATTAACAGTCATTTTTGCAGTCAATATGTTCTATGTGTAGTTCTTACTTTGCGTTATTTTTGTATATTTGTTTCGAAACTTTTTTTAGTTTTTAAGCTGTGATAAGTTTTCTCTATAAATATTGTGTTCTCGTGTTTCCCATCAATGATTGTGGACTACACTTACATATCATTTTATTCGTGGTCCATTTTCGGCACTTATTTTTACATTATTTCATCTCCAAACGTTTGGTGATTTGTAGATTATGTTTACCTATTACATACGAAATTTTTCAAATTCTTCAAATGATTTCTCATTATTTTTCTGAATAGACCAGTTCCAACAGGCACTGTTGAAGTTACTGTTGCTATCGAAAATCACAAGCCATTTTAATCTTTCGAGTGCTGTTTAGAGTTGAATTTTTCCCACTAAATGTGTGTACCTTTATGCCTTAGTTGTGCCTTTTGCTATTCATTTTAGGAAAATCATTGTTTATGAATTTTGACCCGTGTTCGTGCTCTTCATTTTGTCTCAAAAACATTCTTTTTGTTTGACATTTGTGCCGTTGTTTATATTCTAAGCTATGTATTTAATAGAGATGCTAAATAAATAATGAGCTGAACGTTTTTTTTTTTTTTTTTTTTTTTTTTTTCATGGAAATGTGGAATGTAGGGTTCTTATAGTATAGATAAAAAAATTAAGTTTCCCTCAAAGATTTCCTGATGTGTTCTGCAGTTTTCACAGTTTATCAATGCCATGTTAAACGCAAAGGGTTTTGCCACATCAAGGATCTTAATTTCATCTCGTTAAAAAAATGTTAAATATGGAAGTTATTATTATTTTAAACTATATTAAAATCTGGAAGTCGAGAAAGAGTTCATAAAGCTCCAAGAGGTGAGTCATGTATGTCCGAACTACATGGAATGCATTTTTTTCTTAACGTTCAGATTTGATAAATGTGATTCCAGAACACTCGGTAAATGTCAGGTACTAGCGGCTTTGAGGAGGGAATAACTTTAATCAGCATAAGTGATGGTACGTACGATTGACTATAAGTATTTAAGGGCGTGGACTGAGCTAGCAAACTGGCTTGATAACATTAATGACTGAAATGAATAGATTACGAACACTTAAGTATTCATGACAAAGATGTGTTGAGGCTAAAATCAATTAAGCTAATTGATGCAACCTCATTTCTGCACCTGTACTAGTGAAAATCTCTTCAAATATCTTTTTATCTGTCATTACTATCCAAAAAATGCTATACGTCGGTCTCGGTTTCGAATGAAATTTTCAGATATGAGTTACTATCTACTTTCTAAAACAATTTTCCTTGTCGATTTTCGCAATTATGCCGAATGTTTTCTATATATCTAGCCTAGTGACTCATAGAGCTATTCTTTTCAGAGATGCCATCGATACCCATCGTAAATTGGAGACAGTTGAAGAGACGAGCAATTAAATTAACGAAGTAACGAAGCGCGTCTAACTCAATTGGAAAGTGAATCTCGAAGTAAATTTTATTTGAAGTATGTGCGTGTATACATGCCAATGACAGCCATACAGATAACTGAATCAACTGAGGCAAGAATGAAGTGATGAACCATAGAGGACGACAATAAAAAAAGGAAAGGAGGAGTTAAACTTGTAGCTATTGACACTAACCTTTTGCAAATTTAACCTGGGACATTTTTGGAATGTATTCTGAGATTGCACAAGTGAGAAGACTATATCCGACTACCAAGATCTGTGACAACGATTAGAGATCGTCATTTGGCAAGTTTCCTAATGTTGTTTACAGCCTTCTGATTAGTGAGAATGAGAAACACTGGTCATCTTCTACAAGGTTGCATAGAAGTAGCAATTTTGAAATCTGATAAATCTTCCTATCCTACCGATACAATACAGCAAGATAGATAGCCGAAAATATTACTAGGCCAATTCTAAAGGGATAGATTAGTTCACTGGCAATATGTTCCGAATTCTTGCATTCCTTTACATTCAGTGATACATCATATAGTTTTAGATACTAAACATGATGTTTCCCGCTTACGCATTTAGTGGTGCAGCACCATCCACAGCTTGGCCAACATTACTGCCACCGCTTCAGCCTATACCGTCATACGGCTTTACTCGAAATGATACGGGTGAGGGAACTAATTTAATTTTAGATTTTGAATAAACAAATCAGGAATCGAAATGTTATACAGTCTTTTTAATTTAACTGATTATAGATGATATTTGACTAAATAATAATTCAAATAATTTTTAATTCCAATGGCAAATGTACACAAATTAATTAGAAGGTATTAAAGATGAGAGTTAGAACTGCATTAATTGTATGTTTAATGAGAATTAATCTAATTTACTACACACATACTGTCATCCTAGATGCTGGAAGAACATCCTAATAGCGGATGAAGCATATTTTAGATAAACGCCATAATAAGAAAAATTAGGCTGGCATTGAATAAGTTATTTGTGATTTTTTTAGGAGTGCTACTTGAAATTCCTCGCATTTTTTTCAGCCCAAAATCTTTAGAGATTTGCGACGAATTTATTGAAATTTCTTTTTAAAATTGTTTCTTATTGATGTTCAAAGTTTTATGTTCTATGAGTTGCTCCTTTCGAAGCTATCTTCTATTTAAAACTATTTAGGTTTTGATTGTATAAATGCTCGAAAAGTTTACGAACAGCATTGTTGCACATATTTAACACCACATTCTGGTGGTGCTGCTGATGATAGAAGTAAACGAAAACAGCGTCGTAATCGAACAACATTCAATCAACAACAAGTTAGACTTAAATCAATTTTGAAATGTTTGGCGATTAAATTGAATAATACCAATGTTCCCTTTTAACTTTAGTTTTATGCAAAATTATGAAATAATTAACTTCCAAGGATTGCAAAAAAAAGTATTGGTGGCAGTTTGTTTCGCTTGAAATAATCCCTGAAGCAAGTATTCAAGGTTATAGGTTTTATTGATTATAAAAAAATGAATTCGTTGAAAGTTAACAGGCCAATAACCCTTCACAAACAGTTCAAAAACAGATCGTACATTTCAGTAGAAATGTCATTTTAATTTTAAACAAGTTGTCTTTCTCTTTATTTTACAGAAGTTTAAATTAGACTCAATTATAGTATCAATGACCACTATTAGACCATTATTAATAGCTTACAAACTCAAAACAGTAAGAAAAGACTGCTCTTAAGAAGTTGAGAAACAAAGAACAAATTTATTGATATTTTCTTCTTAGAAATCTTAAACATATATATTGAACTTTGGATTTGCTGGAGATCACTGATTTCATGTTCAATTAACTGAAAGAACAAATCGAAAGCTTCAGCCTAATAATGGAAGAACACTCTTCTAGTTTTGATCCCTTCATCGTATTAAATGATATGGGCAAGAACACTGAGATCTTTATTCAAGATTTTGTTTCGGCCGATAACGACAAGATGACAGAAAAGTCGAGAAAGAAGGAATTATATTAAGTTGATGCAATTTTGTCTTCATGGAGGCGAACGAAATGCGACAAATAAACTAATTTTCTCATGACCGGATCTAGCAATTTAATTTGGCTCATCCTGAAAAAAATTTAATTATTTCGAAAATCCTTTAAACAAATTTGCGATCCTTCATTGAAAGAACTTTCCTTAGCTCTTCCACCACTTACATGTGAAGGCCTTCAAAAATCCTATGTGATACTGAAATGAATCAATAAACATAAATTCTACGGTATCTAAAATGAATCGTTTTTCTTTTTTTTTTTTTTTTTGATTTACAGTTTACTATGATATACCAAAAATTGAAAGTGAGGAAATGAAAATGTGTAAAACAGTACTACGGTCTTTAGGAAGAATAGTTGAATTAAAGTGCAAGTCTCTATAAGTTATCAAATGATAGCACCAAAGTAAACACATATGTATAGCTGATCATAGTGAATTATTTTAAGCATTAATATTTAAAGGCATAATTTTGAAAAGAAAAATTAACAGTGTAGCAGTATTACAAAAAAAAAAGTACGTGATTACATAACATGTTATGTAATCTTTGTATGAACATTATGTTTTATGCATTATGAGTCCCATATATTCAACAAGTTTAAACACTAAGAAGAAAGAAGTAGAAATTTTTCTTTAAGATTTAAAAGCATAATCTTGAAAATATGTAATTAATAGTACTGGAAGTTACGGATAGTAATAGGCACTACTGTAACTAATCATGTTAAAAAAATATTCATTTTGGAAAATATAAGATAATAAATGTAGTTGAAGCAAAAGAAGTATGGAATCCATCCAAATCACTTCAGTATCCAATCCCAGTGAAACCTCTTTCCATAAAGCTACTTTACCTATTAAAAAATTCGGTAATTATACGACATCTTTCCAAAATATTCGTCCCGTGTTTGACTTTTTTTCCATGCTGTTCCCACTTTTCATGAAATATTTTCTTTTAGTTAAATGAACTGGAAGCAGCTTTTCGCAAATCGCACTATCCTGATGTGTTTGCACGCGAAGAACTTGCTGTGAAGATAAATTTACCAGAAGCTAGAGTACAGGTACGTAGAAGTCAATGTCACCATGTACTATTGATTTTATCGAACTGAAAATCCGAGGATGTTCAGTTACAATCCAATTAATCCTTGCTAAACATGTAAAGAAGAAAATCTTTCAGGTGTGGTTCCAAAACCGCCGAGCAAAATGGCGAAAAACTGAGCGTGATGATCAGAAATTGAATCACTGCGATGGTCAACATGAAACTGTTGTATCTAATGTGCAACTTAGTGAATCATACCTGACCCCAGCACTAGTATCACCTCCCTCTTCACTATCAACAGCTTTAAGCCAGTTTTGCTCCATCAGAACATTAACACGACCATAGATAGCTTTATTCCAATTTTAATCTCAATTCAATTATTCACCACTCCTTAATGTGCATATCACTGTAGATGAATGCAGTGAAAGTTGTCTAATGAACAGTGCTGTCAATTTTCTTCTTTTTAATAGTACATGCAAATAGAAGCGCCGATGATACGGTGTAATAAATCTGTCATTCAGACCTGAACTAAATACACATATTAATGTAATGTATTGTTCAATCAATTTACTGTAGGCGCGCACTTGAAATTGTCTTCGTTAATTTGAAACGCAACTTTATTACATATCTCTTGGAAAATGAAAGGATCGTAATGAAGAGTCAGCAAACAATTCGTACAATTAATGGTTTAACCTAAATCATAAAGCGAAAATATAAAAGATTCTCCTAATTTCAAAAAATCATTGGAAAACATGAATTAGTAGTCAGTTGGTCACAAAGATGTTTTAGTCGAAGCAATTATCTTCACTGCCATAATATACTCTGAGCCGGAAGTGTAAATAACGATGAACAATGGAAGTAAAAAATTTAGGCATAACAAAGTGCAAACTAAAGAAAAGAAAAATGAATTAATGAAACACTGGCCAACCAGACCGAACAGCCATATTTCGCTGGAAATATTACGTGTTGCCTTTGAGTTTGGCCAGAGTAAATATAGTCTTTTCTTTCTAAAGACACATAGATATATAGAAATATATTAGATTTGAAGAATTTCAAGTTAGTCGAAATGGAAATCATAAACAGTAATAATAATATTTCGACTCCAAAAAAAAAGCAAAAAAGATCGTCCGAACACTGCAAGAAATGACAGAGAATACAAGTTCAGGGAATTCATTAACTTCCTTCGAAAATATATAATACATTTCGAAATCCCAAACTCTTAGCAATAATTTGTTATAAAAAAAAATCCACTACCAATGGTCTTCAGTAAAACATGAAATGATGAAGTATAGGCATGGATATTATCATCCTGATAATGATTGCGTATTCCAAATATGAACATTTTGAGCATATCAGAGTTACAGAAGTATACATTACACAATGAAAACTCAGAAATATCTACATCGATAGAAATTTAGGAAAAACTAAATAATTGTAACCAACAAAATGAAAGCCATGAAAAATCCTAGAACATAAAAGGTGAAAACACCAAAGGATTTATTAGATAAAGACACTCAGAACATATCGTAAGAAATTTTGAAAGAAGCGGAAATGTAAATCCATGACAACCTGTCCAATCTACAATGAGTGCAACAGCAGCCCTCTGCATACAATTCCGGACTGCTGTTCAGTTGAGATCCACTACCAAAAGGTGTCACCAAACCGTTCATGACAATACGGAAACCGCCCCTTTTCTCACCTCTTTGTATGTCTGGATGTTACAACAATGCAATATTCTTACTTATCTTGCTTCTTTGGTCTCTCATCATCCATCATACTCAATCGTCATATGCTGGCTGTTATGGCTTGGCAAGAGACATTTGTAGGTAATTGAAGTCCCGGACTTCTTCGTTAGGTAATTTCCTTAGGTTGCTTTCGCAATGCGTAGAGTGGTTCTCCGGGGTTTCTTTTGCAGTGCGTAAGATGATTCCCCGGGTTTCTTTCGTAGTACGTAAAGTGATTGTTTTCAGCTGCTACAATAGTGAGCCGTGGATGGGAGAAGAAAAATTGCTTTATTGCTACAATAAAGGATGTGGTACGAAGTTCGATCCTGGCGATAACAATAATGGTAAGCACTTATCTTTGTGTTTACTCTGTCTTTTTATGATCATTCTTCCAATTTTATTTTTTTCAGTTGCTTTCTTCTGTTTCGATATTATTTTGAAAGTAGTTAATACTCCTGTTTGTAACGCTTCCATCTCACTTACGGAAAACATTATTAGACCAGTCGGGACCATACGAAACAAAAATATATGAATACATTCATGTTGTATTACATAAGCATGATTTGTCAGGCTTGTATTGCGCAACCTTTTTTTTCGCATTTTACTACTGATTTACTCTTAAATGCTGTCATTTTAACCAGATCTAAAAAAACCAAAAAAAAAAATATGCAAAAAAAATATTTATAATCAAACTTATGTCTTTTTCAGATTCATGTTTGTATCATCCTGGTGCACCATACTTCCATGATGCATATAAAATTTGGAGCTGTTGTAATCAAAAAAGTACAGACTTCAGCACATGGTTAAGTCTGAAGGGCTGCACACGCGGACAACACAGTAATCAGAAAGCGATAGCAGAAACGAAACCCAAAAAATTGGAAACAAAAATTAAATCTCAATTATCAGAAGAAGTATGTGCAAGCGATATATTATTGTTCATCGAGGAGCCTCTTGAATTACAGATACATCTTCAATTACACGTTAAAATTGATGTTGTTTAAAGCGTCTTTTTTGTTTCAGTTTAATGTGAGATACCTTTCAAAACTAGAGAGATTTGTTCTGTTCAGAACATAGCGACGGAACACCTATCAGAAAATTTATAGGTTTGCTGAGAGGAGAGAAGAGAAATATTATTTTCCGAAAGAGATTTTTATTGACATTCGTCTAATTATTGAGACCTTTGGGTCTTTTTTTTTTTTTTTTTTCAAAAAGAACGCTGAAATAAAATCCGTATAAAGAAACATGTCACCTCTTCCAACGTATTTTCAGTGACCAGATGCAGTGGTTTATTTGCATTTCAGGTAATCGTATGGAGTGGCCTAAATAAACCCGCAGCTAGACATGATTCATTGAAGATAATGAAAGCGATAAAGTTTGAAGTGACTGATGGCGCTTTAAAAGGCATTGAACGATTCAAATCTGAAATAAAGGAAGACGCTGAATCAGATATTCATGTGGGCATGTCATGTAAAAATACTGGTTGCGAAAAGGTTTGTTTGATAAATAACTTTGCGTTCTGTTATATTTTTCAAAGCGATGAAATTGTCGCATTTTATTGTATTTTTAGAATATGAAGTACGAGGAAAAAATCAGATATAAAGACACATAAAAAATTTTCCATTATACAAAACTTATATAAAAATCTGATATAGAAATTCTAGTGTACCGTTAGTTATCCCCGTGCATTAAAAAGTTATTGTTCTCAGTGATAAATGTTAAAGATTAAATTTTTTGAACTCATTCCATCTCATAAAGCAGGTCGAGTATATTCAAAAGGCTTAATAGTACAAAGAAATCTTGTTGTTAGATGAAAAAAAAAAAAAGAAAAATTAATTCGTTAAGTAAATTATTATTATTTTTAGGTTTATGAAGGCGAAGGAAGCAAGGATGAGAAGTGTATGTATCATAGCGGTGTAGCTATATTTCACGAAGGAATGAAGTATTGGTCATGCTGTGAGAAAAAAACTTCCGATTTCGGCACTTTTCTTGAGCAGAAAGGCTGCACGATGGGACAGCACTGTTGGACAAAAGTATGAGTTGAAGTTTCAGTGAGGTTTCAGCGGAATCATCCACAAATACGTAAGCGAAAATTGCCTTGAAAATTGGAAATCGAGTCCAAAAACATATGTATTTTTCATCATTCAGTAACTTATCAAAATTCATATTATTTATGTATTTAGACAGAACGCATTGACAAAATTCGCGAAGACTGGTTTAGCGGGGGTGGCTTCATTCATTTGAATGTTTACTGTAAGGGAGCCATGCCAGAGTCTTGCAAAGTGGAAAGCAATGGCCTTATATTGCAATTAAAAGTCGTACATGGTTTCGGTGCAAAAGAAACGCAGTTGAATTACGAGCTTTTTGGTAGGATCAATGTAGATGCATCGAAGGTAACATTTCCTACTTAATTTTTCTTTTTCTCTCTTTTTATTAAAATTGAGATGATGTGTTCATAAATTCAGTCTTTTAAAGAATTATTAGGTTTATCAATATCTTTTCAGGTAATAATTGGTGAAAGAAAACTGGAGTTAGTATTAAAACAGGAAGATATAGCAAGCTGGCCACGGTTAACGTATGATGCAAAAAATGTTGAAGCAAAGGCTAATTGATTGCGTTAATTTCTGTATTTTTATTGTTTTTTAATGGATTGTAAATTTTATTATAACACAGAACAAGGAAAACACCATATAGTTTTGATGATATTATGAGGGGTATTGTAGATAGGATCTGAATTATAAACTTTCGCATACCTTCATATTTTGGGTTTTTATGCCAATGCATTTATTATTCTTCGTTGTTATTTGCCATCTCAATTTCATAAATTTAATGCTTAATTTTCAGAATACTTGAAGTTATGGTGTATAACTTTTCTGCAAATGACTCTGAATTTTTTGTTGAAAAGAGTTTTATTAAAAGGATTTAAATCAAATAATTTTTATTTAAAAGGCTTGTTAAAAAAGTCAAAGCAATTATCGTACCTTTGATATGAAAAACATTATTGCTTGCTTCTGATGGAAATAGGTATTGTTGGAAGACATTTCTGTGTGTTTTGACTTTCTGATAGTGTAAAGGATTTTAAAAGTAGATAATCTTCTGAAGCTAGTTTTTGTGAACCATTTTGGCTGATTTGGTCCTACCTACTTTTCTCTGAGTGAACGATTTTACAGCAATGTTTTTGAGAACTGTGATTTTACAGAGATGAAAAATCAAGTGAACAGTATAGGATTGTTTCATTCTATTGAAGCAATTTATACAGGTGGAGCAATCGAATGGAGTTTGGATGGAAAAATGCTTTTTTCAGCTTGCGGCAACTATATCAGAGCGTCGAATATTGAAAATGGAAGAGAAAGGTGGTTAAGCATGCCGTCATTTTTTAATTTTAATGGATGTTTGACTTGAAAGTCGTTTGTAAGTGTATGGAAAATGTATGAATGTGGATACTTAATGACTCTGTTGGTAAGATAATGAATGGTCAGCTCAATTTGGTCTAAACAGGTTATGAGTTAGTGTATGGAAAATGTAAGGATTTGATAACGAGTGAGTTCGGATGCTTCAATTAGCATTTTATGTCCTTTTATTCTAACGGATTTTGTTGTTAATTGCAGTTACAAGATTGGAAATGAAGAGGATCTGTTACGAATATCTACTTTCTTGTTGAACGGAAATTGCAATTCCATCGTAGTAGCTTATACGAATGGCCTTTTACGAAATTATCGATTGCCTTTACTAGAAAATGGGTCTGAAGTAGTAAATCCGGAAATAATCCGTCAATGGAAATCAACTCATTCGGCACCGGTTTTAGTCATGAAATTTTCCAGAGGTGATGCATTACTTGCTACTGGATCAGCAGATTTTGTTGTCAAGGTTTGGATTCTCAACTATGTCATCGTATAGAATGGAAGTAGAGCTGTCAACTGAATATGCCAAAAAATGTTATCTCACATTCTTTTATTCTTGGTACATATTTCAAAATTTATTGGTTTTGGTAATTAGCAAGTGAGTTCGGAAGCTTCAGTTAGTTGTTTAGATTTGGAATCTCGAGAAACGCAGCTGTGTTGGCTCATTGAAAGGTACAAGCGCTGTAAGTGCTATCGAGTTTCTTCATAAAGGTCGTGTAGTAGTTGGCTATACTGACGGCAGTTCATCATTATTTTGTTTAGAAACTCCAAAGAAATTGATTTTTCGGTGGATTAACCACACAAGGTTAGATAGATATAAATTTGTTGTAAACTTACGCGATATCAGTTAGCTTAGAATATTTTCGATTTCGAAAAATTCATTTTCCATATCGAGAAATTCATTTCGCACATTCATTTTCTAGTATTTTAGCCAAATTGTAAGCATAATTATTCGACAGCTGCCGGAAGTTGTTTTTGTGAGTCGTGATCAAACATTGTCAATCGTTAATGTGGACAGCTACGAGAAAATGAAAGTGCTTCCCTTGTATGAGCCGATCGAAGCAGCAATTTTTATATCTGGATCGTTGTTGACAGTAGGAGAGGAAGGTATTTTAAAGTGTTGGAATATGGAAAACGCAAAATTACTAAGATCTGCAAATATATGTAGGTTAGTTTGTTTTTATGCAAGCAATGTTTGCTGTGTACTTTATTATATCATCTGAAAGTTTGTTATGAGAATGTTCATTCTATTTTACGTGATTTTTAGTTTACAAATATGACTGAATTATTGGTAGAATGAATAAAAAAAAACTTCAATTTCTTACTTTGTTTTAAGTAATTCCAACTCTCGCATCAATTCTATTATTTACAATCAAATCTGCAAGAAATTTCTCTTGGCTACTTCGGATTTCAACATTTTTTGGATAGATGAAGAAACTTTCAAAATTAAGCGACAGTTTGCTGGTTTCAATGATGAGATTCTTGATGTTTCGTTTTTTGGACCAAAACTGGAATATTTGATTGCAGCTACAAATAGTTCTGAATTGCGTTTTTATAATATGAATACTTGGTCTTGTCGTCTTATTGCCGGTACGTTTGTTTGAAGCAGAATGAAACATGGAATAATGTTTAGTATCTGAAAGTATTTTATAGGCAATAAAATTTGTGCAGAGTGTGTATCCAGTGATGAAACATAGCAATTAATTTCATGTATTGATTTTATTTCGCAAGGTTACAGGTCATACTGATAATGTTCTCTCACTGTCAACGGCACCGTGGGATTCAAAGCTCTTCGCTAGTTCTTCCAAAGATAATACATTTATTATTTGGTGCGTAGACTTCAACGATGGTGAAGAAATGAAAGTGGAAAAGGTGGCTGATTTGTTAAGATTGCTTCATTTTCATTTCATATATTTCTAATAATATGTGGTTAATTTTTAGGTAGGTATAGCGACTGGACATACTAATAATGTCACACGTATTCGGTATTCTAATGGTTCCAAGCATCGTTTCATCGTTTCAGTATCGAACGATACGACGATTAAATTGTGGCCATTAAAGAATTTCAAGGAAAAAACTGAAAAGTATTATTATACTGACTAATTTATTATTATTGTTAATGGTAGTAGTATTGTTATTAGTTATTATTAATAATTGGTTATTATTTATTAACTTTTTGTTTCATTTTTTGAAAACATTATAGTTTCTCAGTGTGATCGGAGATGAGATCTTATTCTTATTTAAACATGTTTATTCCTTTCTAAAAGTCGAATCTTTTGAGAATGTAATTTATTAGGACTTAACACTTTGCTCACCTAATGCTTCTTTGCTTTCGAAAACAGCTCTTAATGTGCTTTCTTTTTTCAGTGTTTATAATGTTTCCTGAGGTACTATATGAGCTGTTTTCAGTTTGAAACTGCAGTCGTCAGCAACATTAGTTGCCCACGCAAAGGATATAACTTGCTTAGATATTAGTCTGAATGATCGTTTATGTGTTACTGGCTCCATGGACAAGACAGCAAAGTTATGGCATATTGATACAGATAAAATGCATTTTACCATAGGTGGCATGTTAAGTGGTCATCGCCGTGGAGTTTGGGATGCTCGTTTTTCACCTACCACTCAGGTAATGTTTTTCAGAGAGTCTTCATATAGTATTCTTGACTGATTCCGTTATTTCGATGCTAATCTGAGCTATGCTATTAGTGGCAGAAGTTAGAAAACGGTTTCGAAAACTTTTATTTTTGAGTTTTGCAACGAGACATCAGAAAAAAGATGAAATGGTGGTTACATAAAGCTTATTCGTTAATCTGTTCAGGCTGTGATAACATGTAGTGGTGATTGTATGATCAGGATATTTTCGCTGCCAAATCGAGATTGCATAGCCACATTAGCTGGACATCCGTCTGCCGTACTTAATGTGATTCCACTTTTCTTCACGTTCTTTTTTTTTTCTAGATCATAAATTTTTTCCAATTACTTAACCATTTGTTTTAGAGTTCTAGCTGTTTGCTTTGCCATTTTTCAGGGGGTCATAGTGAATGGTGGCAAACAAATAATATCTGCGGATAGTGGTGGTTTACTTAAAATATGGGATATAGCTGCAAATGAATGCATCACAACGGTAGAAGCTCATGATGAGAAAATATGGGCTTTGCAAATGACAAATGATGAAAGTAGACTTGTTACGGGTACACTTTCAAAATTTTAATATATTTCCGTGTTCACCAATTCGTCCCTCTCCTTTTCTTTCTTTCTCTCTCTTCTCTCTCTCTCTCTCTCTCTATCATTCTTTCTGTAAAATATTGAACAGTTTAGTAGGCCGTGATCAATTTCTTGAATTTTCCAATGATTCTGTTCCTTTTTTTTTGAAAAATTACTTTTTGAAAATTTTGAAAAAAGTTATGCTTTTTATTTTAGCAAGTAGTGATGGACGAATACGGATCTGGGAAGATATTTCTGAAAAAAAGCGCGAAGAAGAAGAACGTAATCGAGCAGAAAAGGCATATAGTGAACAAGTTCTGACAAATCTTATGCAGCAGAATCATTATGCTGAAGCTTTAGCATTTTCACTAACACTGGCAAGACCATATAGGTGTTCAAAATTTATAATTCGTTTAGATATGCGTTTTAAATTGAATGAGCAAGAACACTATGCTGTATTTTATTTTACTGGTGTTCAGGTGAAGTGCATATTTATGTGTTTTGTAGAAATTTTGTAGGCAGAAGATATTAATTTTGCTCTGTCTTGGTATTGACAATATTTTTGCTTAGAATGGATATTTTGCAACTTAACATTTCTCTTGTTAAGTAATAAAATTTCCGTCTATTCCTTTCGGTAGACAACACGTAGGAAGACATAAATTTTAAGAGAACATAATATAAGTATGTTCAAGTATTGAACAGATAGATTAATAAATATCGAATTATTTTGCTTATAAAATTGTGAATAGTCATATTATGCTAATAAGATTGAGCACTTTCTAGCTTGATTTTTTGTTCTATTTTTTGTAGCTGCTTGAAAATAGTGCAGAGGATGATGGAGTTAAAATCAAATGAATTGCACAGTGCGGTCAAAAAAATGCATAGTGAAGAGTTAGTAGTATTGCTGCACTTCGCCGCCCAGTGGAACACAAACAGTCGAACAGCAGATGTTAGTATGTTATCAGTTTGAATTTCACAAAGCATGTTCATTTTTCATTCCCATTTCGCGCATTTTCCTTTGGATTTTTCAACGTTCACTACTTTTAGTAGATTCAGTTGGAGAAATATTTCTGTTACAAAAATGTTGATAAAGAATAAGCTTTTTTCTACCGCATTTGCTGTTGATGGACCTATGAATTGTAATAGTGTGTATATAAATAAACTAAAATTAGGCGAATATTACTGAGGAACGCTTGAGGTTTTTAATGTTTATTTTTAGGTTGGTCAATTAGTGCTTTATTGCGTTTTGCATTCGTTCCCTCCCAAGGAGTTATTAAAAATGCCTAACTTTGCTTCAGTGATAGAAGCATATGTTCCATACACAACCAGGTGTGTTATATGATTTTAATCCAAGTTTTCTTCTTTTTCTCACAGTTTGGGGAATTTAAATTATTGGTAATTTCAACCTGATTTTAGGAAGACTAATGAAGAAAATTTGTAGGCATTTCGATCGGTTAACAAGAGCGCGACAAAATGCTACATTTTTGGACTATACTTTAGCGCAGATGTCGCTGTCGAATTTGTAAATGGTTTTTGTTATTTTCTTGATAATGGCAACTTTCAGTGATTGATCTTTTTGAACCTGTTATACAGTTGTGACTACATATCATTGTTGTTGTTTTATTTTTATATTGTTGTTATTTTGAAGAATTGAACATTTTCAATAAAATTTCATTATTTCATTATGTATTGTTATTTGACAGTATTATACGTCGCTTGATACATGTATTATTTTTATGTAATTTCATCTACATCCTTTTCAGGATAATTAAATTTCTTTAAATTATTAAGTGATCAGTGATTGTAACGGAATGGGCTAAATGCAAAGTTTTGAGTTTGGACATAGATTCTTGCCATTTTTCATTTCAAGTTGGTTATGGAGGAAGCGAGTGTTGAAACTGATTTACTGATAGAAGCAGTCGAAGATGATGACATGCCGGACTTGCTGGAAACGATCCCTACACATTTTGCTACCTTGCCTCATCGAATGGAAGACGAAGACATCATTCCATCGGCAGAAGAGGGATTTGATGTGGTGAGCTTACTTTGTTAATGAATTTCAAATAGCGCTCTCAAGTTTTATAGTCCACTTTCTGTATTGTTATACTTGGTAAAGTTTTTGAACTGAGCATTTCTTTGGGGGAGTTGGACTTCATTTGTTCATTTGATGAACAAGTAGATTATTTTTTTTCCTGCAAAATTTCCCTCAAATCCAACAAATAGTCGGAAAGTGGTCAGAAAATATATCGCGATGCGAAACATGTATTTCGTTTTTTTTAACAGGATGTGGTGGCAGAATTCAGAATTTGATGCAGAATTAACAGGATTCAAGTTCCTTCTGTTTTTTGCTTTACCGTATTTGTAAGCAACCCTAGAGATATTTGAATGGAGATATGTTATAAAAACAATAGGCTGGAGAAGTAGGCACGAAATATTAAGTAGAATACATTACTAAAAGAGTATTTCAAAATAGAATAACTGGACTGCTTTTTTAAATTCTTCCCTGTACAGTTCTAGAAAATCTAGCATTTAGATAACTGTTAACATTTTAAACAAGAAGAACATGAAACAGCATGAAGGAGGTGAAAAAGGATGGTCCCTTTGCACTATGAAAGAGTGAGCACCCACTTTGAAGTGCTCACTTTTTCATTTTTTACCAAAGTGCACTTTCCGCAACACAGCACAAAGTGTTATGGCGATACACGCAACTGTTGCGTTTTATCGCCAACAATCGCATAAAAATGCGTTGGTTAAATTTTATTGCTTTTGGTATATTTTTGCAATTGGTTCTACAAAAAAAGGACATAGGGAGGGAAGACCTACCGCATTGAAACATTAGACACAAACTCTAATGGCACTCATATATAATATTCCTTTTTGCTTTTCTTTCTCTTTCTCTCTCTTCATGTGGACCTTCAAAACAGGCGCATAGATAGCAAAAATGCCATTGAAATTTTTTTTTAATCAAATGGTCGGTAGCTTTTGACTGTGTTCTCTATTTAATATCTATGTATGTATATGTCCATGTATATATTGTGCTTTATAACATTGAAAAAAAAAGGTGAGGTTTGCAATGGCTAAAGACCGCACGCAACAAGCAAATAATACTTGCAATAAATTAAAGCTGCTGTAGAAGGGAGAACAGCCGAGATCAAAGAGATTAGAAGGGAGATGGATATGAATTGATTACCATTGTTTATAATTAACTAGTTGCAATAAATTTCATTCCATCTGGTGGTTATTAATTTATTAACTCACCATTCCCTAATTTGCTATGGAAATGATTGGATTTGAGTGAATAATATCTCCTTATCACCATTGCTTACTTGCTTAGTTTCACTAACCCTAACTGTCGTTATTCGTCCTTGTAATCGACTGATTAATAATTTTTTTTCAACCACAAATCAATTTCCTGAAGTAAAAGGATCTTCTTTTTAAAGACCGGCAGCGTTTGTTAGTCAAGTTCCTTTCTTCTGTTTTTTGCTTTACCATGAATGAAAAAAGTCCTTTTGCTTCTTGATTTCCGTTAATTTTCGTACACCAAGCTTCGCTAATTTTCGTCTAAATATTTCTTAAATTATCACATCTTTTTGTATAATTTTATTCAAGTATCGATTGGACTAGAAAACAGTTCTCTATGCTATGTCGAGATTTGGATTTTATTTGTAAAAGTTATGTCCATGATTTTGTACACTTGCGGTAGATTTCCCGTTCATTTCTTTTTTGTTCAGGTACGAAGGAGGAAAAGGAATCGTGACAATGTTGGAATGATATCAGAAAAATCTGAAATTATTGTTGCAAAACAAATACACTACAAGAAACATAGGGGTTTGACAAATGTTGAAGTGCGCAAAGTCCCAGTGCCACCACATCGGTATTCACCACTAAAAGAGCACTGGTCAAAAATTATTTTGCCAATCATCAAGCAGTTACATCTACAAATAAGGTACTTCCACATCTCAATAGTAATTTTTTTGCTTAACTTCAAATTACATTATTTTTTTCCGTAAGAGTAGAAACTGCTCATATTGTATCCTATCGTATTGTTATGTTTCCTGATCACAGGAACTTTCTTTATAATAATCATATCTTCTGAGAAGTTTCCGCATTTCTTGTTCTTTTAGTACATTTTCGTTTATTTCCCAAATTTTCTATTTCAACCTAGTTTGCAATTTATTTGTCATGCTGAAATTAAAATTCAATTCGGAATAAGTTTTGTTGAAGACATCCATTCTTATATGCATTTCATTGATTATTAGACAAACATTTCTTTTAGATTCAACCTGAAAACACGAAATGTGGAAATTCGTGTATCGAGTGAGACTGAGGATCCTACACATTTGCAAAAGATTAGTTGCTTTTGTCTGAAAATGGCTGGTTGATTTTGCAAGAAAATGTGTAATATGAAGTAGAAGGGTTGGTTTTTTGCGATACATGAGAATTACATATATTTGTGTTTTCAGGCTGAAGATTTTGTCCGCGCTTTTGTTTTGGGTTTCGATGTTGATGATGCGGTAGCATTAATTAGACTGAATCATTTATTCTTAGAAAGTTTCGAAATTAATGATGTTAAGCCACTAAAAGGAGAGCATTTGTCACGTGCTATTGGACGAATTGCTGGCAAAGATGGTCGAACCAAATTCACGATTGAAAACATAACTAAGGTGTAGTAATTTATGAAGATATGTCAGTAATAATAAATGATGGACATTGGTTCCAATATTTCAGTGGAAGTTTACTAACTTAAACTTAATCTTTTCATTTGTATGCTTCGTTTGTAATTTAAATTATGTTACAGACTCGTATTGTGCTTGCCAACAGTAAAATTCATCTACTTGGTGCGTACCAAAATATTCGGATAGCAAGGAATGCAATCTCTTCATTGATTATGGGTATTCTTTTTTTCTTTTTATTCACTTTTTAGGTATTTAAGCTATAAAGAAAACTTTAAGATGCAAAGCCTCATTTTCTATTCTATTATACGCATAGCTGATATTGAAGGAAAGTTATAACATAAGAAAAGATTTTCCCAGGTCTACATAAATACAGCAGTAAATATAAATACAGCAATAAAAATACAGCAGTAAGTAAATATGTTTTAGGTAGCCCGCCATCAAAAGTATATGGTAATTTACGAAATCTTGCAAATCGAGCAAGTGAACGCTTGTGATTTCTGTACCATCAGTGTTTTCGATTTATATATGGAAGTTTATTGCATTGAATTGGTTAAAAAAGTTAAGAAACTGAGTTTCTGAATTTTTAAATGCTAAACAGGGAATGACATCATCAACAAAGAATCACTGGTAAAACAAACGATTAATATATTATAGACGCTAGAGCACGTCAGGCGAAATAACATGGAATAATCTTTGCTAGTTTTACATTCGTGCACTTATAATCTCAAGCTAGGTACCCGATGCTTTGCTTTAAGATAAAGACCAATTAAATCAGGAATCTGATTTTTAAATCTTACTGATTGACATGAAAAGCATTGGGTAACTTGCTCTATTTATTGGCCTGAGATGAAGCCAGTTCGATCCGATTTCTTTCTTACAAAAGCAATTCAGTAGAAGGGAACATAGACTAAATGATTCTTTGATGTTAGATTTCATCCATGATTAGAGGAATTTCGTTATCCATTCCTCTTAATAGTTGAAAAAAGCAACGTCGGGTAAATTAGATTTGTTCGATAAAATGAACTGGTCAAAGAATATTAAAGAAAAAGATATGATAAGAATAAAGAACTAGCGGGAAATCTATTGTTTATGTGAATATGAACTTGTGACACAGATAATACACTAACAAATAATACATGAGAGGAGGCTTCCTTTCAAGGTGCTGACAGAAATGGTAACGTTGGTGTGTACGGTAACATGGGAGTAAACTGGAACGGTACTGGATTCATCATATGATGATAATTTAGAGATATAAGACGCAAATCAATATTATCCATTGGTGAAATAAACCTGAAAAGTCCGAAACCGATAAGATTGGTAATGCGGGGCTTTGCATCTATTAATCTCTTTTTGATTAGCTTGTACTTTCCAGTGATTCACCTAGAATGATCTAGATATATTGCTTAGGTTCAACCAAATGCGCCATTCCTATACTTTATCTGGTCTAACTAATTTGCATCTTCGTGATGCAGTTGTTTAATAAAGAATGAATTTGTTTAAATATTTGATGCCTCATATACAAACCATACTTTCCTCTCCTGCATATCCTTTATAATGAAAATAATTGTTGCAAATTAGAAATTCCAAACTTACATTGGTGCTGTAGGTAATATCGCAGTTGGTTGAAAGATTATTGGAACCGGTGGTCTGGGTTCCATAACTTGTGGTTTTGGGAATACTGGTAAGAGTGGTGGTACACGCACAGGTTCTTCCACTTTTACATTATGGTCTGGCGTAATAAGTTGCTCTGAAGCAAACAGAAATATTTTAGTTTAAGGTGGGAATTTAAACTTCAAACAACTAATATACCCCTCATCTGCTTAAAAACTCTAATAACAGCCAATATATTTAATATTTGCTTGCCTGATAGATCGGTAAAACCTTGTTCGACTTCCGAATTTGACTGCTCCAAGATTAAACTTTTTGTAGCGATGTTTGTTGTAGTCGCAAGAGCAGCAGCTGCGGCACTAAGTTGTGCTTTTCGTTGTTTCTGCTGATCTCGTCGTAGTTTTATTTGACGAGCCATTAATGTTCGCCGATTTTCAACCAGACCACACTAAAAACAGTTTTCAGATTAATCGTCTCTTTACACCTTTCAAATCCTATGGTGCTGAATAGTAAATGATTCTGAATTTAAACACTATGAAATCAGAAATGAAATAGAAAAGTGATAAAATTCTACTAGTGTGTCTTCGATTACAGGACTCACTTCACTAGAAATTTAAATTTCCCTGCTTTTATTTTGTTAATTTCGAATAGATACCCAGATCTATCACTATTTTCAATTTAAATTAATGGAATAACAAGTTTGAAACCAATATTGAGACATTTTTTTAAATTTTAATGTAAGAAATTGAATTAGATTAGCTACTATACAAATATGCGCTCTTTTTCCTTCTGCTGATGTTTCATCAAGCAAAATGATGATGGATGATAGAAGAAGCTAACCAGATGACATCCACACTTCAAAAATGGACACTGCGCTTTTTTGTGTCCTCTGAGCGGTTGTTTATTGCCATGTGCAGAACAAAGTGCGCACTTCGGATCGCGTATCTTTTTACCCGTTGTTGAACGACTTGCTGCGTGATTGGGGTCCAATCGTCTTAAACTTAACATATTATTCAATCGTCGACGCTCTTCCACCATATGACAGTCGGCACACTCACAATTCGCATACCTGAATGAAATTTTTGCTTCAAATGAAATTAATTTTCAAAAATGCCATTTCTTTGAAACTCAATAATTCTGTTGAAAGAAAGTTCTTGGAATGGAGTTATTTGGATGTGATGTAGGGATGATAGGGATGATATGATAATGATTTTGTGCTTAAACGATAACGAATGTTTAATGTCTTTGGAAAATCACACCTGGAAAGGAATTCATAGATGAAGAAAATACGAATTAAAAGAGTTTTTAATGCCGCTTGAAGAGTATTTGGAAGTTAATTTAATGATAAATATGAAGTAAAAGATTTTGAATAAAAGAAATCATGGAAAGAAGAGGAGAAAGGAAGAGATCAGAAAAGATTTGCATTTTTCAATTTAAATCTATATTTCCTCTAAAAAGTTAAAAAACAAAAAACAAAAATAAACGTCGATAACGTGCTGGCAAAAAGGTTTATGCCCTTTTCGAGGGTGTTCCTCAGCGTGATTCAAGCATCGCTGACAAAAATATCGCTTCTGATCATCTTCGTTTACTGGTTCTGGACGAGGTGTAAATGCAACAACATCAACTTCTTCCGGTGTGCTACATGACGAATAACCACCGGAACTACTGTTCCGACTACTTCCAGGCGACGTACCTAAAATTCCAATAATATTAACAAATAAACAAATTTATTTCTATCAATTATTATTACTTTGTTTTCAGCGATAACTGAATAAAATGTAACAATTTAAACTCCGTATTTAGTTTAAAATTTTTGACATTTTTAGCAAGTTTAAAAACCAATCTGTCGAAATTTCAAACAATTATTTTAAGTATTCATTTGAGGTTATATCGCTCTGTTTGAATTGAGTCAGTAATATTATAAAATAATATAATGTGCATGGTTTTATGTTCAATCCAATATGAAAACAATTAAAAATTATAGACAACTATAAGCAATTCATTTGAATCCGAAAAAAGCAATTTGAATTCATTTTGTTTTTATTTTTACACAGGATTTAATAGATAACAGAACGCTAACATTTAATAGATAGCATCAGAAATATATCAAATGTTCTGTCCCTTAACTGTCGCCTTGTTTAATTTTATTCTAAAAACTGTTTTATCGGTAGCTCGAATAGTCGTTACAATTGAAAAGCGTTTCATTTCAGTTTATTCAGCTACTGGAAATTTTTCGTTAATGTTTTTTATCTATAGCATAGGGCTAGAAAAAAGTTTAAAATGAATAATTCAAAAATATGGCAATGATTGCGAAGTTTAATACGCTGTTTACATCATTGCTTTCATCTAGTTATCATGAAATAAGCAGAAAAATTTTTTCGTACTGGTTTAAATTTGGTAAAACTGTACTAACAGACTTTTCCTATTTCGGGGACTATTCTTCTCGGATCGAGAATGATGTGAAATGCCAAGTTTAATCTTACATTTTCATGCAATGAAATATACGTAGCAAAATCCGTCAGAGTCTTTTTCGGTGGCCATAGCAACGAGTTAAGAGACTTGATAAAAGAACCGCCAATGAATAAAGTGAAATCTGTTGTGACAGATGTAAATCAACTTTATCCTGAATTGGTCGATCATAAATTCTAGACATAAATGTCCTGTTGATTTTATGGATCACCTTATTTAACTAGAGAAAGCAAAAGCTTTCCAGCTATGGCGCTGGATATGCATGATTTATGAATGAGCAAAAAATTCTTTTAAAATGAGAAATTTGGTTTAACAACATTTCACCATTTTAAGAAAAGAATTTAATTGCTATTGCAAGTGGAATATTAAAAAAATTCAATTTAATTTTTTTAGAACATCTAAGATTGGATAACGTTAAAGTTCGAATTTTCATTTCCAATGTTGCAATTAAACTTCAATCAAACCAAAATTATGACATATACTAAATACTCAGTTCCATGTACTTAAAAGAGAACAAATCGATAACCAAGCAAAAAAATATTTGCAAATTATTATTGAAGTAGATGAATGAAATATGGACGATAATAAAATCAAATCAGTTATAAATTAAAGTATGTGATTTTATGCTGAATACGATTTGATTTTCATATTTCTCTCGAGAAGATTGTTTTCTCTCTTAAATTTGCTTTGAATCTTTGAAATGCATAGTTGTAGTCATGAATTGAAGAAATTAATTTAAAAAAGTGGTAACGAAGAAAGTATTTATCATGTCGAATTCAAAATAATGATAAAATTAAATTCTAAGAAAATCATTTGATGCTTCTATTTACTGGCTTAGGAGTAAATGATATGAAAATATGTCAGTTAATGGTATTAGCTTGTGCAGTATTGGGGAAGCAGTTTTTTTAATCTTAGGTAAGTTAATTAAAATTCGTTTGAAGGACTAATAGCAAATGGCAAATGTTAAAATACATTTAAAATTATTTATCATGTCAGTAACAAACAAAAATACTACGATCACTTCAATAACTGCAGTAGTTTGTTCCGTAAGAAAGCTAAATCTAACATCTCAATAATTTTTTGCTGATTTATTGAGTACTAATTAACAAGATATTCTGGATAATAAATTGGAAGCTTATAATAGTAAAGGATGAAATAGATAGACCTAAATTTACACATCAAATTTAACTTTTAATCATTGATAACAAGTGAATTAGAACTAAATCATATAAGTATTTACATTTCGGTGTTGATAACATAATTTGTACACTTCAAGGATGACACATTTCATTTGGATTATTGATATAATTGGAAGATTCTATTACCTTTCTATCACTTCATTTTTTTCCCGGGCTAGTGAGTTTACCCTACAAATTAGTGATTTATTCATTATTGAATAGTTAAAAACAGTTCAGATTTGCAAAATTCTGCAGTTTCCTGCTAACTAACTTTGATTGTTTTCCTTTTCGTCCATGATGAACGAGTATAATTCCAAGGGTTCCGAGGGTAACTATTCCGCTGGCACATTCAATGTTGCAAACTGAGTGGGAACGCAATTGAAAATGTTGCTCGTTGCAGAAATGTTCATTAAATTCGAAGCGGATGATTAACGAAATCTATGCAATTTCAGCGGTATTTCCTTCCGAGGAATCGTTTCTGAATGATCGACTCTAGGAATGATATCAGGGTATATGGAACGCGGGAATGACGGTGACGAAGAATGAAATGATTAAAGGGAAGCTGCAACTCCGCCTCAAAACAAAAATGAAACTGGAACGACCACCCCCAACGGTGCCTTTGAAGTTGCTTCGATGTAGTTTTCCTGACTATTCCTGCTCTCTTCCTGCAACACGATCATGTAACATGTGATGATAATGTAATGATGATGATATGATGATGCGATGCTGAATATTCTGATCGAAAGGGCATACGAACACGGATGTGTACCGATAGCATAAATATTAGACAGATCGGAAGGAAGGACGTAGGCCAAAGGCCGAGATATGCTTTTGTCTGTCTGTATGTGTTTATGTGTAATTCTTATTGAATTTGTAGATGTCAGTTTTTTTATTACTGATACCTAGTATCTGAACCTGTCTTCGAAGAGCACTAATTTTTTAAAAAATGTGCAAAATAATTGCATAGTGAAAAACGTATTAAACTTATATTACTACTTTGTGCTCTTCATAATTCGTATATCGGTTATGATGCTAATATCGATAATGCATTTAATTCTTCATTCTTACAACATGATCAATTTTATATTTGTCAATTGAAATCATTATTTCTTAGCAGAATATAACATAAAGCATAATAATTTACAATAATAATTAACTGCATGAACAGATGAGAGGGCAAAAATCTACAAGTGTCACACAACTTTTTCCAATTCTTCGTATTAAATAGTTTGTCTTTGTACACTATGCAGTATTTTAATACATTTGGAAGTGATAAAGTGAATACTAATGTCTCGTAGACCAGATACGTAGGTATTGAAACTCTCGAGATAAATTATTACATCTATGATGAATTTCTTATCCCGAGCATTTGCAGCTGCAAATTTGTACAATCGCGATTTGATATGCATTGATTTTTGAAAAAAAAAAAAAAAAAAAGAAAGAAAGAAAAGCTTGCAATATGTGAGTGAATAAACGAAATGTATGTAAGTTAAAGTGCAAACAATCGTTTGATAAATAAATTTTATTGGAAGTTGCCACATATCTTGCAATTAATATGTATACGGAATTATTTGAATGGACAATGAACAAACATAAGGATGACAAATGGAACAGTAAATCAGTTAGGAATCAGATGTAGAATCTTTAATTACTTTACTTGATTAGAGTTTATCAAACTGCAAAATTTAGCTTGAAGAGAGAAGAAAGAAGCAATGGTTTTGGAGTATATTAAAAGAAATCATTAGTAATAAATACCCGAAAACAACTACTCTTTTTATAAAATTTTTTTACACCAATCAATACACCATCGTTACACAAATATTTTGCATCAATTCAATTCCGAAATTAACTCGTCAATAATCAATCTGATTGAAATCTTAATTCATTGTGATGCATATTCTGAATTTGTTCCTAATGATCAATAACAGTCATAGATATAAGAATTTGAACAATTCATTTCCATCAAATGAACATAACTTTAATAATAAATAGGATGGATCAAAAGTTAGAGTTTTAATGAAACAAATGAAAAGTTTTGCCAGAAAGCGCAGTATTAATCATTTGGATTGCTTGTTGCATATCAAATTGTATTGCATGCCTGTCAGCTCTTCCGGAAAACTGATAAAAATAAATATATATTGGTTTCGCTCTCTATCAGTAATTCCACCTGAATCATTCGTCCTTATAAATTTTCACTTTATAAACCAACTCTGCTCTTGCAATAAAATCAGAGTTATAGAGTAATTGTGAAACCAGAAATTTGTAGTTTGAAAATTGCTGTAAGGAATTTGTAAAAAGTAGCCAAATTTTCTGCACACTTTATTTCGTCATGCTTACTTCTGACAATCCTTACATAAAATTTTCTTTTCTTCTACTTCAATTCACCATAAAATGAATTGTTCTTCTGATTTCTAAAATGAATATATTTCTTTATCGGATATATATTTGTTAAAAAGCGCAAAGATACTGCTGAATAATCACGAACCATTAGGAATGGAATTTTAGCCTTTGAATAACATGGCTTTAATTAGAGTGTTTGAGACATTCATTCCCGAGCGGAAATACCAAGAGGATCGCTTTGATGTAATATAACAATGTTCCTTGATAGCTAATATTATTCAAATTCTTCCGGAATCTCGTCCGCTAGAATCCATTGGATATATGACAGAAATCATCCATCATGCCTTTAAGTAACTGTTTTAGTTATAATTTATTACTTCTTCCTTTCTAGTCTTCTATCAGTCAGCATTCTCGAGAATAGGAGAGGTACAAAATAATTCTCTATGCTATGTTATGCTATACAACGGATTGAACTTCCGTCCTTTAATTTAGTGAAATCAAAAATAGCAGTATACATACGACAATTACACCATTCATATTGTACCTTAAAGAATGAATGGTACTAAGATTGTTTGTAATGCTTCTGATTTCACTTTGTTTTATTATTTGAAATGATTATTTGCGAGGATGAGAAATCAATCCACTGCAATGATAGGATGGATGGATGAGTGAAGGAAGCTAAGGGATAAGTGAGACGCATTCGACGGTGCACTGCTAATTTCTACAATTCAGTTATCTTTCAGTGTTGCTGGAGAAACTATTTGAGAGGAATTTCCTTTCACTCAGAAGACATCACCTCCTCCTTTCTCCTATTGCATTTCATGTAGCAATTCCTTTGTGAAATTAAGAAGGAAAAGGCTTTCACCAATTTCTCTGTTTACAATATGTATGTGTGTGTGTGTGTGTGTGGCCTTCGAAGGCCCGTTGTTTCCTTTTGTTTCTTGGGTCTATTTGTCGGCATGAAACGGTGACTGTGAAGGTTCACTTCCGTATCCTTCACTTCATCTCGTCCTTCCCTTTTATTTATTACTTCATTTTTGTTGCTCCTTTGATTGTTTCCCTTCAATGTTCAATTTCAATATTTCTATGTCTGTCTATATCAGTTCTCTATTTATGTATGCAAGTTTTTCTTTTTTTAAATGTTTGTTCCAAATGAATGTTGAAGGCCCCACACGACGTTCACTGGGTACCGCACAGTTTGGCATTGATGACGACAGTAATCGCATTATGCCTACCTACCCTTCAGTGCAGGCATCTCACATGGGCACAATGAATAAACCTCTCAGGTATAATTAATCATATATGTGTATAATATATCATGCACTATTAAAAGGATGATAGAAGAAGAATGATCTCTGCGCTTTCTTTTATTCTGCATAAGAAATCACCAGTTTTATCTAATCGTTTCTGTTCAGTTTGCAGCGCTCCCTAAAATTCCTCTCATTTAGGCTGGTATGTCATCCTTATTCATTTTTCACTGAAGTATTAGACTTTTAACTCCACCGATACAATAAATACTTTTAGCAAATTTGGCAAATAAATACACTTTTCAGAAATTACATCTGTAAATCCGTCTGCTCGAATTTTGCTCCTAATAGAAGTTGAATGAACGCCTATAAATATGGATGTGTTTTGCTAACCAAACATTGGGTTAATTCTCATTTTAAATTTTGAGATCCTGAGTCTCATCTCTTGCAACAACTTTTCACACAACCATTTAAGCTGAAAACACTGCGACAACTGACAATTGAGATCTTTGTTGGTTACAACAAATATTGATATTTTATTTTCTAAAAACTCTTCTTAAAAAAATATACACATATCTAATAAATGACTGAAAATTCCAAATTAATGCCACTAAATTCATGGTTCACAATTCATAATGTAATAAAAAGTAGACTCAAATTAGAATATTGCAGTTGCTGAGTATTTCCAAGAATTGATTTGTGATTATAAAAGTGACTCGCAGCAGGAAGAAAACATGCATTCTATTGGCTTTTCCGTCCCATCCTGAAATGTTTCTTTAACGTTCCTAATGAAATTCAACATTGTGTAAAAAAGCTTCACATCACAGTATGACCGCAAACTTCTCAACAGCTTGTAGAGTTTTTCTATACAAAAATCCTTCTGCAATACTTTTCAGGCAACTTGCATCCTTCCGACTTTCCAAATATGTAGTTTTTAAATTATGTATTTGTATTAACTATTTGTATTAGTAATATTTGCGTATTCAGTACAAACTGGTTCCCGCACAGTTTCTTGGTAATTTGAAAAAAAATGGGTGTAAATAAGCCCAAAACTATATTGATAATATAATCCCTCAAACAATGACATTGTTCAAGTCAAGTTAAGCCTAGATAGTGGTAGCAGCACTATGCATTCAATAAGCCTCAAAAAACTTGGAACTGAAAATTTAAATCTTCAAAATGGACTTCAAATTAGAAGTGAATTTTAAATAACAATCTTAAACAAGGCATTTTGAAGGTTAGTTAGTCAAATATTTTTGAAAAATCTTATTAACATCTTTGTCTATGAATTAGTTGCTTTATCTTTGTAGAAGTAAATAATTTCAGTAATGATAAGATAGGACGATAATCATTGATGATAAATTGATGGTGCATTTGAATTGTCTCAGACTTTCTGTAATTTAAACTAGGAAAATAAAGTAGAAAATCTTCAAGAAGACTCATTGTTATAGCAGTTGCCCCTCAGATTATTGAAAAATTATGCAAAAATTTACATCTCAATCCCTTTGTTCTTGTAACAAAAGGCGTAATTCTCTAAGCAAATATGGGAAAATTAAGAATGCAAAAAATTTACGTTCTGAAAAAAAAAATGTCTGGAAAAATATTTGTTGAAGGAGCGATGTAAAGAACGACGAGTGGAAAAAATAAGAAAAGAAAGTATCGGATAGGAGGAGACCACACACGAACATACCATATCCCTCACTTCTTCCCATCCTGTTCCTTTTCTTTGATACTATCTCGTCGGGGATTTCTGGTACAGGGGGCAACGGCGACAAACAACAGAACAGGAGGGTGGTCCGGAATAATTAGTCTTGAAATTACTGCATTGTGAGTATAATTTCAAGAATGTATTACTTCCCATGACAATAGCTTCTTAGTTAATGTCAAATTCGGTCTTTTCAAAAAAGAAAAAAAAGATAATCAAAATGAAAATAACTGATAGATAATGCATAAGAAATGAGAACAAAAATTTATTTCTGATAGTATTACTTCACATTTAACTCTTTCAATATTCCGTCTTATCCGTATTACTGTTCTGTTACTTATCTGATCAAAACAACTGCATCACTGATATTTTATAAAATAATTATGAAAATTCTCATACAGCAATATAAGTAGTTGATGAGTAAGAATTACTGTGTCACTCGCATACCTTACATTCCAGTTAAAATAAGTTGTGCTCGGAGCATATCAGGACAAAAACTGTTATTTATCATTTTATTTAATATACATTTGCAATACCAACATCAATGTCAAGAAAAAAACCTATGTCTAGTTGAAATATTTATACTAAAGAAATTTATAAATATGTTCCAATTAGATTAGATTAGTAACCATCAGAGTCAAATACACAACTGAAAACAAAAAACGCCTGCGTTATTGACATCGTTAAAAAAAAAACAGTTTCACGTAAATGTGTGAAACATACGTTATGGCAAACGGACACGATTTAGATATGCAAAATAAAAGTGCAAATATGTGGGTTGATAGCTTGTCTACACATATTGCACAAGAAAATATTCTGAGGTAAAATACCGCAAATGTATTTTTCAATAAAGGAACTACCAAAAAATAAGAATAAAAAAGGCAAACGGACACAATCATTATCCTAACCTTTATTATTAGTTCCTTAAATTGTGATAATAATAATTTAAACAATCCACTAATTTTTTTTCTTTTTGTTTGTTTGTCAAAAAATGAATTATGCTTACCAACTAGTGTGTATCGGAATGTTGCAATAATTGCATGTGTCTTTTAAGGAAATGTTGCAAAATTTGCACTTTTTGTTTTCGTCTTGTCGCTGCTAGCAATGTGACAATCAAAACCTTTGTTACCTTCTTTTTCATTTGTAATAACATTGAAGATTTTAGTGTTTAGCCTTAATTTCAACAAAGTCTATTGTTTTAATTATTTCATCATTTATAAGTTGAAGTTAAGTATTAGCTAACATTAATGACCTAATCAAACAGTACTGGCGTCTTTCTGAAAAAAAATAACTGAATAATTCTGATTGGAAATTGCATGTGTTTTGCTATCACTTGTGAGAGAGTCTAATTTAAATAATGACAGACTTTTTCAATGACATCCATCATTGGATCTTTTAAATAGTCAATCATCGAGATTGTGCAATTATTTAATACTGAATAGCAATTTCACATAACACTTTCAATACCGTTCTCAAACAATTCTATTTTATCTCTCATTAATAATTCAAACTTATTTATTGTTAACAGATCAGTAATTTTCTTCTTTTAAACATTCTAAGTACTTTCAGTAATATCATGAAAGTACAACACAATCAGCTAAAATTTAAATCAACTATGCACTTGGTAGCATTCTACCGCTGCATTCACATATCGTAATTATCTCACGTAGCAAACAACCACTAAGATTTCATGATGACAGTTTGTTGATCAATTGATGCAGAATATGCTGAATTCGCTGTGTGATCAGAGCACCCATTTCATAACTGTTTTCAAAACTATATCAGAATTACCATCTTACTAATTATTCTTCTTTTGTATATAAAAAAACTATGCACACGTTTTTTTGAAGCTTCAGAAATATTTGCCCATTTTTTTCTGAACTTTTCAATAAGCTCATGATACTCTCACTAGTTCAATCCTCTTACCAGTCTTTTGAAAAACTATGAAGTTCATTAATAAAGACTGAGGAGATTTTATTTGATCATTTTTTGAAAGATTTGTCGATGATTTTGCCAATTTTCATTTTCCAAGTTCTACGTAATCCGGAATGATAAGAGATGAGTGATGAACAAGGTTACCACCAATAAAGGAAAAATTATCAACTTGCATAATCAATTTTCCGGTAACTTAATGAAGTTTTAGTTAGTTCCTGCTGCTGATAGAAATCAGAACAAACTGAAGAAATTTAAGGCATTCGATCAGAAATAATCTAATTATTGATGTTACCGCCGAGCAATAACCAATTCGACAATTCTTTTAATTTCACAGTTTTCCATTTCATGATAGTGATAGATAGGTAAGATTTAGTAAAATTACATGTGTTTGACATAAAGGAATATATTCCATATGTCATAATACTCATATTTACTGCTTTTGTTTGACAGCAAAACTATTTATGACTTATTTTCTCCCAGGAGTAAGATTTCTTAGATTTTCACATGACTGATTAAGTCTACTTCATTAGGAGAACGTGAAAATTGACCACAACAAATTTAAGTTTGTTTACTTTACGATTTTACGAAGTTAGCATTACTATTTAATATTAAAAATAACAATTGACTATTGAAATTAAAAGTCATGATGATTATATAAACATTGAATTTTTCAGTTTTTTATTGCTCAGTTTTGTTTCTCTCACAAATGAAAATTTTTAAGCAACTGCTAAAAGTTTGATTATTAATTGCAATAATAAACAAAAAAATTAAAAATTTTTCAAGTATAAAATTTCATCGAATCACTCCATGAAAAGGAGTGGAAAAAATGAATTCAGACTTAACAAATTATGTACAAAACAAACTAATCATTCAATGGATGCTTTTTCACATCAAAGTAACATAATAAATTTCAAACCCTATTGTTATTTGCTTCATAGATAACTTCATTAGTTACCCATTAATCTGATGGATATATTGGAGCAATCCCAATAAATAAAAAAATAGAACAGCGAATTAATTGGCACCAATATATATTCACTTATTGAGAACAATGCGTATACTGCAACAAAGTAAAACAAAATTCATTACCATTAGTTGCTAATGTGGTCGGTCTGACCTTTAGCAGTAACTATGGCATATTTCATTTTCTGATATGAAAAACACATTCTCTAATATGCTGAACAAAAAAGATGAAATATTTGCTGAAATTTCACTTGAAAGATCCTAAATTTGACGAATATTAATTGTCAAACAAAAGCAAAAATGGATGAGCTGGACTATATTAAATTATTAACGAAGCCAATTATATTATATCCATTTGAACAGTTAAAAAATTAGTAGCAACTAGATATCAAATTGAATGTTTAAATAAAATTCATATTTAATTGAGAGGTCTGGAAATACTTTTTTCTAATTGCAATCATTTGTAAGGGTTTTCAAAACAGCGATAAAATTTGTGCTTGAAAACTAAAGTAATTAGTTAAATTGAAAGAAATAAATATTTCGTTAATTTCTAAATTATCAATAAAATAAAATAAAACAAACTGAATTGGTGACATTTAGCAACTGCATAGAGGTAAGTACAAGACATTGACAATGATAATACAACTGTTGTAGCGAATAGCATCAGTTTTAAGTGAAATAACCAACTTGACTGCAATTCGATCAAATAGGTACTGAGAAGTTAATTTTCACTCAAAACTTGCATGCATTTTCACTTCGGTTGCTTAGTTTCAGTTTTAGACAAACTTGTTAGCAGCACAATTCCTTCTCTTACAATATATGAAGATTTCCTGTGATGCATTCACCCTATTACTTCTTTCTTTCTCATTAATAACTTTATTTGACGATCTATTTATTCAATAAAATTAGTGGTAATAACTTACAGCTTTTGAACTTTCCCTCTCACCGGAAAAGTAGCAAAGCAGAATTAAAATAAGCATATTAAAACAAAGTGTTATGAGCCATATTCCAAATGCCGTTGCATGGATATCTGTTGGATGGATTTTTTAAAAAAAAAAAATATTAAATTATCATTGAAGAATTGCTTCATTTGCATTTCAGTAATTTTTACCTTATTCTATCTGTTGTCATTAACTGTTTCTCAGACTGTAACAATTTATAGAAATTTAGTTTATTTTATTTCATCTTCAGTTTTACTAGCAAATCGACTGAAATAAATAATTAAATGAATCTTTTTGCGGAAGCGATGCTTAAAGCATTAGTTTACCTAAATTTCAAAGTTTTTGAACAATGTATATAGATCTGAAAAGTTTAATTGCTGTCTAAAATGTTTCTTCAAAAAAGTCTAATAGTTTACTGCCATTTACCTATGATAGTACAATTATCACAGCCATTCACTTATGATACTAGTTCTATTATAGTCATTAACCTATGACACTAAACTTGTGAAAGCCATCTTTTGTTTCCTTATGGATTTCACTTTTATTATTTTATGTCAAATATTCTCTGTCAAAGAAAAAACAACTTTAAAACTTACAAAAGCTCGAAACAACATCGAATATTGTTATTATTACAAGCGCAAGTGCCTCCAAAAGCAATGTATGCATGAGCAATTGATTCAACATTTTATACCACCAAGAATTTGCATAACTTGAGTTGCTCCTTTTATAAAGGCAATTGTAGAACTATAACTGTGCTATTTGCATTAAACTTCCAATTCCGATGTTAAAAATTTTTTACAGTTTTTCTTGATCTTTCTTTTAACTCTTTAGCTGGTACTGAAAAGGAAAATAAATTGCAGTAGTTGATAGAACGATGTATCCATTTAAGGAATTTAGTAAAAAAAATAGTAAAATTTTAACTCACGAAAGGATACATTATTCTAGCAGGAAAATTAATAAACATCATACAAAGCCATGCCGTTCGTGTAGGTTCCCATATACCAATGATATAACTTATTGGTGGCAATACACTGCAATAGTAAAATTGTTGAAAAGAAAAAGAAAAAATTTTCAAGAAATGAGAAATGTTTAAAGATATTCGTTGAATCAGTAATGATGTAAAATTAATGAGTTGTCTGACATTAAAATAATGATTGGAAAATTAAACAAGAAATTAGTAGTACTTGCGAGTATTGTCACAAACGGGAACGACGGACTTCTCGACTCGATGAAATTCGAAAACATAAATATACACAATGCACATACAACATCCAATACCGGGTAGTAAAGCTCCAACGATAGCAAGTAGTGTTCGATTTATTAACAGAAGTTCCACTTGCGACACATCACCACTTTTTGACATCTCTTCATTTCAAAAATATTTTTTGAAATCATCATACTGTGTTACGGTAGCATGGCAACTTGGAGTGGAAATCCAAGGTTTAATAAAAGTGATTATCCAAAAAAAAAAAATTTCTGCGGCGAAAGTGAAAAAAATCGAAAGGAATAGTAGTTTCGGGAATATAATCTCTACATTCTTAAACTTCTCTACTTACTTTTCTAATGTGAAATACTGTCTTTGTGAAAGTAATAGCAATGAAAAGTAATGTCTTTTATATTTCCTAAAATTGCGGCATCAATTGTTGTATTGATTTCATTAAAAAACTAGCTGCATTAATACACAAAAGTCGAAACAATATATCACTCATCATTAGTAGCTTTTCCCATTGGCGATGAAACTTTCATTCCCAACTATATTGTCTATTTATTTCTATCAAATTTTCTTGAATTATGCCACAAATAATAATTGAGATTTTTACAACCCATCATTTTTTTCAATCATAAAAGTTTGTACACTTAATATCTTTTATATTTAATAATATGCTTTATATGTCAACACTTTTGTTAACCATATTGCTTCACTTTTGAAAATGAGAATTTTGAAATATGAAAAATAAAGAATTATTACAGCGAAATTCGAAGGTAGCATCCATTACTGAGCTTTTGACGCTCACAACATACAATCATTTCGATCAGGAAGCATCAAAATATGGTGAAAATTGTCACATACGGAAATGAATAAAAGATCACTTTCCGCACGATATGCCAGTATGACACTATCATTACAATCAACGACATTTTTCGACTAATCGTAATCCATCATTAATTGTAACTGGTATTGACGATGTTAAAACTTGTATTTTATGCATCCCATATGGTGTTTTACTTCTTTTTTTCAGATTCAAACTTTTGAGTGGTCAGTAATGTCTCAGCACTCAAAGCGTTTTTGAAATTTTGAGAAGCAATAAGTAGAGAGAAAAAAAGGTGACAAGATTAAATATTGAACCTGGTGCAATTGAGCTGATTATTTCACCTTCAACTTCTTTTATTTCAGCTTTTGATATCACTGCCTGCAAGACACTTAAATTTATATATTGATAAGATCGATAAAAGCGCTCTTCCTTCATTCATAATGGGCGATTTTCACATATCCAATCAATATTATTTGATGTAGACTTGAAATAAAAAATTTATCAAACCGAAAAACAATTTAGCATTCAAAATTGGCTATCTTATTGCCTCTAAAAAAAGCAAAATATTATATATTATTCTAAACAATTTTATTCTGATACCAGACAAAATTTATTTCTACTATTACCTGATTTTGTAAGATTGTTAATATCGAATATTTGATCCATAAGATCCATATGATCAAACTGAGACGAAAACTTTTTACTCATCAAATTGCGTCTGTTTTTCATCAAAAAATTCAGATCTATAAGCTCCTGATATAAAAAGAAAAAAATCAATCAATAATATCACCGAAATGAATACATGCTATATTTTGGAAGATCAACCCTAAAATAATTAAGAGAAAAACTTATGGTATAAGAAATGTTAAATTTTATTATCAAAATAATTCACTACTTGATACCCATTTTGAATAAGGCTAGATTACATCAAATTACATTAAACTAACTAAGTAAAACAGAACTTTAACATGATGAGTTAAAAGATTGTTGAACTTTTACACTGAAGCAGTTTGTTGACTTGAAAAAGTGTATTGTGTTGTTGCTAACTGCAGTTGTTTAGTGAAAGGAACCAACCAACCTTCTGCTGGCTAGGTGTCTCAGAGAATAGCAGCTGTTCTTATATATCACAGTTGTAAGATGATGTCAAATACAACAAAAACCTGTTTCTAGCGGTTTCAGTGCCATTCTCAGTTTAGAACTTGAATTTTTCAATGTTCCATTAATTAATTAATATAACAGTGAGTGAATTATTTCCTTTAATTTTGATTGCAATCGTTAATTTTTATCATCAGTGTAATCAATAATCATCTATACCTTATTATCATCTGTTCATTACAAATGGTAACAGTTATTATTAAAGTATGAAAGTAGTATGTTATTTGAAAATTTTAAGCGACTTTAGCCTTAGATAACCAAATTCAATAAGAGCATAAACTGAGAATCATATTAGCTTGATAATAAAGTAAGTTACATTTCCACGTATAATTATTTGATCAATTAAGATCATTTAGCTAACTACTGATGCTGTTAAATTTGAGCATTCCGAGGTACATTCTTCTTTTCTCTGTTCAATAAATCATTTTCATGATTCCCTTTTTGTAAATCAGTTATTTTTTATTTGCTACATATTTTAACATGAAAAACTAAACAAAAAAAAGAATACCTCTTTTTGCTTGCAAATATTGTGATTTAATTCCAATTTTAATTTTCTAATTTCAAATTTTTTCTTTTTTCTAAAGGAACATATATTACGATATGTGCACAGAAGAAAAAATGTTTTTGTTTCTCAACAACTCACATTAATAATATCTTAACTCCCCCGCTTACTTCAGTTAAATCTCAATCTCTTCCGCTTCATTTTCTCAGTTTTAATTAAAATTTTACTCAAAAATAAATGATCCAATAGTCTGATCAAATTCTAAATCGCTTTCTCGTAATTGGCTTCATGTAGACCAAATCTAGCGTTTGTGAAAATGATATATTACCAATATAACTGATTTATACCAGTGAGCAACAATGAGCCTTGCACCATTCTTCGATAAAGCACCTTCAATAATTAATAAGCCTGATGGTAGTGTACTGTTCGAATGCATGTGTAATGCGAATCCCGAACCAACCATACAATGGTTTTTCAAGGTAACATTTATTAGAAATTTTCATAATAATTTGGGTTGTTAACTTCTCTAATTCCAGTGATTATGAAAAGTTAAAAAAGAGTAGCTGTTTTTGCTTGTAAAGTTGAATGTTGTGATTTAACCCCAATTTTTAATTCAATTTCAGTTTTCTAATTTCGACTTTTTGTTTCTTTTTTTTTTGAGAAATATTTATTGCGATATAATTATGCTGACACTTAAAATTCGCTCTAACTTCATCCATTAATTACAGGATAAGGAATTAAGTGGTGATCGATATACGATGAAAATAAAGAAAATGGTTGGCAAATGGACATGCACGATGACCATGAAGGTTATATTTATAAAAAATGTTGCGTAAAATCATTGAAAATTTGCGAACCAACTAAAGTAGCTTTAATTTATCATTTCAAATAGATTTCACTTATCAATAACCTGAGATGAACATACTTCGCATCTCGAAACAATGGTAATAGATGGGTATCAATAATAGATGGATAAATTCAATTTACATTCTTTAAAGGACAAATCTTACAGAAGCGTGAAGTTATATTTATTTTAAAAAAAAAGAACCAAAACCGTGCCATATATTTCTATTTTGCTTTTTAAACAAATTTAAAATTTATTTTAGAATCCAACATTGCAAGACCAAGGAGTATATAAAGTAGTAGCGACGAACAAGAATGGTACCCATTCAGTGGAACAAAATTATGTGCTATCATGCACCGCTAATGAAGTTTTCAAAACTCAATAACTAGCTCATGATTCTACTTTTCAATACTTTTTAATGTCAGTTTAAAATAAAACGAAGTAAGTAGACTTTTCAATGTCAAATTTAAAATAAAACGAAGGATAGACTTAAAATAAAGTTGAGCAGAGGGAGAAAAAACAGAATTTCTAAATTCTCCCATTCGTTAAAAGAGAAAATCAGATTCAAAAGAGCAGATGAATAGTAACTTTCTATTCGTACCGAATTAATCATAGTATATAAAGGTCCAAGTAACATCGGAAATGCTACATAGTACCAAAATTTGATTATTCTCTCAAGACGAATAACCATCGATATTGTTCATAATATCCATTATGAAACAGCTAAACCAATCATAATTTTTCAATATTTTCTACTATTTAATCATTTTAAGTAAATGAATAAATCAATGTTTTAAAATACTAATGCTTAAATTAATGTAAACTTGGCAGTAATTGCAATAATTAATGATACATCAAAAACGAATAGCTATGGTTAAAGAACCATTCCTCTCTCAATGCAAATACATGGGTGACATGTGACACAATGCATCATAACTTGAGGGGTACATGTATTCTACATGTGAATAACAATTTTTTTGCATTCATCTCTTCGCATATCTGTCGAAAAGTTAATGATGTCACAAGATGACCTAGTATTTAAGTAAATGATCAACAAATGTGCCTTTGATAAAAAAATTATTTTAAGCAAATGGAAGAATTTGGCAAGTGTGGCGCTAATGTCGCGTGAATCACAATGCTTTGTTTATCAATAAGTAAAGCACAATGCTTTATTTGTTGATATTAAAAAAAAGGCTTAGCTTCGCTCACTTCAGCGCTCAATATTTCATTTTTAATTTAAATGTTTCGGATTCTGTTTCACTTTTCCTTCTAATATTCATCATTTATAAAATTATTACTACTTAAAATTCAATCTTGTCATATCTAAAGTACTTTTAAGGGGAATTTATAATTTATACATTTGTAAGAAAGGTCAGTTAATAACCGGAAAACTCCTAATTTATTTCAAAAATCTGTACTAATTTGGTCCCTTCCTTTGTAGCTTGTCGAATTCTCAGCAATCCTAGGACATAATTATTTCTATTTAATTCCAATTTCATCCTTTTTCTGTCTCAATTAAAGCATATGGCGAAATAAAGATCATATCAAGCAAATCAAAAGAATGTGCCAACCTTTTCAATTATAATTGAACTCTAAAAGTAAAGTGGCTGTAGCTACGAGAAAAGTGAGGCACTTCAAATTGTTGTTTATTTCGTATATTTCAAGTGTTATAGTATCACCGGAATAGAGATTAAAATAAGATAAGTTGGTAAAATTATTATAATACTACAACTCCCTATGTTCCAATATATCTTTTTCATATAATACAGAGAAAGTTGAAGTGCATACGGAATGGTTGTCAAACGTCAAGTTACTATTGAATCCATAAAAATGGCTGTCAAAGTCATCTGAAGGTGACTAAAAAATCTGTTGTAATTTCTGATAGTGATAGATAACCGATTTTTAAGAACAGATTAATCCAATGATGGCATTACTTTCATTCTTTCGAACGCTGCTTTTTCCAGTTTCTCCCGTTGACTTGGATGTGAAATCCTTATCAGTTCATATGCCCGTTGTCGCATATTTTTACCCCATAATTGAGCTATACCGTATTCAGTGACCACGTAATGTACGTGAGCTCGTGATGTCACAACTCCTGCTCCCTGAAAATTACTACATGACAATAGAAGAAAGAAAAATTTATTGAGTCATTTTAATTATATATAATGATTAAATGGTGTAAATATTTAATTTATGATTAAATAAAAAACATATGATATATAAGAAGTAAGTAATTCTTTGCACCTTATTGAGATAAGGGACAATTTTCGATTCTCCTTTTTTTGTTGAAGAAGGAAGAGCAATAATGGGCTTTCCAAGTCCATCTACACTAAGAGCTGCACCACGAATGAAGTCTACTTGTCCACCAAAACCGGAAAGGAATCGAGAACCGACAGAATCAGAAGCAACTGTAAATCAATCAGATTAGATGGCTTCCTTAAAAGAATTTCTAATAAACAAATAAAAGCTACAATTTAGATAATTAATTAATTTCTTGCGGTTACATATTTAGATGAGGTCCATATTCAATCTTCTATCACAATACAAGAAAAAATACCTCCTAGTACATTTTTACTACACACAAATTTACATTTACTACATTAGTACATTTAAACTAGTTTTTTTTTTTTCAAATTAGTGAAGAATACCATAATCAAATGAAATAATTAGAAGAATGATAACCTTGGCCCGTAAGATCAATCTCTACTGCTGAGTTTATTGCAGTCATTTTTGGCATAGTTTTCACGATCGATGGATCATTTACCCAAGCCACATCACCAAAAAATACGAAAGGATTATCATTCAGGAAAGAATACAATTTTTTGGAACCATAAACAAATGATACTACCATCTGCAATGTTTACTGATACTTGTATTTACAAAGAATATGTGGCATGAATTGAATGATAACTGCAAAAACTAAGGACTAAAACTGAAAAAATTGCAATAAGTGGCGGTAATACTCATTAAAAAAATAAAATGATTTCTAGTCTAATCGAATAAAATACAGACTAACTTTTCCTGGATGAAGACTTTTTTTAGCATTAGTTATGGCATTACACTCTACAAGTTTCAAAACGCCATCTGAGAACATTTCTGTATGGATTCCGAGATTTTTATGATTGCCTAATGCGTCCAAAGCAGCATCTGGTACAGCGCCGATTCCTAAAACAATCATTTTGAATATGTCACATCTATTTAACTAATATTAAGTTGTCAAACAACAACTTATGTGTTTATATTTTATAAAGTAGTGTCTAAAAGATTGCGAAAAAGACGAAGAAAAAAAGAGTAGTCATTTTGGCAATACTAAAAGGATAGTACACATATCCAGTTACATTATGAAATTGAGACAATTGCACCTAATGCTTTAGGAACATCGACAACAATGTTGTAAAGACTTCAGTTATACAAAATATTTATTAAATTTCTGCAGCTAATATAGTTGTGAAATTACATAAAAGACTTTTTTCAGAAAAGTACACCAAATGGATATATATGTGTAGAAAAAAACCTGCTGATAAATTCAGGAAAATCAACAGACCCATTTGAAGTGTGGCGCCATTGGAAACTAGTTCGTTAGCAATTAATTGACCAATTTTTTTTTCTACTTCCGATGTTTTTGCACTAAATTTGCGTTCATGAAGTGCGAAGTCATTTTCAACCATAAAATCGATGTGACTTTCATGGATCACCGTATCACCGAACGTGCGTGGCATGTTCTTGTTACAAATTGCTGAAAGTAAACATTCCTCTGAACTGCCATTTCTTCGAAAAAAATGAAAATTGAAAACTTTATAAAACAAACCAATAACGAAATCTGCTAATGTTACGGCAGCACGAGTGGAGTCAGCACCAGTTCCTAGTGTGCAATAACCTTTAGAATCAGGTGGTGAAACCTGAAAAAAGTGCCAATTAGAAATCAGGCTGAATATAATGAAGTCTTACCACAAATTAAATTGTCTTGAGAAGACTTATCGCACCAATGAATTCAATCCAAGCAAAAGTTAGCAAGTGAGAAAGATTAAATAATAAATTCATGGCTTTAATATATATAGTGTCTTTCCACTAAACTAACCGTAATTAATGCGGCATTTAGATGAATCGTTCCTGACCGAAACAACAATGGAATTTCGTGGAGAAAAATTGAGTTGAAATCAGCTGTCCCTGAATTATAGTTTAATAAAGTAATTTAAATTACTGGATGGGATGAATCAAATGTTTACATAAAACTTACCATCATTAACAGCATCCCTCAAATTGTGTCCAGTGAATAAAGAATTAGAGCGGATACGATCTAAAACAGAGAAAAAAGTCAAAATATGGAATTAGTAATGACAAATATGTTATTTTGAAAGGCACTGCTATATGATGGAATAAATAACTTTAAAAGAGATAATGCGAAAAAAGAATGTTTCAATCGTCGTAAGAAAACTGCAGAGAAATTACTCACCTCTAACATCAACAGCTAACCATGGAGTATGACCTTCCAGATGCATATGATGTAAAGTTATTTTATTAAAATTATTTGCCTTGACATGCTCACAGAGACCCTCCAGAAGTGGTGTTGGTGTTGCTGCGATACCGTGTACAAATAGATGAGATCCTAAAAGATATCTCATATTGTCATTTAGATTGATTTCACCTCTTTTCTAATTCTGATTTGATTTAACTGTTTACCGATATCACAGTTACTGTGTTGACACAACATGTATATTGAAATGTTGACTTAATCGTTAGTAGAAAGTTCTCAAAATCGTTTTTAATTGCATATATCATCGAAAACTGCCAACTGTCGCCTAATACAAGATGACATATTTCGAATAATAAATCTAATTTTAAAGCAATGCGAGGCCCCGAGTAGTACGGGTTTTTTTCAAATATAACTAAAGCGCAGAAGACGCATTAAAGAGCTATTGCTAAGAACAAAAAAATTACACAGTGAATTGCAAATTATTTTAAGCCTCAAAATATCACCCAATTAACATTTTGTATTATCTTTTCTACATGTCGAGAATTCGCCACCACGAAATCTGTTAATCTTAATTAAGCGGTATTTGCCAGCATTGACCGAATCTTGTTATACTATGTTTATAGTTACAGTCACAAATTATGCTCTAAAAAAGATAATCAGGAAATTTCTTAACAAAAAGAATATTAATTTACCACTTTTAACAACGGAAACAGCTTCCCTGCAATGTTTCACAAGTTTTGGCTTTTTGCCTGCGATCGGATAAGTGACCTCACGTCCTTCCAAACTGCCACCTATCGACCGAGGTTTCGCAAAAGAAGTTGAAAATGGTCTTCCACGTGAGACAGGAATGAAGCGATTCAAGAGGTTCATATTAAGTGACATTATGTTAATAGCAACCACACCAGTTACGTTATTCAACTCTAATTGAATTAATTAACCCAACCACAGGGTTACTTATTCAATTTTATTTAAATTAGCTTCAAAGGACATATGCATTTATAAGTAAGGGCATAAAGGAAATACGTAAGTATTGTGTGGCGCAGTCCTATCGATTACGGCTACTTCTGCCTGAAATAAATTTTCTACTTTTATGGCCAATCAATTCTGTATATATCTTTTTTGAACAAAAAGGGAAAAAGCATTTCGAAAAATGAGAAAATGCAGAAAAAAGTTGAAATGGGTATAGTGGGTGTGATCTGAATAGATTTTGTATATATCAGACTGGGAAAGATCAATGATTAATTTTGCAGAAAAAATTGAAAGAAAGGTTAAAAATCATAGGAGACAACTAAGAAGAGCAAAGAATAAGAATTGCAGGTCCATATTCTGAGCTTCAGTTAATGGAAAAGATCAATTGTTTACTCTCTTGCGTCGATGCTTCTCTTTCACTGAAAATATCGCGTTGCAAACGTGTGATACGTTTCATAAACTTGAAAACAGCAGAGAAAAGAAAAACGCTGACAAATATGTTTTACCTAGAAACATATTATTGTACTAAGTGATGGTTCGATGATCTTGAAGTTAGTTATTAAAGTCATTAAATTTTGTGTAAGAAGTGTAAAATGCATAATCAGTTATATTTGAATATGTATTTTACACATCTTCTTATGTTCATTTCTTTCAACGGAATAAATAACTTCGATCGTAAAATTAATGATGTGACAAGATGACCTAATAAGTAAGTGGTCAACAACAACAAAAGCAACAGAAGAGTCCTTAATATCCTCAATAGTCAAGAAGAAGAAAGGAATATCACATTTACATGGTGGAAAGAAAACCTCGCGGAATGAGAACGGCGGAACGCGCGGTAGTCCATTATGTCTTCATAATTTCAAATGTGAGAGTATAATCGATAGCATCGGTAGTTAATAAAAGAGTGACATGGCTGCAATACATCACGAAAGGGATGTATGTATGCCTACTTCTGGATTGCTCATTCATAGTTCCGGTTAGCAGGGTGGTCCACTGCAACGACAGTGCGGAAAAAGAAAAGACAAATTGATTTAATGCAGTTTATAAAACATGGCGAACTGAATGGTTGTGCCTTTGCTAAAAAAATTATTTTAAGCAAATGGAAGAATTTGGCAAGTGTGGCGCTAATGTCGCGTGAATCACAATGCTTTGTTTATCAATAAGTAAAGCACAATGCTTTATTTGTTGATATTAAAAAAAAGGCTTAGCTTCGCTCACTTCAGCGCTCAATATTTCATTTTTAATTTAAATGTTTCGGATTCTGTTTCACTTTTCCTTCTAATATTCATCATTTATAAAATTATTACTACTTAAAATTCAATCTTGTCATATCTAAAGTACTTTTAAGGGGAATTTATAATTTATACATTTGTAAGAAAGGTCAGTTAATAACCGGAAAACTCCTAACTTATTTCAAAAATCTGTACTAATTTGGTCCCTTCCTTTGTAGCTTGTCGAATTCTCAGCAATCCTAGGACATAATTATTTCTATTTAATTCCAATTTCATCCTTTTTCTGTCTCAATTAAAGCATATGGCGAAATAAAGATCATATCAAGCAAATCAAAAGAATGTGCCAACCTCTTCAATTATAATTGAACTCTAAAAGTAAAGTGGCTGTAGCTACGAGAAAAGTGAGGCACTTCAAATTGTTGTTTATTTCGTATATTTCAAGTGTTATAGTATCACCGGAATAGAGATTAAAATAAGATAAGTTGGTAAAATTATTATAATACTACAACTCCCTATGTTCCAATATATCTTTTTCATATAATACAGAGAAAGTTGAAGTGCATACGGAATGGTTGTCAAACGTCAAGTTACTATTGAATCCATAAAAATGGCTGTCAAAGTCATCTGAAGGTGACTAAAAAATCTGTTGTAATTTCTGATAGTGATAGATAACCGATTTTTAAGAACAGATTAATCCAATGATGGCATTACTTTCATTCTTTCGAACGCTGCTTTTTCCAGTTTCTCCCGTTGACTTGGATGTGAAATCCTTATCAGTTCATATGCCCGTTGTCGCATATTTTTACCCCATAATTGAGCTATACCGTATTCAGTGACCACGTAATGTACGTGAGCTCGTGATGTCACAACTCCTGCTCCCTGTTGAAGGTGAACTCAAGAAAAAGTTACATTAAACGTTTGTAATGACTCATTAAAATTATTAAGTAATGCTTACTTCATTAATGTATGGTACGATCTTGCTTTGACCTTTTCTAATTGTGGATGTAATTGCAATTATAGGCTTCCCAAGGCCATCATTTCCTATTGCGGCTCATCTTATAAAATGCACTTGGTCACCAAAGCCAGAAAGGAAACGATTCCTCACAGAATCTGCCACCACTGAAGCAATTTTCGACAGATTCCTATATAAGACGGAAAACATAGTGTCAGATCAGTGAGCTCATAAGAATTTTTATTAAAATTCATTAATTTTGCGAATCAAAAAAAAAAAATGATGTAATATAGCTGAATGATAGCCTTCACTCTTATAAAGCAAACATCCTTATTACCTTGGCAATTAAATCAATTTCAACAGCCGAATTGATAGCGGTCATTTTCGGCATCATCCGTATTGTTATTGGGTCGTTTACCCAAGCCTCATCACCGCATAATATATCGAGATTGCCATCCACGAAGTGATAAAGTTTGTCAGAACCGTAAATGAATGAAGTCACAATCTATCATTAGAGAAAAAAATCAATGAACACATAACATTCGATATGATAAGAAGTAAATGTAGCGACAACTAACTTTTCCTGGAAATATGGTCTTTTTCAAATTTGTGATTGCATTACAATCAATAAGTTTCAGTACTCCATCTGAAAGCATTTCGGTGTCTTTATCCCGAGATCTTTATGATTAACTAAAGAAGCTAAAGTAGCATCCGAAATTGCGCCAATGCCTGAAATGATGTCTTCATTTATGTTATTAATATTAGTCGGGGAGTTGCATGAAGGAGATTATCTATTCATTATTATGAATTCATTACTCCTACATTAGATCATCAGAATTCAAGTTCAAAACGGCTAAACTATCTGGAGTGATAGCATGTATTTCGTTTCTTTCCATTTTCTTTTTCTGTCTTTGTTTACTTTTCCATTTTTGCGTTGAATTTATTTCTTAACTTCTGTTCCTTTGAAAAGTATCAAACCAGCTTATATGTATCTAGGCTGGAACAGAAAGATCTTTAAAATCCACGTTGCTTATGCTATTTGATAGAAGTAAAGGAGTAACAAAATTAAAAGCAAAATTTCATTTCACAATGTTTGAAACTAGTGGGAAATTAACCAGTCTGTAATGTAGCGCCATTGTCTACAAGATTACTTGCGATAATTTCACCAATTTTTTTTTCTTGAAGTGATCCGGCTTCTGTATTTTTTCTTTTATATAAAGAATAATCCATTTCAATAACAATATCAATATCATTATGATGAATAATTGAATCACCAAATGTGCGTGGCATGTTTTTATTTGATATTGCTGAAATTAAAATAATTGACAGAGAGTTTAATCTAAGAGAAATGATGCAGAAAATAATTTTGGTTGTTTTGATTAGTTATATTTCTTTTTTTTTGTTAACAATTTCTTAAAGAATGAGGAAACATACCAATGATATGATCCGCATGAGTGATAGCAGCACGAGTAGCATCACATTGGTACTAAGGTACAGTAGCCAGAATCATCTGGCGGAGATATCTGGAAGGATCTGAATCTATGTAAAAATCAAAATCATTAAAGTTGGTGAAATATTGTTCCTGACCTCTCGTTCATTTTAATAAAATAAATAATCAGAATAGGCTACGGTTAGCAAAACAGTGTTGAGTTTAACTGCTCCACTTCGGAAAAGCAAAGGCACTTCATGTAGAAACACTGAAATGAAATCGGCTAGACCTAAAAACTTGGTCAGTCCTTCACTTCTCTTTTTCATTAATGGATATACTTTAAAATTTGAATTCTAGAATTTTCAAGATATTCTGAAAGAAACCTCCTAAAAATTTACGACAGAGTGATTAAAGGATTTTAAACCGTTTGATTAAAAAAAATTGACACAAATATCATACAAAATAAATTGTCTTTTTCCACAAATACTATTTCCTGAAAACTGAAAAACAAACCTTCATTAACTGCTTCCCTTAAATTTGAGCCAGTAAATAAAGAATTTGATCGAATGCGATCTGAAGGGTTTGTTTCAGTTGAATTTGTTGAAAAGAACTAACAAAAAATGCTTTTATGCAAAAATTAAAAAAGCGCCTTCCGTTACCTTTGAAATTAGGTTGAGTCCATTTAGTTGTTCCTTCCAAATGTAAATGATGTGATGTCAATTGTTTCAAATCATTAGTCTCCGCATAATCACATAAACCTTCCAACAGTAATGTAGGTGTTGCACCCATTCCATGAATGAATATATAATTACCTGAACATTGACAAACAGTGATTATTTGAAGTAAGTAAACAAATTTACCTAAATAAAAAATTTCATTAAACAAAGATTTAGAAAAAGCAGCAAAATTAACATAAACAAACGAAAAATCTCAAGCAAATGTGAAGTTTATTGTTATATAATTATTTGCTAAGTATTCAATTCATTATAGAATTATAATATGCACGATAAAGTGCAAATAACTGAAAGATTATTTGCGTTACAAAAATAATATTTCTCCAACTTTATCAACGATACATAACGTAATTGTAACCAATAAAAGGGTTGCGAAAAACTACGATTGATTGTTGTGATCACTACAATGAACTTAAAGTTTCATCAAAAAATGGTGCAGCAAAGAGCAAAAACTTCTAAAAATTTTCGAAAATAGGTAGTAATTGAGTATGCTGATTGGGAATTATTTCGAATGACTGACAATAATTATGTTTAATTAATTTTTAAATTTGACTTTCTAAAGAAAAGACAGTATGCTAACCAGATTTGTTCGCACCAAAAGCATCCCTAGTATTTGTAACAATTTTTGTCTTTTTTTCCACTAGCCACATAAATCGGAGATATAAATCTCCGATTTTTTAGCAAACCAGTTACCCATCGTAATGAGGTTGCATTTGAATGAAGAGAGAGAGAGAGAGGGAGAGAGACAGCTGAAAGATAAGTGTAAAATGAGCTAGGTTAGATGTAACTGAATATATTAGACAAATGAAAAGACAAATAATTAATTAATTATACTCATTTATTTTAATGAAGTCGAATTTAAAATAAAATACAACTTTGCAGACCATGGCATCATTATAAAATATATAAATGTAACAAAAGAAAGGAGACTTTTGGTTAGAACGAACTGTCATACTATGGCATTTCACCGCTTCAACTAATGTTTACCGAATTGTAATTATCCTTTTCGTTATCCTCAAACGTTGAAAAGAAGAAAGTGTTGAACTATACGAGAAGAACACATATGGAAATATTAGTGGAAAGGCAAATATCAACGCCGATGATTCATACAACCAGAATTTTCATAAATTGTTCAACGATCACACCAATTTCAAAATTCGGCATCAGTGCGTTATTTATTTGTCAACAACTCACTTGTCAGTTATCATTTATAGATAATTTTGTTCAACCGATAACTCTCCCTAACGTGACAGTACCAAAGCAGTCTTGAGGTCAATGTGAGTTTAATGTACTTACACGACTCAAAAAATCTACGAGAGAATATACTTCTCTTCTGCCACTGTTATACTGATGCTTGCATCGCTTGCAGGATGCAGAAGAAGAGCATTACATTAAGCTTTTAGTATTATCAATCAAGTAAGTATTTAGTATTTATTAAATCAATTGATGAAATATTGCAAGAATTATTGAAAGTGCGTGCTGAACGCTGTAACGCCATTCTAGTGATTTTGAGAAGCAGTTCAAATATATTTCTCAGAGTTGCAAAAATTTTCAAATTACAACGTGTCATTATGATCTGACATAACATTGATCGTTTGAATTCAGAATCGATATCGATACTTCACTCCTTGTATATACCACTGCGTAATTCTTAAATAATAACAGATTATCAAAATTCATTAATTCAAGATTGACCTGATATTTACTTCTCCACCAACAGCCTTTTAAGTCTTTCCGAATGCGACAGGTATTTCCTAGCATTTGATTTATTTGAGTGTGAAATGCAGGAGAATGCTGATCATTTCCATTCTAAAAATAAAATTTCTATTCTTTTCGTTTCTTTTTTCGTAGGTCAATCGAAATAAATTCTGAATATCTCTTGACTTTAAGGAGTTAGTGCATGTATTTTATCAATTTAAACAGCAGAATCAATCTCCAAACAAACTTTACTAGTCAATTTATTCATTACTTTTGCTATTATGTGAATATTTTAATTTGTCAGTCAAACCATGTCCACTCATTATTGGAAAATTAGATAATCTGAAAATAAAGTAGATGGAAGAACAATTATTTTCAATAATTATAACAAATTATATATACATTTAAAAATTAAGGTTGTAAAAGTTTAAATTTTCGAAGAGAAGGTGCAAGTGCATATGGGAAATCTCAATAAAACGATGCTGCTGATTTTGTAATTCTTAAATTTATAAATAAATTAAATTATATAAAACGAGTAAACTGCTAAAAGGAAGAATTTAAAAAGGTATAAAGTATAATTTAAAGCTAGAATGCATGATAAATAACACATTCAGTGGAAGAGAGAGTAAAAAATCGTAAATGTAAATAATATCGTACTGGAAAAATACGAAGTATCAATTAAAGTTAACATGAATAGTTCGACGGATCTATATTCTTTTTAATTACTAATAGTTTATCGGTTTAAAGTTACAATTTAAGATAATTTTAAAGAAATAATAACATATATATGCAAAGAGATAGCTTATTTTGTGAAGAACATGAACGTAGGCGATCCTTTCTCATTGCTCTCAACAAAATTTATGCAGAATTACTGCAAATATAGATGTGTTAATTGAAAAGTTAACTTCTTTTCTGTTATTGACTGATGTCATGTGACAAACTGCTAAGGTAAGTCATCACAACTACCAAAAACATATTAAAAGCGCTATTCTTGTATTCATTTTCTAAAGTGAATTTAAACGCTCCACAAAATCGTTTCTTTACAACAAAAGGAAATATTTATCATGCAAAATTATTCTTCCAAAGCACTTCTGATCGCATCACATCACCTACCTTTTGCAGCTATAAGATTGCATGCTTTATAATGAAGAGAGGAATACAGCTGCCGATATATTTGTTCAAAAGGTAATAATTTCATCAAGTTGAGCGGTCGCATTTGTTTTTAACAAAACTGGAACTGGAACTTGTCACTACTTCTACTGTGATTTAATGTGATTATTCAGATCAGAAAAAAAAAAACGAATGCATTTAATTCGAGAGTGATCAATACATTTGGAAAATGAAAGTCAGAAAAAACTGATATAATTAATAAGTTCGAAACAATTTTAGAATAAATTAGCTATGAACTAATAGCAATGAATTATTTCACAAATCAACAAAGAATAATTAAGATTTCGTTAAATTATAAATGTTGTTGAACGAATTGTACTGAAAGAGAAAATAACACGAACTATTCAAAATATTTTTCTGTCAGACCAGTGACAGTTGGAACATTTTGGAAAAAGAAGTGTAAAAAACTTAAAATAGAAATTAATAAGATTTTTTGGTGGTCAACATTTTTTTATTGATGAAAAGTTGTAAGTTATCATTGCAATCATTAATCATTAATTAATTTACAGCAATAAACAATAAGTAAAATGTTTGGCCAGACAATGGGAAATCAAAATTACTGATCATCGATTGCAACAATTTCACAACTCAGTTTTGTAGCTACCGGTTTAATTTGCATGTAATTATAGACTGAACTTATTAACATAAATATCATTATAATAGATAAGTGACCTTAATAAGTTTTTTTTGACGACTGCAATTGGTAGTTTCACTTTGTGCGCTTTCATCAACGTCAGTGTATTTTCTTTAAGTTGTACCATTGGACGTGTCATATTGTGTAAAAGTGCTAAATTGTGGCTGATGAGTTATAAAAGTATGTATGCTAATGCAGCGCGAGTTTTCATATGAAATCAAATTAATCGAAATTAGCAGATATATTACGCAGGAGCCCAATCAACGAATTAATTAGCTTAAAGTAGGTGAGATAGGAGTGACTGGAGAGCCATGAAATCAAGATTTATTAGCAATAAAGACATTTGTCCCCAGTTGCCAACTAAATGATATTATTTCAGTATTATGTTCTCATTTAAGATGTTTCCAAAACAGCTTTCTAATTTATCGCCTTCATAAGATTAGACTATGAGCATAGGTTTCTAGTAGTGCTTCAATCGTTGTATTATTTTTGTTTTCACTGAATGAAATGATCAGAAAGACTTCAGGTATATTAATAATCAACTAAAAGTGATGAGTGCTTCAAATACAACTAGAAATAATGAGTGGTTCAAGTTGCCAAATTTACCCGAAATGATTCGGAGTGTCATTCAGATCAAATCCAAATTGCTAAGAAACGCATTAGCGGAAGCTGTCGGTACATTTATTCTTTTGGTAAGCTTGGATATTTCTAATACTTCGGCTGAAAATATTCTCCAAAACTTTTTTGCATATGCAAGTTAAAAAAAATGGTGAAACAAGGTTGAAAAAAGTGAAAAAAAAAAATTCTTTCCACCGAATTTTTTAAATCGGAAGGGTTTTTGATTGAAGTCAATAAAATTATTAATATCTTTTGTTAATCACTAATATCTTTCGGGAAACTTTTAAACTTCTACCATTTATTGTGATATCATTAGAATGAATGCATACTGTACTGAATGATCCACTAATGTTTATATTATTATATTGACACAAAGGCACTGCACTTTTGACGGTTATTTTCAAATCATTGTAATTAAACTTTAACATATCTCTTTTTGCTAATAATAAAATAAGAAAATTCCTTCCTGTAGAAAAGAAATCCACATTTTAGCAACTGCATCAACTATTTCAGTTGGTCACTACACTCATTGAGCCTTTCATCTTCAAAGCTCTCATATCCCTCACAAATAATATATCCTTGTCTTATCCTGAAATAAAGTAAAATAAACAATAAAGATAGATTATTAAGAAAAGGAAAGTTTAAAACAAGAAACCAGCATTAAATGATCTAGAACACCGTCGTATCTGTTCAGGGATATACAAAACAACAAATTTGAATGTATAAAATACAAAGTGACTTTTGTATTACTCTTATAACTTCTGTTTACGATTATTATCAGTTGATAACAATGCGTTACGAATTGTCTTTTTGTGTTATTAATAGATTTAAAGATAAAGTTTATTAGATTATAATGCTTTTAGTTTATTGGAACAAGTATTATTGCGCAATTGCATTTGCCTCACGGTACTATCAACACATGGGTTCAAATAAATGTCGGATGGGGTTTTGCTATAACAATATCCGTTACATCTGTATCGCATATTTCAGGTAAGCATTTATTCATAGCTTAAATTCATCAAATTTTGTCTGGAAAAGTATGTATTAGTAAGTTTAGATATAATAATATTTTAAAAGAAGGATGCAAATTCTAGTAACTCAGGCAAAAATTTTTCTACTTATTTAATTTTCATTTACTAATTAATTTGTTTTTTACTATTTTCATAGCTTAGAAAAAAAAATCACAACAAATTGAAAATAAATAAAAAATGAACAATAAGAGGGAGAGAGCCAATATTCAAAAAAATATGGAAAATATGGACGAAGTAGAAATAACTGCTAACATTTCCCTTTTTCAAGATATGTTTATCAATTCCATACTTTTATTTATGATAACAGATATGATATGAGTGGAAAAAAAGATAAAGTGTATTGATTATTCAAATTCTGAAGTTTCTGCTCTTTTCTGGCATTAGGTGGACATTTGAACCCGGCGATATCAGTGCTATTCTTCTCGATGGGTATGTTAGACATTATATCCTTACCGATATATATCATTGCTCAACATATCGGTGCATTCTTTGGTGCTGCAGCAACCTATGTTATTTATCGTGGTATGTTTGTCGGACAAAAAAATTTTTCCCAGAAATTATTTGCATAGTGATTGCATGGCATAAGTTATTCGTCGTTTCCTGATGCATTCTTTAATAGCATGCAAATAATGTTTTCTGTTTATTATGATTTCATCGTTCTCAACTACGAAAAACATTGCAAAAATTGTAGACGCAATAAACAATTACGATGGTGGAATAAGAGCGGTATCGGGTCCAAATGGGACAGCCGGCATCTTTGCGACATATCCGCAACCATATATGTCTCCCTTATCCACATACTTGGATCAGGTACACCATACTTTAAAGCGATCATAAAAGCAAGCAGCAAGCAGTCTTTAATGAACCGACAGAAAGAAAGAAAAAAATTCAACAAAGTTTTCCTTCTTTTTATCAACTATGATTTGTTTGGAGAAAAAAATTCAACAAATTTAGATTGTTGGAACAGGTCTGCTTGCATTTTGCGTGTTAGTAATTATTGATCAGCGAAATAAAATTCCATCCGCAGCCCATCCGTTGTTATTTGGTATATCGTTGCTTGTTATTGGCTGCGGATTTGGTGTGAATTGTGGTTATCCGTTGAATCCAGCGAGAGATTTTGCACCACGAATATTCAGTTATTTCATTTACGGGAAAGAAGTTTTCACGTAAGTGCCTTTTACGCATTTCGAAGGTTTCCAAATATATTGAGCATTAATTTCAATGTATCCAATTATCATTATATCAAGTTAAATCAAATTATTCCGCATCTTTTTATTTTATTTTATTTAGGCATCCATGGCGTTGTTGGTTCTTAGTGCCAATAATAGCTCCAACACTCGGTGCATTAATTGGTGGATGGTTTTATATAATTCTTCTCGGAAGTCATATACCGGATCAGGAGTCATTACAAGAAGGATCACAGACAAAGGAGAGATGAGAAATGTGAAATGAAGAATGATATTTGAAAATTTAAAATAATCTTATCAAAAAACTACTGACAAGTTGCTGAATGTAAGGAACTGAATTCAAATTTTAAAAGTAATATAATAAATTACAATAAAAAAGCTATTTATTAGTGGTTGCTTAATTAATTGTTTTTATTTGGAATTCAATTAAGTGCAAATTTAAAAGTGAATTATTTGAATTATTTGGTAATTCAAAAATTTGGATTTTTTTATCACATTCTACGTGTCCCCTTCTGTCTATCTCAAATGAATATTACTTATAATATTATGAAAAGCTGAAACAAATTCACATTTATTTTTATCAAATCGATCTTTAGACTTACGCTGTTAAATTTAAGTCATTCTAGCCATAAGTTACTGATGAATAAAACAATTAGGAAATGAAGATAAGCTAACATTGCTAATAACTCTTTATAAAATAAAAAAGTGAAAAGTATATGTGAATAATATTTTATAATAGTAAATTAATCACTGTGAAATTCGCAAATTCAGTTATTCAATAACAATTTAAAATTTAGCTAAGCTAAATTTTGTTCCATAATATTTCAAAAATAATGACTGAATTTAGAAAGTTATGACAAAACAAATAAAATAGATGAATAATAAGAACTGAGATGCTGTTAGCTTATCTTCTACTGATATAACTATCAGTGGTAGATTAAAATAAGTCGCTATTGCGATATTTTCCATGAGAGGTTGATGTTCAGTCTATATTTCATGCTACCATCAGGAAACCCCATATGGTGACATCAGAATTCTTAGTGACAATAAATGTCCAGGAAGTAATTCATTTATGATTCGATTAAATTGCTGATATTATTCTTTATTATGTTAATAAATTTTTATATGTTTGGTTAAAGTCTGTGTTAAAATAATGTTTTATTATATATACATTTTTTGTTCATCTTCTTTAATTGTAAATAACAGATAAAAGTAATTTGTAATAGAAGTTGTGGGATTGAAAAACTTTACATAATTGAATTCAGCGTACGAAAGATGTATGTCAAAAAGAAGTATCACTGATTAAGAGTGATTCTAATTTTAATTCTGTTTTGAGCTTATTCATCAGATTCAGTCCAAACCGATCAGTTATGTGTGATATAAAAATTAAAAGGCATATACTGAAGCATATAAACCTTTACAGAGGTTGTCAAGGTTACGCTTGCTAATACTCATTATTAAAAGTCTCTCAGAAGAGAAAACGACATAACGACAATCTGCTGATTGATATGACATCAATGTTAACTCAATTTTTATCCTTCGATAATCATCATGGACATTTGCAACAATTCCGTAGGCAGGTAAACATAATAACACTCTAAATTTTGGATTAATTTTCTATTGCAGAATGTGAACGCAAATCTTTTAATCTTATTCTGTTAGAAAATTGTTATTTTGTGTGCAGTTTTAGAGAGCATAACAATAATGAACACCGATAAAGGTGCGAACAATTTGTAAGATTGTTGTAGTTTCTTTTGATTATTTTCTTCTGAAAGTTTTTCAGATGAATCTTTTGAATAAGAATACTTTCATAATTTTAAAAGCCTTGAATTTCAAGTTAAGCTGGAAAAGTTGAGTGAACAAAGAAAATCACAGAAGAATGGCAAGTTATTTGATGAACATCAGTTTTTGCAAAATTGTACTGATTTACGGAAACAAATGGATAAATACAAGCGCAAAATAGAAGGAATGAAAAGTATGAGCGAACAGCATCTAAAAGAAAATGCATTTAAAGATTTGGAAGAATTGACTGTAAGTTAAATATATATTTTCTTCTGGTATTGAACTTATAAATTTCCAATGAAATGTAATCTTACAACAGAAAATTTCAGTAAAAGTTAGGAAAAATAAAATTTGCATGAAAAATTTTTATTAAATGAAATTTCCATTCCAGAAAACTGTGGTATTCAGTAACAGTTCTATCTAAAATAAACATCTAAGCCAAACTGCATATATTGTTATGACCAAAATTATTAAATTATCCAAAAATTATCAGTGTTCATTTAGAATGGGGAAAGCGACCATTACTAGGTAGAATTGTTACAGGATCAGTTATCAGAGTTGATGAGTTCAGGAAGAACTTCCATGTCCCTGGAAAATGATTCCATGAAAATGTTTCCTTCAAAAAGAATAAGGTAAAATTTTGGTAAGATTTTACTGAATGCCACTGAAAATATGCTAAAAATAGAAAATAAAAGAATTGCGTTTATTTGCAGAGAAGAAAAGGCGCAAGTAGGAGAGATAAACAATGAAAAAGAAGAGATTTCATCGACGGATTCATCATCAGATCGAGACTATGCTTCTGATTATTCAACTATGCAAGAAGGAAACAGAACAAATGATATGAACTTAAGGTTAAGCTTCTTTTCAAATGTTATCAATTAGAATGAGAGGAATTAAGAGGAATTAAAAGAGCAGAGAGAATAGAATCCAAAGTGAGTCAGGCATTGATGATATCCTTATAATTTTTAAAATGACTACTGTCAGAGACCAATAACTAGAAATGATATAAAAAATACCAGTAATCTGATTGATTTATTCTATCCATAGCTGAACTATTTGAATAGTTTGGTTTTGACTAGCCAATAATGTTGTCTTACAAAACTTGACGAACTTGTAAAATGCTTGTTCAACTGAGCTTGTGCTAATGTAAATATTCATACTCTTCGAGACATTGAGAAAAGCTTTGAATCGTTTATCCTTTAATAAATAATCATCGCTTTAGCTTTTCGATTTAATTTCATAGTGTTAAAACTCTGGAGCTTATGTCTGGATAAATTTTTAAATTTAATAATTTCATAGTTTATTTGGACTTTAAGCGGTGGACTGAAAGATCAAGAAAGTGCGATAACTAAGGATTTAATTTTGAAGAAAAATGAATTAGTACAAGTTATCGCTACTCGTTATGGCAAAAATTGAAAATGTCAACTATTCGATTCGTTTTTACTTGTTTTTGCAAATGCTTATAAAAATAAAAAAATTATTATATAAACACATCTGTCCTCAATAAGCGCTTATTCTTTCAGAAAAGATGGCCAGTGGCTAGCAGAAAATACTAACGATGATCAAGGATTCCTTTCGAAAGAATTGACATACTCTGAAGAAGAAGCGAAAGAGTCTGATAAACCTTTATCAATACCTCGGCGAACCGTTATAGCGAAAACGATGGCATCCATTTTTCCAACAAGCAGCAATAAAGGTGTCGCAGAAAAATCGGAAACTTCGGAAAAAAAAAAGCAACGCGATAACCTAAATGTCGCAGATATGGCTGCACCAACAGGAACTTCAAACATTGGACATAATATCGAAACTAAGATTCTTGAAGAATCTAGCTCTGAGCACAGCAAAGTTTCAAGACAAGATTTGGAGCTATCTGAGCAAGAAACTGTGAAAACTACTCTCCCGGTATATTTTCTATTTTTTATCATTAAACCATTCGGAAGACTGAAGTTGTGGCAGTTTCTTTCATTTCATAGTTCGTAAATTATTTTCAGAAATCGTCCTCTCAACCTATAACAGCACTAGACACACTCGAGAAAGCCAGTAATTACGGTGAGATATTTAATAATTTCATTCCAAATACAACTGCTAATGCAGATATAAGCATTTCACTATGGTCGGAGAACGACTATTTTTAAACAAAATGAAACACATTTTAGCATTTGATAGATTTTTTTCAGGTGATCATCTGACATATAAATGTTATCTGGCACCACGTCTGAGTAAATCGAATTATGCATTTCATGATATTTACTGGAACTATGAGGATGATCGGGTGATCTTTAAATTATTTAATATAATACAATATATTTATTCACTTCTTACCAATCTATGTTCAAATTGTATGAAATAATTGGAAATGTCTGTTCATAGCTGAGGAAAAGAAGAGTGCGAGTCAGTAAAATGATCAAAGTTATTCGTTTGGATAAAGTGCGCTTAGATGCAATCGATGTACACTGTCGATTAGTACGAGCATATTTGTTCGATCTAAAAAGTACTGAAGAAGAATATCAAATTGTAATTTGTTATTTTTCATAATTTTCTTTTCATATTCATCGCTGTTTAATTAAACTCAAAAAATCAGTCAATTGAACTAACGGAAAGGAAAGATTCTTTAAAGAAACCGATAGCTTAAATAATTGTGCAGTAGTAGCAACATTAGATGTTTTTTGCATATGAATAATGTATATAAAAATAGAGGTATTAAAAAGCAAATTACAGGTGAGTAATGTCTATACAATCAAAGCACACACGCGTACACGTCACCCACAAACGTGGACTTTCTCTACAACGGTAAAATCATTGTTATAAATTCACCAGTTTGAATCTTCTTGGTAAAATATTGTTATATGCAAATTAACAGTTAATAAAAATTAATTCAAAGCTGAAAAGTTAAATTATGCCGTTTGAAACAAACGGCGGATTTATGTGTATCAGTGCTTGATTGGTATGATCTCGATATCAGTATTGATATGATCCCGATATCAGTGAAATCTATGCTGTACTTAAATATCGCTAATCTTTCTTATGCTATTGGTTACTTGCTATTAAAAACCTAAACATTTTTTAATGATAAATTATTCATAGTAAAATTTTAAAGAAAGATATGCAGAAAATATCACTCAGTTATCCGTCATTCATTGTACGTTCGAATTACAAACAGAAAAGTGTGATGCTATGTCTGGAAGCTGCTATTGTATTTACTGATCACGTAAGTGAAAGATTTAATTGTTTCCGCATTTTCACAGGAGTAATTAAAGAGAAAAATAAAAGAAAATGCCGAAAGCTTTTTTTTTTAAATTATTTCTTTCAGATTTCATTTCTAAAAGTTTAAAAAAAAAAATAACTCGTACTTATTTAATAAGCCAACAATTATATATTTTGTAAAAAATTCAAATAAATTAAACTAATTACAGGAAGGAGAAATGTCTGAACAATCACTTGGCTGTGCTATGTTATCGATTATTGATGAAAATGGACATTGCTGCATGAAAAACAAGTATTTTTGAGACTGGAGATCTAATTATTTGCTGGAGATCAGAATTTACTCTTTAGTTTGCTCTAGCATTATTCGGCAAATTATGTTATGAAATTAAAATTTTGCAAATAAATAAATCAGATTTGAATTATTTTTAGCAAACTGTTCTTCAAAAAAAATAAATAAATAAAAATAAAAAAAGCGAAACATTAATTACTTTATTTATACAAGATTTACTTTTTGTTTATACAAGAAAATTCACCTATTTTTTTAAAAAAATTTCCAGGAATTATACCGCAAAGCTGTTTAACCGCAACCCTTTTAACAAAAAAGGTATCAAAACTTTTAATACAAGCAAAACTCATAAAGCATAATAATAAGCTATGAGGAACTGATTTCAACAGTTAAAAGATGAACAGTTGAAAGTTACTGTAAAAAATGCGTGAAAATGAAATGAACATTTCAAATTGTTAGTTCAGTTAAATGAGATAAGTTAAAGATTAAAACTTTTAGGAATTTAATTCTATGACGTCTAATACAGAAATTAAACATCAATTTAATTTTAGAAGCAATCCTTGCAAATACTCAAATTCAAATAACTTTTGGTGTATCGGATGTGCCCAACAACATCGTTCATCAAGTTGAGTAAGCTGATTATTACTTTTTGAAAGTAATGAGAATGGAAGGTGGTAATGAATTTTCTGATAAATTTCGATGTTTATCTAAAAAGCAAAATTTTCAAAGTTATCGAATAATTTCAGCTCTCTGCCAGACATTTTTTTATGTCATGAACTATTTTTGCCAATGTTTTTCTACTATCGACGTCTGTTGGGTCAATTTTTGACAAAAGATTGCGATAATTGTAGTAGTTCAGGTAACAAAATTATTATTTCTTGAAGTTTTTTCTCAATAATTGATTTAATTCAGTAATTACTTCTAAATTTTAAAATCCGAATAATGTTAATTTATTCTTTTCAGCACTTAAGGCTGAACCATTTCTTGCTACGTTTCCGGCCATCGCTGATCAGCCTGATACAATGGAAATGTTATGGCAACTTTGGAAAATTCATAAAAAAAATGTAATTAATAAAAAGGTTATTTTCGCATTTCCTTGGATAACCAAATTTGTTAATTAGGCAAATTTTAAAAACCTAACATCTCATAATTTCAGCTTTCCGAGATGGAGGAAGCCGAACGATTCCGTTCATTCTTTCTAACAACTGGGTTCCTTTTACATCAAACAGTTGACATGCCTAAATTTAATTGGGCCGATGCTCGATGCTTCACCGATCGACAGGCAAAACTGAGTTATTTTCGAGAACAATATTTGCATAGTTTTGATGCTATTAAATATCTCAGCAGAGAGCGTTGCCATCCAATTAACATATACAGTTATGCATTGGATATTATTGGCCCTCATGCTATCATTTGATCTTATCCTCTTTTTTTACTTTGAAAGCGATTCAGTTGATTAAATCAAAATTCAATTTTTATGGTTAGCAATTATTCAAGAATAACTTTGATGGAAATGTTGTATTCAGTAATCATTCAGAACAGTTAAATTGATTCTTTAGTACTATTAGTCTCCTGGAGTATTATCGGTCTCTTGGAGTATTAAATTGATTCTTTAGTACTATTAGTCTCTTGGAGTATTTATTCAGTATATTGTGAAATCTGGACGATATGAGTATAGTTTTAGGATCAATTTTAGTCTAGAATCAAATTTAAGAGAATCTATTAAGATGAGTCAGTCAGTGCAATTGTATGTCGTTCAGAGATTACTGCAATTGTTATCGGAGATTTCTTAAAAACCGAAACAATTAGTTCCCTTTTGCAAGAAATGAAAAACATTTAAAGATAAGTGTATAACAAAACTTATGTCATTAATACGTTGTATTACATACATCATTTAAACCACCTGAAAGCAATTTTTAATCGTCCACATTTCATTTGTAAACAGTAACATTTTTTTACAACAATTGTAACTGAAGAACAATGCTCAGGCAACCACAGCTAATCAAACGAACATTTCCGTCTGTTTCTCTGATTTTTCGGTTTCTGAATTATGGTATTCGTAGTTCCAGTTTTTTTTTTTTAACTCTCTTTGAGTGTTACTAGAGATTTGACAATTGAGCGTTCTGAGAGATAGAGGAAGAGTAATTACTGCAAGTATCACCTAGATGAATTTTCTTTCCTTTAACAGTATTTCCTCTGGTCAAAAGTTTGATTATGCTTTTTGATTTTTGTTTCATATAAATAAGTGGTTAATTGGTGATTTTAAGCTGAAATTTATGTAAGAAAACAGTTCCCTGATTGCTTCAATTTGAAAGCGAAAAAAATTTGTTATTGACAAACAACCAAGAACTTATTTTTCAATAATTAATTTAATCTTTAACTACAAACATAGATGTTGTCAAAATTTCAGAACAAAATTTGAAGGAATTTCAGCACCGTTGTTTAGTTTGATATAATAAAGTATAAGCATTAATGTCATATAGCAGATGTCGCAGTAGATAATACACTATTTGCGATAAAATTTGCTTTACTTTACTACAATGCTTTAATAATGGTGTGATATTGTGTCAAAAGCTAATAATAACGTAATGAAATACTGGAGAATCTAATTTAGATGTTGTGTGACCTTATTAAATTTTAAATCAGTTCTTTGCTAAAGGTAATAATCAGTCACATTAAACTGTCCATACATTCTTACTTTTTTTAATATTATGAATGTTCATAAATGTCGAAGAAAGTTAAGATCTGTCTTAACCCATATCAACTAGTAACCAACCCCTTGGTTGACAAAAATCTATCAAAAAGCATTTGAAAAAAAAAAAAAAAATTGTGATTAAATTAACCGGACTTCAAGGCAACCCACAAATTACAGATGTGTTGCAGCAATTAATGTAACATTTCGTAAATCTTGTTTTGGGGGATGATAAAGGAAGTGGAATGGTGCTATATGAATCAAAACTGATTAACTTCCGATGAGATTTAGGCAGCGAAAAGGAAACAAGATAATGTGTGGGGCTTGTCAAAACCTGTTCCTCACATGAAGAAATACTTCGTTTGATATTCAGCTGATTTTAAGCATTCCTTTCACCTAATTCAATAATTAAGCGTACTATCGCCTCCCTTTCGCTTTCTGAACGAGGCAAAGCAATGGATTCTATTCAGATCTTTCTTCATTCATTAGTGAGTAGACTGCTTTTCAAGAATTTCCAGAAATATTATATTAAGAAGTAAACTGCGGCGATCGCTTTAACCTTCGCATTGGTCATCTAAAAGAAACAGGCGCAAACATTTTTTTGATACAAAGATTATACCTATCTCAAAAGGCTCTTTGAATAACTCAGTTGAACATAGTAACGGCAGCACGTCTTCTTTCTTAGATACAAGCTAATCATTACGCAATTGGCGTAAAATAAATGTATCCCACCAGAAACAAAATGAAACGTGTAAACCTACTACAATCGCACCTCACATTCAGCGCAAAAATTTCGGAAACTGCAGCTGGAGAAAAAAGAAGAATGGGACAAATTAAAACTCTAAATTGATTCAATATTTTTAGTGGGAATTACAATGGTTTGTTGGCCAACTTAAATTACTGTTAACTTTAATATTGTACTCACTGATCCCCTAACAACATTAACAGCAGTCTATTTTACATAGCAATCCGACTATGAAATAAATTCGCCGTTACATTTTCGACATCAAAGTCTAAATGCTTGCTCCCGTTAAGATTCGGCATTATTTTTATTGTGATTACATATAATAAACCAAAACTAACTTGAATTCAATCCGAGGGCCTACCAAATATGCCTACCAAATCTACGAACCTATTTCACTGTAAAAGTTAACGTTCAAAAATCAACGAATAACTTAGAAATAGACCTCAGAAGCTATAAAAGTAATAACCTAACAACGAAAATCGGACAAACCTTAGTTACTAGCATTAAATGGTAAACGTCCAAAAATCTAAGAAAAAAGAATTTTAGAAGCTAAGAAGGTCATTAAGACAAAGAATCACAAAGTATTGAGTTATCTCGTATTTCAATTTCAATGTAATTTATGCATGTTTGCCAAAATAAGCATTACATATTTGTAAAAACATCTAATTTTTTTGGTTCCTTTCATTACAAGGAGTAAATGAAGGGAAATGTATAGTACTTAGAAATCAAAAGATGTAGTAAACGTTCAGATCACTTTTCGATGCTATGAGCAGCTTTTATCAATGCCTCATATGTTTCTATTTCAATTTGCACTGCAGCTCGAGCGTCATCTTCCATCGGCTCTAGAGCACGTCGTTGTGCTGAACTTAGTTCCTCTTCAGCCTTCTGCAACTATACTCTATCAATTCAAATTATTGAAGTCAAGTATAACAAATAAAATATAGTTCTGAATAACCTTGACCACATTTTACGGAAATCTTGACAGATTAAAAGTGAAGAAATTAAACTGAGGTATTTATACCGCTAAATCGATATCCTCAAGTCTGATTGCTTCTTCCGCCAAAACTTGACAAGAACCATCTGGATTCATTGAAAGAGTACCAGATGAGGCAAAATATTGAATACTTTTATCTGAAAAAACAGCAACAGAACAGTTCATAAATATAAACGATCTGCAAGACAAGTACATTTAATTTTTCAATGATATTCAAAATTGACATAATTCACCATCTTTGTCCACGACTCGAACAACACCCGGCTTCAGCATCCCCAATACCGGCACATGCTTTGGCAAAATACCAATTGAGCCATTCAAGGTAGAAATATCGACCTGCTTTACTACAGTATTATTGAAAAAAACCTGCAATATAAAAATATGGGAAAAAATTTTTCTATCAACTCAAATTAAACTACAAAAATTAACAGTTTCAGATCAAAAAAAGGTCAGGAAGAAAGGAAAGGAGGCTAAACTGCTCAAACTGATGCAAATTTACCTCAACAGGTGATGCAAAAGTCAATCGAAGTTCGTCAACATTTACTGCAGGCGCTTCTTTCGTTACATTCTGTACGGTTTCCACCGCAGCGTAGCACCGCCGTAGAATGTTCGACAATCGATGAATATTACGCCGTGATAACATCCTTAAAATTTCAAATGAAAATGGCAGTTTATTGATTTAATCAGTGGAAGTACATTCCCAACATACTTCCTTCCAGGTGTACAGAAGGAGCAACAGCCACAACTCAACGCGAAAATGTTCATAGATCACAGGACGAGGATGCCTAAAGAGAAAAAATTCCTAAGATGGAAAAAAAGTAACTGAGATTCATGCAAATTAAATTCATAAACTGTTTTCCAATGACGGCATTTTGCAACTCAGAAATTTAAAATTTTTGGCAAGTTAATTTTAAATTTTGGCACTCGAACCATTTACGTCAAAATAATACGACGTAAGAAACAAGAGGGAGAAGAAAAGTTGCAATGATAATACAAACGAACCGTTATGAAACTTTCATGTCTCAGCTCGACTCGTGTGCTCTCCTCAACCGTAGTGGACACCGGAGTGCCTTGTCGTAAGAGTGCCCTGCAATCTACCCATGATGTCTTCTTCATCATCCCGGAATTCTTTATTAATTTTGGAGGTTAAGAAACGAAAGGCGGAGGACATTCTTATGACTTCTATGAATGCATAAATCCCTCCCCACTCGTTAGTTCCCGGTACAGGTTTACCACCTTTGTTTGTTAAGAGTTACCAGTTACAAACAAAAGCTTACTTAAATAGGACTGCAAACAAGTCACATCCTTACCGATTATGAACCTTCGTATGATAATACTATGAACCTCTGTTGACCTACACAGTTTACGGTAATATGAAGGAAGTGCACACCCTTAAGCTTCTCTGATCTATTCCACTACATTATCAAGCTTTTTACAAATTTCTACAAAAATCTGTGTGAGAAACAACTGTTTGTTCTTTATGTTGCAGAAAAAAGACAATGAAATACATTAGTGAATGGACGTAGATTTTAGCAAAAATAGAATTTGGGACAGATGTTCAAGAGACATTTAGATTTAAATAATCACTGAAAACTGATGATGCTGACATTTTTAGATATTATGAACAAAAAGAATGCATCACAAATCTTTTACAGGAAGCACAGAAGACGCCTTTTTTTGCATAAAAATAATTTAAAAAGTTGAAACCAAAGCATACAATGCATAAGTTATATAAGGGATGCTAATCGTACTTGATCTCCAGTTATTAAAATCATCCCATCTCTATTAATCCACCCTTTCCTATCTGAACTAAGCTACTAAGATATAAACTTTTCTATAATGAAACTGCTCCAAATTTGTTACTATACCACATCTGTTACTAAACTACACTACAAACCTCAAAAATCGTAACTCGACAGCTATTAAGTCCCGTACCAACCTCTCTTCACTTTGAATATCCCAGAAAGTAAATATTTTTCCTAACAAACCTTTATTAAGCGCTGCCAAATAATCTCGTTTTTTTTTTTTTTTTTTTTTTTCAGTTTCTGATTATCAGAATCAATTCCAAACCCAAAATCCATGAAAGCATAAAAAGCCTCCTACACCTGCCACCTTAGTAGGGAATATGAGAATTAGACGTTAGGTTCGAAAGAGACAAGATCTGTGCAATGAAAGCATTATTCACAATGTTTGAAGATGATAGAACAGTGACAAAAATTGATTCGTTAGTCAAACATTACATAGCGATTAATTAATGGACATGTTTACCGCACGTTACAAAACAAACAAACCATGAATATTCGAAAATTAAGAAAAAAAAAAATAACATTCAACAAATTTACATACAATACTGAAGTTATTTCAGAGAGGGAAAATGTGAAAATTTCAGACTTTTTTACATGTGAATCAGTTCAATTATTTATTGTAGTTTATCAGTAACATTTTATCCAACGACAACTCCTCGGTGATCTTATCGCTACTTGGGTAGGAGTTCATGTTCTAGCAAACAACATGTCAAAATGTAAAATGATCTTAAAACCATTTTATTAAATATAATCAATGCTGCTGCTTTCTATAACCTCCTTCAAATATATCAAAACACTCATCCTTCTGTGATTAAATAAATCTCACAATGAATAAACCAAATAATTTCACAAAAGGAGACAAGGTCCAATAAAGATATGAAAATAAATTACTCGCCTGTACCTAAGAAATAAATAGAAGCACAGGTATGCAGAAAAGAGCTGTATATAAAATTTCATTAATTTTAAAATGTCAGAAATTAAGTATAAAATAAATCCCCATAAGAATAACATAAGTTCCGGAAAACAAATTTTCTGCAAACCCCATAGTTAAACCACCAAAAGTAATCAAATAAATAGGAAGCATGAATATAAATAGCAAGGACAACTAAAATTGTATAAGTTGAGGAAATTTGCAAGGAATTTTCTTCAAATTTTTATGCGAAACAGGATTAATATACTACCCAAATCAGGCATAACTGACTGGTCAGTAAGTTTAAAATATGTCGCAAGAACTTTTATAGTGAGAGAGTACGACAAAAAAGACAAGAGCAACTAAATTGTTGTGGGTGGATAAGAAAATGCAAGAAAACTAAAGAAGTAATGCATCTAGATAAAACTGAAAGTCAAGAGGACGTAAAATTACGTCTTCGAAGTTTCTTCGAGCACCTAATGTGTCGCTGCTTTCGCTTTTCAGATGAAGAGAAAACCAGAATATGCTGAAGAGAAGCGCAATACATAAAACAAAGGCGAGGAAATCCAAGACAAAAAACTTGTTATGAAGTGCACATAAAACTTTTAAAAACGCTTTTTGCACTAGATCGCCAGACTTTAGTCAGGACTAGTCAAGATAAAGTATGGATATTCTGGTTAGTTCATACTAATTTTTTGTTTTTATGTCACTAAAGAAACACTGCCTATAGACAGCAATCAAACTAATCAGATCACTTTGAAAAAAGAAATACGAATAGCAGCAATCTCGGTGGTTCTTATCGGGATCCAACCGGACAAGCGCTTTGAACTCTAGATTGCGAAAGATCCACTGATGTATAAATAATTCATTTTGAAAGTCAAATCATTACGAAAAATAACTTTCAGCATTATTATCTTCCTTTGCACCAAAATGCTTTAAATCATCGAATAAACTTTGCTTGATTTTCGATATTTCACTTGCTTCTTCCTATAAACAGGATTACATACATTAAATAAAACTTAAAATGAGAAAAAAAGTTCACAATGAAATAACTATTATTCAATAGAAACACCTTATCAAAATATGTTTTACGCTGGTTCGTTGATCATAAATATTAATTCTACTTATATTATTAAACAAATGAAAAATTAAATGGCTGCTCACATATTACACTTCAAGGAAGTTGTGAAATTTTCTTCATACTTCGCATTTATTCTCTTCATTCCTTATATACGACTCACTGCTGAGGATACTCACAAAAACAAACTATTGTACAACTATTGCAAGAGATAAAGGTTAACAGTTAAAGGAAGTCGAAAATAACGGTATTATGTATATATAAATGAGAACTAACATTTACTTGTCCACCAGAACCTGAGTTGGTATTTGAACTATTGCCGGGTCCATTACCTTGACTGCCACCAGCTACAGCATTCTGAGGTGCACCAGACTGTGAATGTACCGAACCAGGACCACCAACTCCGGCCCCTGCTACTGAGCCTGGACCACCCACTGGTGCCTGACTGCCTGTATTTCACAAAAAAAGTTAGTAAGAAATCCAATGTGGACTACTCACGCAAATGATAGACGGACAGTTTCGAAGCGTGAAACATGTTTTCATAAAAAATTGCCATAGCTAATTGGAGAAGGTTAGGAAATCAAAACCACCCGCAGCCTTACCAGCAGGTGGAATGGGTGAAATAAACGAAGAGGATTAGTGGTTAACACCGTCTACGCCTCAAAGAAGGGTAATGGAGAAATCAAGTCCTGCGAGCAGTCGCGCCGCCATCAGGAAATCGCGGCAACTGAACCGTTTTCACTTTGTTAATACTGAGTGCAGGGTTGTAAATTGAAACAGATGCCACGGTGCATGAGGCCTGTAACAAAAATGAACAACTCCCCTCCTAACAACATAAAAATATAGTCAAAATACACAGAAATGAAACGAAAAAGCGAGCTCAGGAAGGGATATTGGAAAACTACAAACCTGGTCCGCCTGCTGTGCTTGGTGTACCGCCATTTAGTCCACCATGTGTAGAAGCAGGTGATTGTTTCATTTCATCACCGTTCAATAATGAACCAACCTGTGGTTCAGGACCGGAACCCGGAGGACCGGCTGAACCTCTGCCACCTGCTCCAGGAGTCATACTGCCCTCAGAACCATGCATCACGTACTGCAACTGCTTTTTATTAAAACAATGATGATGCATACAAAAAAACTGCACCTTATAGAGCGAATTTATTTATTAGTACTGATGCTTGAAAACGTGTTTTGTTAAGTTAAAAGCATAAAATAACGTACTGGTATATTCGAGGCAGTTGACATCATCATGTAACCCCTTGGATCAGCCTGCCCATCAGGCCCTGTTGGCATTGGTCCTTGCGGTCCTGGTGATGACATCATTGAAGGAGTTGATGAGCATATCGCGCCATTTGGCATCATCGCATTCTTAAAAATAGAAAATATAACTTACATAGTAATACAGGTATTCCGAGTTGTATTAATAAAACCTCGAATAATGTTATAAATAACAAATCAACAAATCAGTTTTACTACTGTCGTGGAAACTAATAGCATTTCCTTCTTTATTTTATTATCCAGAATCGAAAACCATATTCAGAAAAATTCTTATGAACGACTTATACATCATCAAACTAGCATAAGCACCTAAGAAGCAAAGTAATCTAATAACAATGAACATACTGGAGGAAAAGGCGTCCCCGTTGGAGACTCCATATACATTTGAGAGCCATATCGCATTGGACCGTTTGGTCGCATTCCCGGAAAATTCTAAAAATATGGATTTAGTAAAAATTCGAAATGTAATTTGTGAATCATTTTGTGAAATGTAATTTAATACATTTTTTTAATTTTTAATATATTCAAACAACTAAGAGCATGACCGTGGTCATCCTTCTCATCTCTCATAAGAGAATACTTCTATTTTGAACTATCTTAAACGTTAATGCCTTTATCAAAATTTAAATTTAAATGCTTTCGAAGAGGGAAATTCGGTAAAAAAAAGGAACATTTTGGGTATGAACAATCAAGGACGTGTGCAGAGATGTCTAAACAATCTGAAAAGCCTCGTATTGTCTCTTCGATCAAGTAAGCAAACTGTGGGAAACTCAAACTCGCAGTATAGCATAAGTACACTTAGTAGAATGATATAAGCAAACCGTTGGCATACGCATTGGGCCTGCACTTGGAGGTAGTCGCTGTGGCTGCATGGGTCGCATTTGTTCTCCAAATATATGCGGAGGTCCAGCACCTGGAAAGCCGGCGCCAGGTGGCATGGCACCTGGACCTGGTGGACCATTCCTTGATGGCATAGCATACCGTGGCGGAACTGGAGCAAAGCTTCCAGAAGGAGGCACGCCTTAAAATATCACTGTAATGCATTTATAATTTAATTTTTGGATGACTTGCCCTAGGTTAACCATAAATTTTAAACAAGTATATAGAAACATTATATAATAGGAAATATAAAAAAAAAAAAGAAATATAAGAAACAGGAAATATAATTGAAGTGGTCAAATTTTGTTACTGATCCTAATATATAACCTGAAATGGGTGACGACTGACTAGTTGCGCCTGATGGTCCCGGTTGTCCACTTCGTGGAGGATAATAACCAGCAGGCATAAGTCCATCTGGCCCTGGTCCAGGTCCCATACCCAAAGGGCTAGCTGCTGCTGACGGAAACTGTAACAGCGTAATTGAAATTTAGAGATGAACAGACATGTGAAATAAGCGCAACTATCAAACAAAAAAAAAGTCAAACAAATACTTGGTACAATTTGCTAAGTAAAATGAAAACCAACCAGATGAGATCCGTGCATACCATTCATCATTGGTGTACCAGCAGGACCTGGAGGAACGCCATGACTTGCATTCATAAACCCCTAGAACCGAAAAATATAAAAATCAATCATACGTCACCCAAATAACACTTCGCCTTTACTTTTTATAATGACGAAAATATATACGATAACAGAGACAGCTAAAAAAAAAGATCAGAAAGAAAGTTACGTATTCATGAAAAGCTTTAGCTTCTTGTGAAGCTTCACACGTATCTCGCCTCTCCGGAGCTGCTGAGTATAAATCCCAAAATAAACTGCAAATAATTTTCGTAACTGAGGATCAAGATAAAAATCCAAATACAATGAAATTATTTTCACTTTTTTTATTGAATTTGGAAATAATGCATGTAAACTTACAAGAACCAATTCTGCAAAAATCCTGGTGCGTCGCCAATATTAATTTGCTTCGATGCATTATTTTGCTAAAATAATTCGCATGTTTTCGGTTCTCCATCTCATATTTGATTGTGAAAGAAAAAAATGTGTTCTGCTTCAGTTATAAACTTTTATCTCATATCAACCTGATTTATATAATTCTTTCTCTTCCCAAAAACACTTATCAGACGAGAGTTTTGAGATTTCCGACAAATTTTCGAAAATGAAAATGAGTAGGCTAATAACTCAAATAAACGTGAAAATCTAAAAATTTAACAATTGCAATCTCTCACTGATAACATTTCTCCTTTGAATGATTCGGCAGTTTTCGTTGCACCATTATGCACCAAATATTCATACACAAATCCAGCAAGCCTAATAATTTTGATAATTAAACAAGACCTCCAGCATTTTAAAAGATTATTTTCTAGACAGTGCAATGAAGCTGATCAGTAAACGATGCTCTTCATATACCGAAATCCATTCCTGATGATAAAGCAAATGATACTGAATCAGTGGATTTATTAAATGCTCCTTAACTACTCGAGAAAAAGAAAAATTACTTCTCTTTTGCTGCAGCTTCACTTTGGCTTGTTAGTGTTGTTTGGGTTCGATTAGACGGTGGCCCCTTTGGCTGTTGTGCAAACATTCCAGACAAAAATGATGTTTCTTTTCAGACTGCTGTCAATGTATTAAACGAAGCAGAAGAATAAAGACACATAATTTAATATAGTACCAACAACCAGTAGAATCTTCACACAACCTGAAATAACATCAGATTGTTCGACAATTTAAGTATAATGACAATTTACATATATGAACCTACATTCAATAATAAATATTCCAAGATAATTATTTAACTTCTTCGACTTCGTAAAATGCTTGAATAAAAGAAGAGGTGAAGAGTTGCAGCAATGTTGAAAATATATTTTACTAAAAATTACATCCGAAAGAATGCACAGTGGGAAAAAAACTAGTGCTGATGATTTCAACTGAAGTCAGCAAGAAATTCAGTAGTAAATTTAATTGTCTTATCTTAAAGGAAATATGAAGAATGAAATGGTTAATGTCGAATCATTAACAATTAAAATAACACTCCAAACAGCTGAAGGTAACCATAGAACATTTGGAGGCGATCAAAAGCAGGAAAATTTTTTCAAACATTTTACTGCACAGATTGTATGGTTGAATTAGTTAAAGTACCAGGCCAATACCGAAGAGTAATACTACAAATACACTCTACTAAAGTATCATTAGGAAAAGATAAGTGGAATTAACGAATGATTAATCAAGCCTATGTTAATCAGAAAATTTCAGGATATACGTACTCACTGACTCAATACCTCAACTGTATAAGACATTAGCTGTGCAGAGAGACGTCACAACAACAACAATAATAATAACAACGAAAAGATGATAGCAACAATCGTTTTGCAATAAGCGTTTAATTAATCGACCTAATAACAGTGAATGGAAGAAGTTTTACTAGCAACACAGACAGAGAGCCTCTCATGCATCCCTCGAACCGATGAATTAATTGTGAAAATATATGCCAGCAAAACACATGTCAACAACCCATCCACAGACATACACACACCTACACACACACACACACACACACATACACACGCACACACCGAATATAAATAAACTGGACGATCCCCGAGCTACTCACCGCGACAGCAATAACGCAAGGAGAGAAGGGTGCTGTGCAGCTGGCGAATGTCCAGCCGCCCCCTGTATCGATCGGTTGTGTCTTAGGCAGGGGCACCTCCCTACTATCAGTGCACTCTCCTCTGCACCTTCTGCAGGTCACTTCCTGTCTGCACCTCTTCCGAGGGGTCCCGGGAGTTCCCCGATGGCACTACCCTCCCTTAGAAATAGATCATCTCCTTCCCTTCTCAACAACCACAACAACCTACCACCACCACTATCCCCCACCCAAACACTATCATTATGTGTCTTCGTGCACGCCCACACACATACACACATGTACGCACATATAGAAATTAGGGATCGGTGTTGTTGCGTTGTCCCACATACACACAGACACAGACATACATACACAACCACTTCCCATCCAACATCGCTGGGACGTACGGCTTGACAAGATTGTCACCTTCCACTGTCCGGTGAGCGATTAGGGCGCTGACATCGTGGCATGCCTGCTTGCAGGGACTAGAAGCATACATTGTACACACACACATACATACATACAACGTTGCGTGCTGTTCATGACGGTCATGTCATAGAAACTGGACTGGAGTCGCTCCGAAATTTACAGATTTAAAGTGAATCTTTTCAATTTCTCTTTATTAAGAGACGGGTCATTTACACTAACCAAAAGTCAAGGTGGATAGCTGGGAGTTACCGGGTACCACCTTCACACAGATGTCTTGCTGACTTGAAGTTGGAATTACCCGCAGTTATAAGGGTTTCTTGTCCTCTCTCAATTCCCCTAAGAAACTAATGGTTTGTCCTCCACACCACCACTCTTGTAGTGATAAAGTAGAAAATTCAGGTCAATAATTACACTTCCTGTAGCCCGGATGAGAGAATGCGAGAAATTCCTATAAATATTTGGCAAGGTTGTCCTTATCATTGTTTTAGTACTGTTACCTGGTGAGTTGTTGCCATCATCTTTTCTTTACCTCGAAATCCTGAAAGTCTTTTGAATTCTTTGACCAAGCAGACGCACATTGTTTCTCCGTGCTGATCTTTCTCAGTAGAATTCCTTCAATATCCGAGTGTTTCGAGAGTCTGTCGTTAGTTAGTGAACAATACATATCTACCTATGAAATATTCACGTGTAATCCTGAAAATCTTCAGAGTTTCCGGTCTTTCACTTTCTCTTTAAGGGAAAGTTTATAAAGCATAGCAGGAAAAGAAGTGGTTCGTTACTACTTCTGATAAGCTGAAATTTCAATTTCGGAAGAAATCGTATGCAGTTCATAACAGGTTACTCGGTACAAAGCGCAAGAACATGAACTATAGTGTATAGGTTGACACAACTGTGTAATTGCTTCCTTGTTTAATTCTGCTGAAACGAGTCACTTCGTCATTTCCTCTTGGAAAGTAGAGAGTCAAAAATGAAAACTTTCAAAAATTCAGTAATCAGAGTAGCATTTGCAATTCTTCCAGGAATTTTAATTATCTGTTTCAAGTTTTATTCTTTCTCGGTTCCTCCATTAAATTATGGCAAAGATTGAAGTTGTTTCTCATATTCCAAAAATTGCTATTAATTTCCAGTTGAGAAAAAAAAAGGAAAGTGAATTAATTTCAGGAAAAAAAAAATAAAAAATTATGGGTTCCTTAGCTGAAGTCGAGAAACAGGTGAGCGTTTTCCTCATATGGAGAAAAAAGAAATTTAGTTCCTGAAGTCGACTATAGCAAGAAGAACACCACAACAGTGAGAGCTCCGGTAGATCTTTTGGTAAGGTTGTAAACAGAAGTAGTAGCAATGTGATGCACTTACCTGCAGTACCGTGATTCACTGAGCGCAGTGATACCTAAATAATGATTTGTATCTATTCTGCTCTAATGTACCAAATATAATAAAGTAAGGAGGTCAAATATATCAGAATTTAAATTATCATGAAGTCATTGGGACATAGTAATAAAGGATGACAGAAATCAGAAAATTACTCTGAGCAGCGTAGTTATTTTTCAGAGCTGGCGTTCAATGAAAAGAAAGAATTTAAGTAATCAATTTGTTTATTCACGGAAGAGGAATGTTTTAGAAACACTCAAAACGCCTAAATATGACGTATTTACGCTATAGTATTATTTATTAGAAAATAGTAATCTTTAAGCTAAAACAGACGATTCAAGTTTCATCGACTATGATCGGTGAATATTGCTATCCTAACCGAAATGCAAGTACTAAATTAAGTTTAAATTGAGTGAGTCAAATACTAGCAAAACTTGCAGTGAAATGTAAAAGAATACGTAAAAGAATAAGAAAGCCAAATTTGACGATACCGTGAATCCATCAATCTTAGATTCGGTACACCAAAAATAAAGTTTGTTTCATGTTAGTAAAGAAGACAACATGTTCGTAATTAAACTTGTGACTTAAGTGAGTTGCTTTCTCCAACAGATTTGACTTCTTTTAAACTTATGACAGTTAGAACAAATAATCAGATGTGGCATAATGACCGGAACAAAAAGTTTGGCACGGAACCTTGTAAAATATGTCCGAGTTAAAATTAGAAAAGAAGGGCATCTATGTTAACAATGACGTCAGCAATGTTTGTCAAGCATTTAGTCTTTAGTTGTCAGCCTTTTCATCCTTGAAAGTCATTCATTCCGCTGCAGTGTCAGTCTATTTAAACTTGATTCAATATTTGCATTTCCGTTAGGATAACAGAAAGAAAAAACTCCAATGAGATTGAACAGGCGGGAAGTTATCATTTTGTTCCTAACAATGAATTACTGTTGCCGTTCACTCTAGCATTTCGCTCAGAAATTTTTTAGAAAATTTGTCTGATTCAGCCATAAACGAATTTAACGATGATCAAAAGTCAAGGATTAAAGATCATAGTTGTAAGACTGACCACTGTTTGTCCTTTATACTTCCTGATAGACAGTTAGGTAAGCAGTGCGATGTAGGTGAGTACGCTACCGCTCCAACATTACAAGTAAAACAAGTATGAGATACTTCGCCATTTTAACATTTCAATATTATTGAAAAGCTGTTTATTTAGGCGAACGAATAACAGCCAAGTGACAGTCTTATCGGCGCCTTCCCGCATAGTACTGTTGCTAATTATAAATGAATAAAATCAAGATACTGCTTATCAGTGAAGCATAAACAAACGTGCCATATTCTTCTATTCCAATATACCCAAGGAATTTAGTAAGATTTGAATTCTACAGACACATTATATTACAGGATGGGAATGGTCGGAAAACCAATTGCAAGTAATGATTGTATGTCTGCTATCATTTGGTGCCAGTAATGTCTTACTGGTTGCAGTAATTTACTTATTGATAAACTCTATCAAATTATTCCTATAAATAGAGACCATCCTGCGAATCTGATCGAATCTGCAAAATGTTACTACCGTCATTCATCATATTTCTTTCCCGAAATTAAAGTTTTGACAATTGTTTTCCGTTTCTTCATTTTGAAGCATCTTTTCGTTTCCTTGATCTCCAATGATAATTCCTATACCCACGTCGCTACGAATAGAATAACCCCTCTTAGCATATCTCAACCCAGTGCGACGAGTTGAGTACCTTCACTAAACTTTTCTAGCAGTAGTAGTGTGCTAGAAAAGTATGTTAACAGTTTTAACAGGTTATAAAGCAACTAAAATTCAGCGTTTATGTATGATCAACTGAACCACTCAGCAAACACAACAATAAAATTCAAAGTAGAAAATAAAAACCACCATAATGAACAAGCATAATTTTATGGTGTATGTGGTGTATTAGTTGATTAGTTACAGAAGATCACTGTGAAATGCTGTCATTTCTGAAGAAGAAACAGACTAGCGCTAGTCGTTTATTATAACTTTTCTTTATCCTACTTGTATAGCATCGAATTCTTCTTTCCCCGTACTTCAGCATTCTAATCAGCGCTATCTGATGAGCTATCGCCACCGTAATCTGCCACTAATGCTGAAGATTTACTGTATACATCCGACTTCACAACAGAAACAAACCCAACCTTGATGTTCGATAAATTCATCTCGTCAGGATATAGCAATTCTTCACATTTAGGCTTGACATCATCTAGATTCCCCTGAGAAAGTTATATTAATAGGAAAACAATCTTTCAAACTCTGAAGTATTTCGAAATGATTCGACCAGAAAATCAAAAAAAAAAAAAAAAAAAAAACGAAATAAACACACCAAAGGTAAATAAGGAAATTTTCCAAATATTTCGTCTTCGAATCTCGAAAACCATTTTAAAGTATTGCATGTACAAATTATTACCTTGTTCGGAACATCTACTTCATCGTGTTCATTTTCGTATTTTAATCTTTTGACAATACCAAGATTCTCGGCTGTTATTTGCTCCTGTCCGCTCTGTACAGATAATACACTGTTAAATGCATTGCATTCATTTCTATGAAGTTTCATAGACAACAATTGCTTTTGCGTTATATCATTCTTTGCCGAAGTTGACGGTTGACAACTTGAAAATATAGGCTTATTCAATATTGCCTTACGCTTTGATTCAAGTTGTTCTTCAGGAACTAAAAAGTAGTACAATAAATATAAGACAGTAGCGTTCTTTTAGATTGGAAAAATAATAATAATAAAAAAAAAATCACACAACTTTCGGATTCCAATTTTAAATTCAGTTGAGAGCTACTGTAAACAGCACAGAAAGTTCATTACTTATATCTATATAAATCCAGAAAATTTCCAATTTATTATAATAAGATCAGACCATTAAACTCCTCAAAATAGAAAAACAATATTAAAATTGTTACGTAAATTTCATATTTCTATATCGTAGAATTGTAGCAGCAAGCTTTTTATCTTCAACGTTTTCTGATACTAGATTGATGTTCAAAGACATCCTCTTTAGCAAGTCTTCATCTCTGACTCTTCCTTCGTTCAAAGCAGCTTTTTCAAGCTGGAACAGCACAGTGAATGAAACAAACAGAATATAAAACATAAAGAAGAACAGAAGGAATTGATTTGGAACAGTAATAATTTTAAAAATGTATACTTTGAATGACTTTCTCAAAGCTTGATTAGCAGCAAAATCATCCTGCATTCTTCCCTGAATCCATTCCAATTTAACAACTTTATCGGCTAAACTTGCAGCCTTCTTTTTATCCTGTTCTACATGTTCAACCTGAATGTACAATTTGTTTACGAAAAATTTAATTTTGAATTGAGAATGGCTTGCAAAAATACTTTATTTCTCCTTGTCCTTTATATTATTTGAAAGCTACAAATAAACATAATATATTAAATCAATACAATATGGCAAATAAAAATTAAACCTGAAACATTCGATCACTTTCCAACTGTCTACTAAAACCTCGATCAACAGCTCCAAGCTGATCGATGGTAGATGGATCATACCGTTTCTCCTGTCGACGACAGCCTTCCACAAGTTCATAATCAAAGTGCTACAAAACTAACGCAAAGGTAAAGGTTGCGAAGAGGGGAAGAGTTCACGACAAGAAATATTCCGATTCTAAAAGATTTTTAAAGTGGTTTCAAGAAAAACAACCTCAGGATCAGTGCGTATGACGAAATAGTTGTCACATAGGTGACACTTCATACGAAACTCATATAATGGTGTTGTATAATACATTCCGATTTTTTTCTTTTCAGCATTATATCGTACACCCATCCCAACATGGTTGTTGCAACCAAGGCACCAAATATTGAATGGCATTTCAAAACTGAGTATTAAAGAAATAAGATACAAATATTTCAAAATGATTTGAAAAAAAATAATTCGACTAAATGTATAAAGAAAATCCACAAGGAAAATAAATTACTTTGTTATGAATTAATATAATTTACATTGACTTCTAACTCACCAACTACTACATAAAAGTATTCTAAAGTAGTTTTTTAAAAAGTTAAGTGCAAAGTACCGTATAATAAGAATCCCTTGTTTGATTTTGGCAGCTCGTTCTCGCAGTGCATGTGTCCCATGATAACTGTTTAAACTTTTGTGTTTTTTATAATCAAAATCCGGCGGATAATAGAAATTCTGTCCCTTACGTTCACCCATACTCTGCAAAAATTTACAAAAATTTTCCAGGAACACTATATGAAAAACTTATGGAATCAAAACACACCTTCCTTTTATTCAAAAAATGTTTTTAAAAAATCAATTACAATCATCAAACGTAAGTAATCGGCCGCCAAAGAATTTATTCGAACAAAATCGCAAACTCCACTTCTTAAAGGTTAAGTTAATTTCTATATAGGAAAAGAAAATATCGTTATTTTGTAATGTACTACAGCGGAAGGGCCAATTCCAAATCACTTAAGAAAACCAACATTTTATTATAAAAGTTTCTTGCAAAAAAATAAATAGTATCATTTAAATCAGCAGGACTAGATCCACCATTTTCAAAATATACAACTTATGAATAAACAAACAGATAAATAAAGAAATAAATAACCAATAAATAAATGTATAAACAAATGGATAAGTAAATCAATAAAATCAATAATAAATTAAAGACACATTAACTAGTTAATTAAGTACTTAAAAACAAGTAAAATAACTACATATAACTCACTAAATGAATCAAATTACAAAAAAGTAATTTCAATACTTGATGGCAAAAGAGAAAGACAAATTATACACTATTCTAACTGAAAAATTAAGTCAACAATAAAATTAATGGGTAACAGAATACATAAGTAGGTCTTGAACTACAAAAATGTTTCATTTTTCGTTTTCTTTCGTCAAAATTAAATCAAGATTAACTAAAGCCAAACTCAGAAACATTTAGAGAAATGTGACAGAAAAAGATATAAAATGTGAGCCGCAAAAAAAAATCTACACAGAAAATACATTGATTGTACATTGACTAATTAATCTTACTGAAATGGTAAACCATGGAAAATTTATATATATATATAAATTAAAAATACGTTTTACAATTAAAAAATTAATTGTAAAACGCTATCAAATACAAGTAAAATAGATGAAATGCAGTAAAATAAAAAAAACATGGATTTAATGTCATAAGGCTTGGTGTAGCATGGGATAATCCTATAAAATAATATATAAACAATTTATGTAAGATAACACAGCAACAAGTATGATAAAAAACTAAACTTTGAAACCTTGAAATACTAAATTATAAGACGAAAACTGAGTCTGAAATACAAATAGCCCGTAATTAGTAAACAGCATCGGTCTCAATGTCATTCAATGATCCTCGCCAAAATTTTAATCTTTCTCTTTGAGAAAGTAGAGTTCGTTCTGTTCTGGTATGCCAAACGTATACCTTCGTACAGCCATCAGCTTTCAGTTCCAGATCGTTTCTATTTAGACCCAAAGCAGTAAGAAAATGAGACTCCTAAAAAAAAAAGAGAATATTTTCGTAAGTGGTAACACATGCACGGCAGACAAAATAAAATAGATTAATACAGAACCTGATAACCACGCGGTACATCATATGTAAATAATGCATTAGCATTGAGTGCCAGAGACAAATTGATAGCGAATGCCGCCATGTCGATAGGGAATGGCCGTTCTGGCTTCCATAATGAATTGAATGATACATTCCCACCTGGAAAAATCCTAATAACATCATAAAAATAGATGAATGAAACAAAGAATCCCATGAAATAAAACCACTCCAAGCAATAATAAAGGCAGACAAATAAGATGGAGCACAAAATTAACAAACTTCAACTGTGCAGTAAATTTAAAGCAATAAACACCTTCTGAAAGTCTAGCTGTCTCAACAATTAGACCACCAACGAGGCCGACTGGCCACACACCCACTCTTTCTATGGATCGCATTTCATCAAATAATCTCCAATCATAGGTATTATCATCATCACCGAAATACACAATTCCTCTTTTCGATCTGCTTAAATTATCCCTAAAATGCGGTGTTAGTATTAGTATCTTAGATTTAAAGAACAGTTTATCCAGATTTTTGAAATTCCTCTTTTCAATAATATAATGTTCAAATAACCCAGTGAGAGACTGCTCCAAACGATTGAGTTCACTAAGTTACCAGTAAGAACATACAAAACCAAAGCGAAGAAATTTTTCAAAGGCTACGGAAAAAAGTTAACGATCTAACAATATTTAAAAAAAAAAAAAGATTTTACAATCTTTTTTAGGCTACATTATTTCTTATCACGTATTCCTAAAGAACTCAAAAATTTATGATATCCACGCCGTATTTTAAAATAAAAAAAAAAAAAAGTATAATCTCACTTTTCAAAATTATGTGTACAAGGATGCCTCTTGAAAATTTGCAAAGAAATAACAAATAATAAAAGGATAAGATTAGAATTCAAAATACTGAATTATAGCTAAAACAATTACTCATTCAGGAAAGCGGATCATTACTACCTACAAAAATTAAGAAACTTAATAAAAATGAAACACCTCAACCACATGAGAGCTTTATTTCGCTGAAACACTCCTCGAGCAATTTTCCAGTTCGGATCAACTTCGCTCGGTTTCTTTTCTGGAGGCGTAAGCGCATAAAGGTGAGCAAATTTAATACGATATCTTTTGAAAATTTCGGTAATAAATGGGGATGTTTTATTTGCATCTTCAACTACAATCCAGTACAAATTCGGCACATACACTGAAATAGTTCAATGAATTTTAAAATTACAAAAAATATCAAACTCCAAAAAGTATCTCAGTAACATACCTAAAGTTTGTGCTAGGCGAATGAGATCAGCTTTCTGAGTTAGCCTTCGATAAGTTGGTGTTATAAAATAAATAAATGGAAGACCTTTACGCATTTCTGCTCGTGGTATTCGATCACGAACTCTGCAAGCGAAATCAATAAAATTCATAACATGCAGGACTGAAAGAAAGGACTTGTCACAATTAATATATCATATATCAAACTAGTAGCACAAAAATTCCTATTCTAGAAATTTTCATTCGAAACTTGAAATACCGCAACAATAGGACAAAGTGGGAACTAACAAACTATCAATTCGCTGCAAATTATCCTCCATACGATAGGTTTCTTTTTCTTGCAACCAAATCTTCTTATTCAACTCTTCTCGTTTCCTTAGCAAAGTATCGATTTCCGCAACAAGCATCAATTTCTTTTCATCCAAATTTTGTAGCTGTGCCCAAAAAACTGCTACTTGTGCAATAAAAAATAAGCCCACAGCACATAAAATCTTGAAAACGAGCTTTTCGTCCAACATATCGCCGATTTATTCATCGAGACGTCCGAAAGAATTCGACAAAACACGGATTTCTCACTCGAACAGAACGACCGAGTGCAGTTCAGTAATACAGTCAGCATTAATTTTAGTCAATCTCCAACTGAAAATACAGTGGACAGAATCAACGCCTGACAACATATTGCATTTTTATGGCAATGCATGCGAAGTAGGACATTTAGTAATCGTCATACAACAATCAGTGATAGGAAAACCAAAGATTTAAACCATCAGTCTTATAATTTGAATTCAGAATGATAGATAAGTGCAGGTGGAAACATTAAAGAGGTAAAACGGACAAACATAATGAGCTTTACTCGATCTCATATATTACCATCATCTCATCTTGCAACAAAACTTTAAGACTTATTTGTGACCACTTCCCTACGTTAATGCTTCTGAGTTTTCATTTCACCGATATTTGAGTCAGCCAAAGATACCCAGAAGTTTCGCTTCTTTCTTTTTTTAACAAGTAGCATTAGATTAAAAACAGGTGAAAAACATCTTCATTACAGAGCGTAAAACCATTTTTATACAATCGCATCTCTTCAATTTAGCATAATTTGATGAAAACCTTTAATTTCAGCATCCAAAATTCTGCTGAATCAGATATGCTAAGATACGATCAACAAAAAATCAAAGAAAAATCTATGATCATTATGTACAGTTCTAATGAAGTAGAACATATTATGAAAAGAAATCTCAAGGAAACCAATCTACTAATTAATCTAAGTAAATATCGATATGACTGCGATAACAGCATACGGTTCATATAACTCAAAAATATGAATACGAGCTCAATGATGAAATGCGCAGATATACAGTACACCAAATTTTACGGGAACATTAACTGAATTAATTTGATTCGTCTAATGATAGCTAATGTTTATACCACAGAAGTGAAAACCACGACAGGAAATAGTCGAAAGAAGAAAACTCTTATTTTTCAGATAAAAATATATGTTCATCACTTTGTTTTTCTCGGTTTCTTCGCATATTTTACAGCTAAGGAATCACAAAGTTCGTTAAACGATGCAATATTCTTTTGCTGTCGATTTTGAATGAGAGCTACGAGATCCTTAGCGCCTTCATTCCTTTGAACCTCTTTCAACATCTTCTCTGCTTCCTCAAAAAAAAAAAAAAAATTAAAGAAAAATAGTAAAGTGGTATTTAATATGAACTACATTTTTTTGCGATGGTAAGAGAAAACAGCGCAAAGTACACCTCTGCTTCACGTCGTGCTGCTTTACGACGTTTAGCTTTTCTTTTTTCTGGCTCAGAAACGAAATATCGCGTTGCCTTCAATTCTCCGGATCCAATCATATCACTTATCATCTTGTGCAAACGTCTTTCATCTTCGTATGTAACACCAATAACATCATTCAGAATTTTTCCCATATCTCCCTTGTACTTTATGTAAGCTTCTTTCACTGCATCACGTTCCTCGCCAGAGTCTGAAGTATTTTTCGTTGTTGCAATTGGAAGATTCATATTCTCCATTGCATTGAAATAACTTCACTCGTTATCATCTCTATTAATTTCACCTCATTAATGTCTACTGTTCCATCGCAGATGAACGAAAAAGATGACGTAAAACTATATTAAAACCTCTGAATTTTCGAACAAAATTGTCGATATCCTCCTTTGTTATCTTTTTAAACATCATTCGCCATCTAGCAAGCCAGTCTACATCATCAGCGTAAACTCCAGTATCATCAGTAATTCCTATAATGAAAGATGATCTATAGAGAATTACAATATTATGAAAAAACAAGAAGGCACTTACCCATTTCATCATAAATAGCTCTCTTCTGCTTATCGCTAAGAACAGCGTATGCATGATTCAAAATCTGAAACTTCGCTGTTGTTTCCACCTTTTCCACCTCATTACTGTAACGATCAGGATGGAATTGCAAGGAGAGCTTGAAAAATGCCTTTTTAACTGAAAACAACTAATTAAAAGAAATTCAGAAACTATGAAAAGTATGATTTAAATGAACTCCTAAACCAAAATATAAACTTTATATGAAACAGTTTTGAAAAATGTTTTTTCCTGAATTTTCTATTTACCTCCTCATTTGAACTCGATGTCAATGCATAACAAAAAATAAATTAAACCACTACATAGTTCAACAGAAACTCCTAACAAAAGTAGCTCAAAATGCTGCAAATCCGGTCAGTTATGTGAAATATTCATCACGAAATGAGTTACTTTCTGCTTGGCTGTAATCTTTTCGTTTCAACTTCGATCCTTTCAAGTTCAAAATTTCATATAGATCTGTCGTACCAAATAGACGCTTTGCATCAGTAACAAATGACATCTTTCCACAAATTTTCCACGTGAAATTCCTTATCAATTCATTTCAAAAATGGTACATGAAAGTGATGAATTGCATGCAACGTGACTCACTCCTTTCAAGATGGAATTAATGAAAGCTAAATGAGTTTAACACAATTCTGGACTACTCATCGTTCCCCTAACTTAATAAGCTAAAATATTTGCCCAATAATTAAACATCTACGAGTAACCCCAACACTGCTCACTCTTATTTGAAAAATATCTGTGCAAAACTCTTCCCATGTTTTATCTTCGTTGCATGCCACTGCTGCAAAATGAAAGAAACCTCACGGGTTAAAGGTGAACTTTAGACGGCGATTGAGTTTAAGAAAGTTAGGTGGTCATTTCATTTGTACTTTTTATTATGGATGCATTCTTTGTTTTGTTTTTTCTTTTCTTTTCTTTTTTTTTTATCTTTATTCATTCTTAAATAAATACTATTGTTTAAGGTGTAACTGTATACTTAAGGTGCAAGTTTTCATTTCGATGAGTTCAAATGATGGTAGTAGTGATCGTGTACGGGAAGTAAAAGTCATAGCACCAATCAATATCGCACTGGTCAAATATTGGGGCAAAAGAAATGAAGTATTTCTTTAAAGTGGTATTACAAAGAAATCTTTTAATGCGATAGTGTTCAAGATAAACTGTTCACTAGTTTTTAGTCTCAAAAAAACGTTAGCAATCCTTTCACCAGTACTAATCAGTCTTTAGATGGCTAAAAGATTGATTAATTTAGAATAAGTAGTGCATTTGTAACAGAAATTGTTACCTTTACGTCTCATCGATTTCCAGGACCTTATGCTTCCACTGAATGATTCCATTTCGCTTTCTATCAATGATATGTGTGCAAAAACACGGGTACGAATAGGGGCATCGGTTAAGAAAGATTCAGTCTCAATCAATGGTTCAAATGTGTGTCTTTCAAAGCATCCAGGGTTTCTTCGATGTTTTAAAGTGAGATTGTTTATTTTTATTGTACCTGCTGTTCATAATGCTTTGAAATATTTTTGCTATGGAAACAAACAAAAAAGAAAATTTAATTTAAGGAAGTAAGGAGGCTAATTCGGAAACGCTCCATTATATCGGAAACTGCAGGAAAATCAGAGAAGCATGATTATTTCAGCAAGTTTGAAGTCACTTTTATCTTTATTATTATTTTAGGCATATGAGTGCATATTTTTGTAATTGAGATTCTTATGATTACGATCAGCCATACACACACAAATGTTATTTGCCCTCACGATTTTTCAAGAAGTTTTGTTTTTTTTTCCGTGGTGGAATTTTAGCTCAATAAATTGTTCATATTTGGTTATTTCAGGTTGTCTCCGAAACAAATTTTCCTATTGAAGCAGGGCTTGCTTCATCAGCGGCTGGTTTTGCGGCTATTGCGTATGGTCTTGGGCAAATTTACCAGTTAAATATTAGCGATATTATTCGTGTTGCTAGGATGGGTAAGCATGCTGTGCTGTTTTCTTTCTCCAGTCTGAACTGTATCTCTGAGTACTCTGAATAAATATATTTATGTAATTTTGTTAAAACAATATTTTGAATTTAATCCTGGTTAAAATGATATTTGGTAATTTAAGGTTGCCATAGTGATTTTGAAGTGTTCACAAAATGAATTGAGACTGGATAACTATTCAGGCTCTGGAAGTGCATGTCGGAGTATCTTAAGTGGTCTTGTACATTGGAAGGCAGGTACTGCAGAAGACGGTACTGACTGCATCTGTGAAGTCTGCTTCTTTTCTTTCAATTTCTATAATTTTTCATGGTTTCTTTTTGTTTAGGAATGCAGATTTTAAGGAACAGTCGCCAGTAATGCATAATTCAACATGAAAGATGTGATCTATATTATAATTCCCAACCCATCAAATAAATCTTTTCAGACAGTTTTCCCAGAAGATTATTGGCCCACATTGAGGTCACTAATTTTGGTAACGTCACATGGTACAAAGAAAGTTAGTAGTTCTAATGGTATGCAATCAACTGTTAAAACTTCAAAATTATTGCAAGCTAGGATGGATATTGTGCCTGAACAAATAACGAAGTATGTTCCGAATATTTTTTCATTGGTATGAAAAGCTTTATTGTTGCTTAAATCTTAACAATATTTATGGGCGATTCCGGTTGACTGTATTTTTATTAATTGAAGACATTTTAACAAGAGTGTTATTACAGGTTAAGAAATGCTTTTCGTGACAGGAATTTCGAGCAATTAGCAAAAGTAATTATGTCGGATAGTGGACAGTTGCATGCCCTGTGTATGGATACCATGCCATCCCTTAGGGTATTTTTTGAAAATTTTTTTAATTACAGTTTCAAAGGTGGTGCAAGTAGAATCAAGAGGTAGTCGAGAAAGGGTTTCAAATCTGGAATTAAAGTTTGTCACTGCATGAATAAGTCCTGAGTGATTTGAATCGTAACCTTCAAAAAATAATTGATTGATTTGCAATCTATTTTAACTATATTGTAAGTCCGAAACTGGATCAAGAACTAAAATATACAAGGAGCATTTTTTTCAGTTGAATATTTTTGTATTTAAAATCATTTTTCTAACTATGGTCATTAGCACCAAAGTTTTTAAGCACTTAATTAAATTAATCAAAAGAATAAAACTTTAAGCGAGTTCTACATATAATTACAGTGAATAGTAATGTGAAGCATTCAAAATTCAAAAAATTTATTAATTTCAGTACTTGAATGATAATTCTTGGTACCTTATGCAACTTATTCATGCCCTGAATAGACACTGCAAAGACACGAAAGTGGCTTATACGTTTGATGCTGGTCCGAATTGCTGTTTATTTTTGGAATCTGTTAACGTGCCGTTAATTCTGGCCGCTGTCAATAAGTATTGCAAATTACGATCTGATCTCATAGGTGTGTAATTTTCCGCCTCATCATTTGTGTATTTTTAACTACAAAAAAAAAAAAAAAAAACTTCAAATCCAATTTTCGGTTTTGTAAATAGTCGGTATAGAATGTACTGAACCTCATTTCACTCTTCACTACGCCGCACCTTACGAATGAATAGCTAGAACATTTTTATTCTCAACGGCGCATGACACTTAAGCCATATGATGCTAAAAATAAAATTAAGACTAAATTTGGCGAGGAAGTCAAGCGTAGATTAAGTTTGACATTATAGAAAGCCCAGTTTAATGAAGTAAGAAATGTCGGAAATTTGAGTCGTCAAACCAATGCGACAAAGAAGAAATTTTGTTTTATATCTAAATTACCTAGAATCATTTTGCTGTATGAAAAGTTTTGTATGTAATGGGCATTTTTGTCAAGTATCCATATAGCAGAAAATACTCACTATTTATTTTTATGATGTCATGACATTTCATACTGAAAACTTTTTTTCAAAACAAACCATTTTGTAGAACGAGTAGCAAAATACCCTGCTGCATTTGAGTATGGGAATTTGAGAAGTTTGGTGGAAGAAGAACAGAAAAATCTGGTGTTATTCGAATCTATAGATGGCCAAGAGAACAGCGAGATTGAACCGTTGGATGGTGTTGTCAATGATATCTTTTTTAGTTGTGTGGGCGTTGGACCATTCTTAGCGGAAAGCAGATAGATATATGATGTTATACTAAATTTTTTGGTCAATTTTTAGATTTAATTTTATATTTTACTACTTTTATAATTATGCTAGAGCACCAAAGAAGCTTTATATGTCTCACCATTTTCTTGATGGTACGTTATTTTTAATTGAAAGTGAAGTCACAGCTAAGATTATTGCGAATTATTTTTTCTATATTTCTATTTTTCTAAAAAAAAAAAACTATGTCAGTGTACACCATATATGTTTTCGAAGATTTCGTATTGCGAAATCTTTAAGCTTGCTTGCTTTTTCATAAGTTTTGTCAGTTGGTAGTTTTTTTTTTTTTTATTTATTTCAAGAATACATGTTATGAGTTTATGAATATAAAATAATTGTTCAGTAAAATAACTCTTCTGTAAATTCCAGTTTTGTAAAATTCTTAATTTCTCCCGCTATACTTTATGACATTCTGTGAAATGGTTTCAGTTTTATATCACATAATATCACTGATATTTGGTATTTAGTTGCTTAATGAATGTAAAATCTTTTAGTTACAAATGTTAAAGTCAAAGTAATAGGTGTTTGCGGAACAATAGAGCTGAAATAGATATGGGCCAATAATTGCAGGAATGAATAATCGGTTGGCATCCCCTGTAGAAGATAAGGAAATATAATTGTAGCGACCTTAGGCAATAATTATTACATAATAATGCTATCGATCATTATTTTCTCGCTTATTAGGTCAGTTTTGAAACTTTCATTGTAACCAATCTCTGGACCAACCTAAAGACATCGAATATTATCAACTATAGCTACTGATAAGAAAGCTCCGCTGTAGTGCTCACTCATTCATGCCATTTTTTATTTCGAACGACGCCGCTGCAATTTCCTTAGCATCTTTAATAATCAGTTTATTGGAATAATAATGATGCAAATAACACGAGAAACCAACAATATTTACAGAAGAAGGAATATGTTGGAGTATTTCAGCCATTGGTTTGGCAACGATGACGCTGATTACAGCTTCGGTACATTTAGAATCCAGAAGGCATCCTTGGAACTAAAAGTACAGAATTCATTTATTACTTACAGAAGTTTTCAGTTGTGATGATACAAAATTTTGGTAATTTAAAAAGACTAAACGCTAAAGAAAATCAAATGAGGTGAAACTTACTTGGACAGTGTCTACATGTACCGCGTTCTCCAAGTTCGCCTGGGGTACCACGTTGACCTATTCTTCCAGGCCGTCCTTCTGGACCTGGTTGTCCCGTTTCTCCAGGCAGTCCAGGAGGTCCCGGAAAGGATTGTCCATCTGGTCCGGAAATACCTTTAGGACCAGGTGGCCCTTGTGGACCTTGAAGACCAGGTGGTCCTTGTGAACCAGTCATGTAGATGATACGACCCGGCGCTCCTCGAGTTCCGGGTGGTCCAGTTCTTCCAGGCTTTCCGATTGCTCCAGGTTGTCCTACCGTTCCCTAAAAAGCAGCACTTAGATGTAACAATCGATATGATAAGAAATTTGAAATTATTTAACTGGTATGATTTCTTGGCAACAATATTTTTTTTTTTTTTTTTTGTAACGTTTCATAGATTGATCACATTTCATGAAAAAGGAAGTTTATTATTGGTACCGTTTCACCGCGTACTCCATCTTTGGGTAGATCTCCTGATGTACCTTTTGGTCCTGGTGGACCTTTTGGCCCCATGCTACCAGACATACCAGGACGTCCTGGAGGACAAATAAGACAAAGATCGGCATGCACTGCTGGTTTTACGTGACCGTCAACACCATTTTTCCCATCTTTGCCATTGATTCCATCTTTTCCGTCATTGCCAGGATCTCCTTCAGGTCCGACAGGTCCTGCTGATCCCTAAATTATGAAAATGTCATAAAATATAATTCATTTTGAGCTTTTAGTATTTTGTCTCCTTCGTCGGTATGAATTCGTGTGATTTAAGAATTTTGTAATTTAATGAAATTTAACTTAACCTGATTGCAAGTGCAACAAGTATTCAAATCTGCATTGATCACAGCAGCAGAGGCATGTTCATACTCTTGATTACTATTTTCATTGGTTGGCACCCAATGACCAAACATCCATTCTCGCTTTAAACGTCGCATACTTGCCAATTGTAATCCAGACATTTCGGCAAGCATATTGCGTGATCGTGACTGCAATTCCAATTCCATTACTACTCAGAATGCAAGCTTTTGCATAATTTTACAAAGAAGCGTGCACATTTCTCGACGTATATGTTATAGTTAAATCAATCAGTGATTATAAAAGAGCTAAAAGATTAAAAGTAGTGATTCGTCAGCAAAGCGGTTAACACGATTGTTTTAAGTAATTGAAACATAATCTCGCATGGTAACGAATACGAACACGTGGAATTGTTCCTGAATCTTACGGCAGAGGAATGAGAGCAACTTCAAATATTCAGATGTATTAACTCTTACTGATGCATACTCTTAATATACAGATCTGTATGCAACATGGAGTAGGGAGGCGTGCTTTTACCAGTTATTGCAAAATTTAAAAAATAATTTCACACCTTGCAGTATTCTGTTTCATCGGTGATGTGGCTGTGAAGTGATTGTACATAAGAATGCAGTGTTGGTAGAGTAATTACTGCAGCAATAATGGCTGCTGTTGAGAATGCACATGCAAGAACTGCTAATCGGCGCAAATATTGCTGTTCCAAATCTTCCTTCCTACACCTTGTCGATATCGACATAATTAAATTTGATCTGAAAATAAAAATAAAAATAATTCAAAACTGAACCTTTTTAGCTTCGATTTAAATTCATTTTCCAATCCAAATCAGTCATAGAAAATGACACTGTAATAAGATTAATTTAATATTAAGAATTGTAGAATGATTCTATCAGTAAATTTAAATAACACAAATCTAGTAAGGCCAGAATGATTTTAACAGTAAATTTAAATAACACAAATCTAGTAAGGCCAGAATGACCAAATGTGGCCAAAAGTTAAGACTGAATGATGATAGAAAGAACGAGATTAAACAAGTTTATGAAGCTAATTTGTTCAGTTGTAATAAAATGGATAAAAATTCAAGTTATAACATTTATAATATTTAAATAAAGTATGATGTTGGGAAGAAATATTCATTAATTGAGGTCAGATCAGAAAGAATATCAAAAGATTAGAATTAGTAAAAGGAGTCATTAATAGCACCTTCCGTCCTTTCTACTTCCTTAATGACAAAATGTTACCCATTGTGTTTGTTGGGATAACTATCCGATACTGTTGCTAACCTCTGAGCGGACATTTTATTCTGTTACAAATTTCATTTCTTCCATTTGGTTTATATTACTATTCTCTCGCCTATTGTATTGTATGGTATCAAAGACACCCACCCTCCGCATAGTATTTGAAACAAGATTTTATCGCACCCCATGGATATGTTGGGAATTCCGAAGAGCCTCTCCACAAGATACATTAATTTTCTTTAACATCTAAATGCAACAAATTGAAACCGTTTACTAAGATGGTAAGATGATATGAAATCAAAAGTTTAGGTTGAATTAAATGGAGAGTGAAATTATCGAAGTGAATGTCACCTCAACTTGAGACATCGAATCCATCGAACATTGGTCATAGAAAAGGCAGATCATATCATAGAAGAAAAACACATCAGAATTCCTGAAACCTACTTAGTGAGATCTGTTTATGAGAAATGCTGGAGAAAAAGTGTCAAAAATGTTCCTATGATTGTGATACGAGAATCTGAGAAATTTCATGTGTAACTGGTAAGAATGTGAATGCTGTATGTACGTTTAATATAGTCATGGACTATGACAATAAGCAACTCTACATATTCAAATATCCAAAGAACCTCGAGATTTTATTTGGAAATAATCTTCTTGTTGACTGTTGCTAAGCGGTGCAGGTTTAGCCAGGTGATGAAATATCAATAAAGTCCAGATTTATTGACCTCGATATTGTATTGTAATGGAGCATATTAATAAATTAGGTCTGCGCTGATCTTTTTATTTTAAGTAATATTTTTGAGTGGATCTTTTTATTTTGAGGAGCAGTGTTTTTTCATTGAATATTATTCATTATACCTCTTGTTATTCTAAATAATTGATATACTAGTAAACAATTTCATTAAATATTCATTGAAATTAGCCAGTTAAGAAGTATTTGCTTCTTTTGAGGATGGTAGATGGGATCTTATATCAATTTACAGTGAGCATTTGTCATTGATCTGGAAGATTTTTAATTGTTTGAACACAGACACCGTCATGAAATTATTTTGGCGACAGCGTACTAGTTACAATGCAGTCAAAGACAACAATTTGCTCATGTGAAAACGAAAGATTTTTTGAAAAAAATTCGATAATAATGAAATTTTGCATTAAAATATTTGAATAATTTGCTACTTTATTCAAATTTTCGAAATGAACAAAGATTAATTTTGCTGAAAGCTCCTCCATATTTCGTTTCAATCATAAAGCCAAATATAGTTCTTCAAATAACGTTGAATTTCTGAAAATTGTTATTAGATGAAAACTTTTGAAATAGGTGAGATATTTAAGACTTTATGACATATATTTCTTACAACTACAATAGATTTTACCGTACTAACAGCTAAATCAAACTAAGTTCATTCACTGTTTAGGATTAAACTGAAATATGGAACTCTCCTCATAAGTGAGTGTCATCATAAAGTTTATTTGTGCAGTGATATCATGGAAATACGTTGTTCATTTGTCTTTTTAAGAGTACCAAAGTAGGTCGCTCTTGCAATTTGTCTTCTCTTACTCTTAATTTCTACTTTGTGAAGATGGAATGAACGTACATTGGTTGATCAGTTGATCTAATGCAGTGGGATACGAAATTGAGACCTGTGTGACACAATTTAAATTCTAATTAAGAAAAAAAGGAACATAAAATAAAAAACAAAAGATAACATTTGACCTGAAAGTATCGTTGACCCTTATGTCCACCTACTTGTGCTCCGCATCAGTACTGTTTTTCACTGTTATTCCTTTCATACCAATTGTTTTTTCAAATGGTTGCTTTCGCAAGAATTTTTATAAAGTGAAGTTTTCCAAAAGCGCCTTTGTCTTTTTCATCTCTTTTTAGTTTCATCTGAATAATTACAATCACGTTTAAAATGCTTAAAACCTTGATAAAATCTAACCTAATAACATATTTGGTAAATGTCTATTATTAGTAATTCTCAATTCTATTTTTTTTTTTCTGAGTAGTTTTTATACCTTTTTTGCAAATATTGGTAATTTTCAAATCTCAGCAATTTCTGCTGGATCTTGTAGATCTTTTTGAAATTTTGTCTGAGAAGAAGAAAAAATAGAATAATTGTCATCCGTTCAGGAACAGAACCAAAGCCTTAAACTTTGCGCCAAACTTGATTTACTCATTGAATGGCGTGGAAGATGCGGAAAGATTTGGAACATAACGAATATCGTCAGATGCGACGGATCGCATTCCTTGCGGTTGTTGTTTCAACGGCTGCCGTCATCTCAGCAGTTATTACTTTACCGATGCTTTATGGTTTCATTCAGAAATTAGAAAATCATTTGTTGCTTGAGACTCATTTCTGCAAGGTAAAAATTTCATCAATGAAAAATTTTCAGTAACAAAGTTATTTTCTCTCAAAGCTCTAAAAAAATGTATAAAATTAATGACTAAGGCAAGTGAAGAGAAAACAGAGACCATTTCATGAATTAGAAAACATTTTTATTCCTTAAAATATGAATGAGTAAATTCCATAGCATTATTAGCGACTAAAATTTAAAGCTTGACGAAGCGCTAAGTAAGAAGGTTTTAAATGTTTTTAGGAGATTTAAAACAATGTTGAAATTACATTAGAAAAATTAATACTGAGAAAGGACACAGATGTTGACATTAGCAATGTTCATAGCATATTTATAGTCTCGATCAAGTGATATGTGGTCCGAAATTACAGCACTTCAAATTGGCAAGAAGCTTTTTAGTCGGATTAAAAGGGAATGGTCATTTGGTAAATGGATGTCGTCGGGTAGTTTTTACGGAGATACTGGTAATGGTGATGGTTCCAACAATGATGAAAGTAGCAATAATTACGGTTCAATACCAATAGATCCGCTGCTAAATGGTAATTACTATGGGCAGTGCTGCACATGTCACAGGGTGAATCATTAAGTTTCAATTTTTTTTTATTTTGGTAAGTGAGAAAATGGTTGAAGTAACTGAAAATGATTAATTTATAATTCTCCAAACTATTTCTAAATGTTTAATGAATCATTAAGATGTGTTTCAGAAAAAACCAAAATTATCAAAATTGTCAGCTTGAAATTCTGAAATTAAAGAGATAGAATCACTTAATCTCTTTATTTATCTCTTCGTTGATCAACTTGATAATTTGAAAATGCAAGAGAAATGATATTAAAAATTAAATAATTTCTTAGAGATTCAATTTATTTCATTCATTGATTGCATAACTTGTTAAAATGAATTTTCTTCCATTAGATATATATAATGTATTTTTTATAAATAGCTCATTACTTTAAAAAAAAAAAATATTTAAATTTTCATCTAAAAAGTCCAAATGATTCCAAAAATTATATTCACAATAGTTTCAGGGTGCTGCAGGACCTCCTGGTCCAGAAGGTGAAAAAGGAAAAAGGGGTATGGATGGTTACCCGGGTAGAAACGGAAAACCAGGGAAAGACTCGAAAATTTCTTCATTTTTATTAAACAAGAATATGGAAGAGCAAGAACTGTGTATGGTTTGTCCACCAGGTCCTCGAGGACATCCTGGTCCTATAGGACCCAAAGGACCTCCAGGTCCTAAAGGAGGACCTGGCAATCGCGGAAATGATGGCGAAAACGGTGAAGAGGTTAGCTTTATATTTCTCTGAAATATACAGTCAATATTATTCGTAATTATTCATCAGTTAAATATTTTAAAGTTGCTGTACACTTAGTAAAGGAGAAAAAATTGAAATTTCGCTTCAGGGGTTAGCTGGGCAAGCAGGTCCTAAGGGTCGTCCGGGACAGCCGGGAAAACCAGGTACGCGTGGTGTACCAGGGCGATTAATCCATATACCAGGACCTCTTGGTCCAGATGGACCAAGAGGTGAGTTCGGTGATCTAGGTCCGAAAGGTGTACCTGGTGTTGATGGCATCTCCTATCCAGGTCCACCTGGTGAACCAGGTAATGATGGTAAGAATGGATTGGAAGGGAAGCAAGGATTGCGTGGATTTGCGGGTCCCCCAGGTGAAGATGGTCAACGAGGCAGTTGTGACCATTGTCCTGGTAAACAGTTTTCTATTTTGATTGTTTAGGGTAAATTTCTTTTTTCATATCAATAACACTGGGAATTCCAAAAATGGGAATAATTGGGAATAATTGAAAATTTTTCAAAAATGAAGCAAATTAAAAATAGTAGCTAAAAATCAGCACAAATCTTTTCCTTCTCTTCACTAAAATATCAACGAATCTTTTCAGCTCCGCGATTACCACCAGGATACTGAAATTTGAAACCTGAAAGAAGTTTCAAGAATTAAACAAAAATTTGTTTATCAGAGCTATTCTGCACTGTCTTTAGACTTCAGAATTATTTAATTCATTCATGTATTTATTCCAGAAGACAGTATCACATTGCTCATTATTTAATCATTTACTTTTTCATAATCATTTATTTTTACTTTTTCATTCTAAAGTTTAACTCTTAAAGTGTACAAGAAACTCTAGAAAGTTTGATTAAAAAATATTTCAAAAAAGATGTTTTGAGTTTTTTATCCAACCTTTGAGAGTTTTTCATACATTTAAGAGTTATGCGTTCATTTTATCGAGTGATAATTTAATGCAAATTACTAGTTGATTTGCACAATTTAGTCGTTGTTATGCATTTCAATATTATAAAATTCGCTGCGAGTACTATTTTTGTTAAGAAAGGAAAGTATTTAGTTTTACAAGCAATAACAATTACAGCAAAAATGATTTTACTGATAAGAATTACAACTATTAATGAATTGTGTCATTTCGATTAATTAATAAAGATTTGGAAGTAAAATTTTTGCAAGACCTTAATTCATTCTTCAAAATCAATTTACCTGGACTGAAATCTCATCCTTTACCTTTCCTTGCTCATCTAATACAATATAACGAAAAGCAATGACAGATGAAGAAAGATATGATAACGAAATAAACATAACACATCGATGACAAATGATACCTTCAACAACGCTCAATGAGAATCAAAATAACACACGGATGACTGATACGTTCAATGGAATTACATATTTGTAATAGCGAAAGCCATAACTGCTCATCAGCAGAGAATTGAGAGTTAGACGTAAATTTAAATAGAAAATCAATCACAATTAGAATGGAAATCTGAATAGGTAATAGATTCTTACATGATGATGACGAATACAAGGAGTTTTTAATCTGAAAAAGTTTAATTAAAAGAAAGATTAATTAAAACATTGGTGAGTAGACAGAAGGAAAAGATAATGCAAATTGACAAAACCAATAAATACATTCAAAAACAATTTACTGGCAATAAAAAAAATTCACAAATCAATATTATGTTATAAATAATGTAATGTTATTGCTACATATCAAATAGGAAACGGCTAAAAGGGTAGAAATACATCCTCACTTATTTACAATACTGACCCAAAAGGTAGGTAGACACAAATATATAAATCGAGGATATCCCGTCTAGAAAATAAATACACCGAAACAATGCTTGAAATTATAATTAAGTTCTTGTAAAATCAGATTTGCTTTCTACTGCTTTATTTTTACTGTTCTGTTGGCACCGATCTGTAGCCATGCGGATCTTTTGTCCATGCTGGACCATTACCATGTTTTGAACTTACCAGCAATTGTCCTAAAGTAAAGAAAAACTTACTTAAATAATTTCAGGATCAGAATATTATAAGCATACATAAAAATGATAAACATTCAATGGTGGCATTTGACAGCAATTACCGTGTTCATCATGCGTCTGATGCGATAATCGGCGTTCGGCGTCAATTACCGCTAACTGTTTTCGACTGAAATGATGGACAATTCCCGCTCCAAATGCATCACCTAATACATTAATTGACGTTCGGATGCGGTCCCTTCAGCAAAACAAACATTATTTTTTTTTTTTAATAAAGTAATTAATAGCAAAGTTTCAAGTATATGAGACCTTTTAATTCAAAAATAGTTCTGTTGGTCAATTAAAAGTTTAATTTGGATAACTTGACATCTGCTATGATGACAAAACTACCGCGCGAGCAAAATGGTCTCATTAGTTTTACAATTACACTTTCATTTCACAAAAATCTCACGTGAAAAAAATTTATAAAAGCAAAACAAACTTTAGTTTAGATTCTCATCTTTATTATAGCAAAAAACAAAAATGAAATTTAAAACTTATGAAGCTTACAAAAGCCAATCGACGGCTACAATTAAAGATACGTCCTTCACAGGTAAGCCAACCGCTGTTAAAACGATTAACATTGTAACCAAGCCAGCTGATGGAACTGATGCTGCACCTATTGATGCTAATGTTGCTGTTAGGCTGAAATATTCAACAATTTTAAATTCGAACTTGGATTGAAACTGGCAATATATAGATTAAATACATACAATTTGTTTCAAAATTCAAAGTTTCAAAATTTGAGAAGTCTCAAAATTCTTAAAAGAAATTTTATAGGATAATAGTTAGAACCTAATAGTAATAACTTGACCGAAGGATAGATCAACTCCATTTGTTTGGGCTATGAAAATAGCTGCTACTGCCTCGTATAGTGCTGTACCATCCTAAAAAACAACTTTATCATCAGAAATTAAAAAAAATCAAAATCGTAGGAGGTAAGAAATCCATGAAAGAAAAACAAGGAACCATATTGATGGTCGCTCCAACGGGTAGCACAAATCGAGTGACTCGTCGATCAATTCCCAAATTTTCTTCCAAGCATTTGAATGTAATAGGAAGAGTTGCCGAACTAAAATGAAACCATTAAACAGAAACGAAAAACAAAAACCCTTAACATTCTCATTACGAATTTTTATAGTAAAGTAAGAAACAAAAATTCAATGAAATATGAAACCTTGAAGCAGTTCCAAGGGCGGTAACCCATGCCTGTAATAAACCCCGCATATAAGTAAATGGATTCTTCCTGGTACAAATGAAGAATAACACTGGTAGACTGATCAAAGCATGGACGATTAGTCCTACCAATACCGTCAACACATACATTGCCAGCATTCGAGCCATATTCGCCAGATCATCAATTTCCAAAATTTTCCCAGTTATCAAACACATAATTCCAACTGGTGAATACCTTAAGTAAATATTTTTGGATATAACTACTTAAATATCTTCCAATCAATTGATAGTATTTTTAAAATCAAATTGCCACAATTTAGTAAGTGTTCTATTCATATACTGATGAGATGTCTAAGTAATTTTCATTTAACTTCTTTCACAAAAGTAAAATTGAATGTGTACCACATGATAAGCATCACAAGTTTCATAATCACTTGATCCATTATAGAAAAGAAATCAACCATGGTTTGAGCTTGCTCGCCAAGTTGACTCAATACTATTCCAAACGAAATGCAAAATACTATTACACCTGCAACGAAGATGATACTTGTAACAATGCTTCATCACTTCTTCGTTTTTACTCATCAGTTCAAATTGAATTCAACTATATAAAATGAAAAGTACTTACCAAGAACATTCATACCGGCGGTATATTCAACTGATGGCTTCATGACGGCAAGAGAACCATTTGCGATTGCTTGCAAAATTTCGGAACTGTTCTTTTTAATAATTTTTGGTTTCACCGAGATATATTTGGTCTGTACTTGTTGAAATGTAGCTTGTACAATATTTTCCGGAAATGTATTCCTAAATGAATAAGATTGTTTAAAGAATATACAAGAAAGACTTAGTTCTAATACAATTCTTCTCTAACTAAATTCTTCGGAAACGCCAAAAAATACCACGAAAGTATTATTGTTGAAATCATCCACTTTTGTGAGAATTAAATTAATGTTTCTGCTTCAATCGTTGCAAAAAGTCGAACTTAGTTTACGTAAGTTTGTTCTCGACTGTCCAATTACACGTTTCTGAATTTAGTTGAACTTTGACCAAAATGCGCAAGCAGAACATTGCTTTCTCTCCTTCCTAATTTTCCGATCACTCTATATATTCTGGAGAGCACTTCTCGACTTCCGGAATTACCTGGCTTCTTGATTTGCACGCAAACTTGATCCACAGACCCATCTTTTTTCAAAGAGGGGTTCTTTAAGTTACCTCAATAAATCGAGGAATGTTTCGAGCGTACTGACTGTTTTTGCTTCTGTACCTTCACCAATATCGTGTTTGATTGTTGGATCACCGGGATGTATTGTTAGTACCAGAAATATGCCCGTCTAAAGTAGCAATTTAAATACCCAATTTTTTTTACATAATATCGCTTCTAATTTTGTTCATCAAAAACCTTAAAGTTCTCTCTCTCTCTCCCACAGAAAATGTGCAAAGTGAGATTTATTCATTAGAAATATTTGTTTATTTTGAAAACTAACGACAACAGCAATAACAGTTGTAGCGAAATAGTAAAATATTGCGAGGAAACCCAAACGACCAGATTGTTTCGCATCCAATTGAGCTAATCCTAAAATTTATTTTTTTAAAGGATTATTACATGAAAATACAAAGTATTAGTGTTACATGTACAGTGACTCATAGCGAATTTGGAAACCACTAATTTAGTTCTGCTGATAATTAAATTTACCAATATTTTTAGGATCAAGATCAAAAAAACTGTTATAACATTATTAAAGAAATTTGAAATTGAAAAGAAATTCATTCTTTTAATTAGAATGAAAAAGTATAACAAAATACCGCAATAGTTTTTTAAAAAAAATAGGACTAACAGTAGTTAGCAGTGATATACAAATTTGAATTTGATTTTAAATTGGATTTGAGATTAATATTGGCAAATAATGAGCATTTAAAAAGAAATTACTTGCTTCTACTTTTCTATTAAACTGATATGAAACTAATATTATTTTATTTGTATTAAATGATATTACCTGAAATAAGCGAACTGATAATAAGGGGTAGAATCATTAGTTTCAACATACGCATCAATATTTCTCCCGGAAAGCTGACCAGTACTATAGATTGGAGTGTCAAATTAAATAGTCGACCAATAAAGCCCAATAGAATACCCAACAATACAGAAGCGATCGTTAATACCAACAACAGATTCCGCCTGAACCAACTTGCCATTTTCTAAAAAATATTAGGTCAGATCAGATCAACTGAACATATAAAACTCGGAATGAATCAACTCTCTAAATATTGTGGATAGCATGAGAAAAACTAAATAATTATTGATATCATATGCAAGGGAAATTATCACAACCAGAGCTAGTTCAGAATTCAAATTTATGAAATACGAAACTAGATGGAATTATCATCATGAAAGATAGTAGTAACATAATAATAATAAATAATGATATTAATAATAATAAATGACAACAATAATAAAGGTATTTGTAATAAAGTAATAGTAATATGATAATTAATAATGAAACTATTTGAGAAAAATGGATATAATTTCAGAAGCATTTTCATAACAAACACGATAATATTTGATTCGTATGAAATGAATTATTGTCATTGAATGGTATTCGGTAGATTTTAATGGAAAGATAAAACGAATAACAGCTCTTGTGATAACGAATTTTGATATTTGATACATGACACAATACATTACTATTTCTGTTTCAGTGCTGGTAAAGCACTGGCAAAAAGAATTCTTTTTCTTTTGTGAAATTTAAAAAAAAAAGAAATATTTTATGCTTTTGCATGAAACGCTGTGCTGTGAAATTCAATATGTACAAGGATGTTTGAAGAATAGTGCTAACGAATGCGAAATGAGTAGCGTAATTTGATAAGTTGAGTCGATAATGAAAAAGCAATTCCAATAATTAACATTTTCGGTATGTTTTTTTTTTTCTTTTTGTATTAAATAAGCGTCAGTGGCAGAATGCTTGCAAAATAATATTAAGCTTCCTAATGGATACAACGAAAATTGTTGCAGGTTGTTTGGGCAGTATTCACTAATGCTATCATTGAATCATTGTAGTTTTTCTGGAAACTGCTAATTCAATTGCAATTTCAATTTTCACTTTGTTTCTGTGTCATATCATTTTATCAAACATCGAATGCAAACATCAAAATCTTAGGAAATACAACGTACAAATTATGTCACCAGCAATTCGACCATAAAGTAAACAAAAACCGCCCTAAGCATAACTGTTTACTTATTTGATAATTTTAAAAATTTCAACTTCTATTAAAAACCACTGTAAACTAAGTTGGGTATCTAGATAGACGCTGTAGACACATTAAAGGAAATTAACCGAGTAACAATTTGTAGTCAAATAGCTAAAATATTAATGGAATTACCTCAAGTATCGTAATTTAGCGGAAATGGAAATCTGATGAATAAATCAAATTTCAGCCATACCCAATGAACAAAGCAGCAATTTGCTTTACATAAAAACATGACAATATTAATATAGAAAATAATAATTCAATTGAAGAGTTTAAAAAAGTGAAGTAATGTGTTTCAATGAAAACAAAATAAAAATAGCAAATAACTGCTGCTGATTTCATTCAGATCAAAGAAAAGTTATTATGCATTGAAATATAAAGTATAAAATAAAAATATGTAATGAAGTATTAAATGCATATCGAGAAAGTGAATAGATTCATTTATATTTAAATGCTAACTGATAATAAGTAATGAAACAGCAATTGCAATGAAAAATATTACAAATTATTAAGTGTGAAATGAAAACCATAAGTTGTCGTTCGTGTGATAATTCATTCATTTTGCAAGATCATATCATACGATGAAACTAACATGCTTCTTATCAATTTTAAAAAAGAGTGAAAGACTACAAAAAAAATATTTTGATTACTTTATAAAAAAATACCAAGAAAGAGTACTTTTGACTCAGTTTAAATTTTATGATTGTTTGCACTGAGCAGAAACTGATTGACATTCATTTAAAAAGTGACGTGTGGAAATAATTAGAAAATTATGATATCAGTTATCAGTTATTGCGATTAAAATTAAATTGCTAAAACTTATTATGAAACTATAAAGTAAGTAACAAGGAAAAAAGGATGAATAAAAATGGCATGATTAACTTAATTTTATAACATTAAATTCAAAAATAGGAAAATTTGTCTCGTATTTTGTTCGTAAAAACAAATTTGCTCATAGGCAGAAAAATAGTTTTTGTGTATTTATCAATGATTATTCTGTACGCATCATCACTCTTATCACTGGTTCAGATCAAACTTTCGAATGATAAATTGTTTTTTTTTTTTGTTTTTGTTTTTTTTTTTTTCTTGTTTTTAAAGCTTTTAACAACAGATTTGTTTACGAAGTGATCAGAAAGAGTATGCAAATACCGTGTAATTAATATGACATTGGTGGTGTAATATTAAATTATTAAAAATAATAATGAACTATCAGTCTCAACCAACGATAATAATTTATAAGTATAGATATGTAGATATGGTGCATAAGATTGAAATAGTTATAATTTCTTGAAAAGACAATTTTTTAAAGAAAGATATACCTTTCACCCTTTTAACAAAAGACTGTAAATCAAGATTAACTGAATATTTCATAAAAAATTTTTAGACAACATATCATTTCTATATTTGAATTAAGATAATGAATTGTGAAGAAAAGTGCGGCGACTAAGAGGGAAAAGAAAGCAAATTTTCAGGTCTTAAAAACTTTATTATTTTGCATCAAGCATGAAAGCATTTTTGAAGAAAAGCTTTTGAGGAATATGATGGTTTTTTTAGTGGCTTTGTACAATTAGCTTATGAGAATGTTAGGATTTTTTAATAGCCCAAACAATTAGCACATGAGAATCCAATGATTTCTTATTGGTCTAGTATAATTAATATATTTGGCCAAAAATTTATTGAAGCACAAAAAAATTATGTCATCATTGGTTATTGGTTTCGATGAGAAATTTTATCTGTACATTGGCATGAAGCATTCTCATGCGATCACATAAATGAATAGCTTTCAAACTTGATAATTCTTCAATTTGATACTTTCATTATGTTCTCAATATCCAATCATTGCTCTCATTCCTTCTCACTTGCTGTTGCCTTAATATCTCTTTTTTAAAAAACATGAATAAGTCAGCAAGTGGAAATTTGAATTATTCCTTAATCAGTTCAAAAACTGGCAAATGTTGTTGTACTTTTGTGACGTATCATTCAGTGATCGTCTTTAAATAAACAGATTAGTTAGTTTGATGACAATATAGGATAAATTCGTTGAGAGCAATAGATTTGACTTTTTGCTAGAGTGAGACGAATGAGCGGTCTATCGGCAAACGCACTTGTGGCTACTTTTTTTTGCTCTCCAATATTTGCTTTTGACAACAGTGATGCCAATTAAGGCCTAACTGTGCCGGCAATCAACTGAGATTTAATTTCCGGATAGCATGAATATATGTTACTGTTATCACTACCTTCATTTTCTGATAAACACAATAAATAAATAAATCACTGTAATGGAGATAGTGAAACGGTAATGCAGTAGTTAATTAAAGATCTACTAAGACGAATAGGTAGGTAGGTTAAGATGTTTTGAATATAAAATTTTAGTTAAAATAAAACACCTGTTTCTCTAATACTTTAAGCCTGAACTCAAAGGGTGATAGTGTTGTTTTGCACAAATGGTAGCAAAAATACAACCATAATGTTTTACTTTTTATATTTTTTCTTTCTTAAAATTCAAATAACGATTCCACTTGATATAATCATGTAAAAAGAAAAATAATCCAAAAAATGAAAGAAAACATACGAGAGAAAGATATTTGGAAAACAAAAAAAGAAAAAAAATTCATGAAGGACAAATGATTAAATGAGCGGTTGAAATGGAATAGAAACGGGCGGTGTTGGTACTGCAGTGGGCTTAACGTCGTTGCTGTCTACGAGAGCAATGCATTTATCGTTTTCTTTTATAAATCATCCATCGATGCACCCTAAAACAAGTTCTTCACTGTGAGCGCTCTTCGATACATTACTTACAGAATTATGAGACATTTTTTGGTAGAAGATTAAATTTTGCAATCCACAAACACTCAGCTGTTTGCTAGAAAGACTGATTCAGAATTATTTAAGATGATTTTTGTTTTGAAATTAGTTTGAATTTTATAAACTGAATTTCAAGTTCAATTTAAACCAGTCACAATTTGCTACTAAGAAAGTGATGTTCTTTGTTAACTATTTATAAGTAGACTAATCTAGTTCAAAAATGTGACTTTTGAGGATTTATGTAAGAATTAAATAAGAACTTCGTAGGCGAAGATACAGTCACCGTTGCTGTCCTTCTCTTTGCTCTCGAGAATAATCATGCCACTTCAAAGTGATTTTTTCACAATTGACAACATTACATTGCTCTTCAATTGCTTCTTGGATGAGGAGAGAAAATTTCAAATTCTTTCTCACATAGAGTTATTCACGAATATTTGAAAGCGCAATGGGCATGATTCACTGCCCATTGCGCCTTCACTACTTCTTGACTTTAAACCTAATTTATCAGCCTGAGTGTACGCTAAGTTAAGAACTTACCTCACAACTTTATAGTGATAACCCTTATTTTGCCAATTTAAAAATTCCTCACTATGTTCTTTTTAAAGAGTATGTGTCAATGCACTCGCTGAACATTTTATAGCGTGTGGAAAATAACGAGCCTAATTTTATCTCTCGCAAATGCTCGTACGTCACGTGATTGCAGTACTGAAAGTCCCTCTCTGTTTAGATGCAGTTAAAAAGTAAAGTAAGTTAAATGATCCTAAGCGTAAGAAAGAGTTTGTTTCAAAGCGAAAATGGAAGATAATTAAAATGAAAAGTCAGCGATATGAGCAAGGAAGGAAGAAGTTGAAACAGCGGCAATGGGTATAAGTTAAAATTGAAGTTAGCAAAAGTTTTCGAGGGTATATCGATGAAAAAAATCTCCAACTGACTATTTGTGTTATGTCGCCTTGGTCTAATACTCAGATAGACTAGCACAGACATACAGACACGTACACACACATACACAGACACATACACACAGCTACTACCTGTCAGTGTGAATTTGAATTTATGTTATCTTAACACCGACATAATCAACACAATTATTGAATACTAGCAGATCTCATTCTCTCTATTTGCTCACCTGTATTTATTCATCA